TTCTTCTACTTTTAGCTTTTAGTAAATTATACTTTTTAACAACCGTTTGTCCACTTTTAGCTTATCCTGCTACCATTAGTCTACTTTTAGCTTTTAGGTAGCCTTTAGCAACATTTACCTTTTAACTACTGTTCTTCTATTTTAAGCCTTTAGCCTTTAGCAACTTATATCTTTTAGCTACCGTTCTTCTACTTTTAGCTTTAGCAACTTCGCTATCGTTCTACTTATAGTTTTTAGATAGCCTTTTAATACTTTTATGTTCTAGCCTCCTGAATTTTAGCCTTTTTGATATTTTACCTTTTAGGATACAATTCTGCTGCATTTAGCCGTTTGATACTTTTGGCTGAACTTCAGCTTTTAGGTAGTGTTTTTTTTTTTTTTTTTTTTTTTAGCAAATGTTGGCAGTCATTCAACATACACTATATATATATTTTTTTTTTTCAAACAATGCATTTCATACTTAAGTGTAACATTTAAAATAGGACTTTTCCCACCAGAAAGTAACCCATCCCTCGGTGACATGTTCGCACCTCACAGCAACCATCTGTTGCGTGTTTAGCCTGTTTTCAGCTCAGGCACGAGCTGCAGCTGCGCGTGCTTCCTCCTGGATCCTCGAGCGCTCATTGGGTTGTTAGAATTGATGAATGACAATTTGTCAAAGCCGGATCGGTCCATTTGGAAAGGTATGCCCTGTCACATTTCCGTCAACCAGTGTTCTCCACCTGCAGAGGGACAACTCCTGGAGAGCCGAGTCGTAAAACGTGCCTTGGTTTAATTTTTGCTTAAAAAAATAAATAAATACGGACAACCACACAGCCACCGCGTAAAAAATAAAAGAATACTCCAAATCCACGAGGCAGAGTGGTACAATCAAACCGAGTCAGGGCTGGCTGCTATTCACTTTTTCCACGACTGAGAGCAACACAGCACCGGGGACGGAGAGAAAAATAGAAGAAACAGCCTTAAAACAATTACCAGTGTGGGTTTTATGTCTCCAGAAGAGTCTCCAGCATGTCTACGAAGGCAGAGCAGTGTGAGTACAGCTGTGTGTGTTTTAATGTTTCATGTATGAACGGTGGATTGGAAGCAGGGGAGCTGTCCTTGGTGGGGGAACCTCGGTTTCCAAAGCAGGTTGCAACACGTCCCCCTCACTGCAGAGGATGGCTGGAGGTCTCTGTGCGCACACAGTCCCTGAACGCATCTCTGAGCGTTCCATATCTGCAGGATGAGAATACAACATGGAGCTATTTCACTGTAATTTCAGTTATGTTTGATTGACGTGGCCGGAGGAGGCTCGTGCAGAAGGCGAGGTGTGAGGTTGGTCTCAAGGTCGACTTGTCGGATTCTGTAACCAAACGATATGGCGCCTCTTCCATTGATCAGTGAGGAGTTTCTGTGCATGCAGGATTTAAATCTGTCCTCCTCGTTCCTCTGACTGATTTTAAACAGAAACCAGCCACTGGTTTCCACTCTGTGGAAGTTCTGGGGCCAAATAACAGCCTGTTTGTAATTTATGCTTTTCTTGTTTTAGTCAACAAATATAACTTTTCAAATTAACCCAGAAAAATAGCTTTTTTGTGGCAGTGCTGGATTTAGCTGAGGAAGCTAAAGCTGAGTTTTTAAAGCTAAAAGAAACAGCGCACTGGCTAAATCCCCCAAAGCATAATGATAGTTAAAAGTAGCAAAACACTGGTTAAAAAAATATAGCAAAAGGGTAGCCAAAAACTAAAGGTGGCTAAATAAAAGCTATAAGCTGCAGCAAAAGACTAGGCAGAAACAAAAAGTAGCTAAAGGCTAGCTAAAAACTAAATGTAGTGGGATGACCAAAATACAGCAGTGCTGAAGTAGATTTAAAAGCGAACAGTGGTTTTGAAGGAATTGAAGAGGTGTCAGTTTTTACTGTAAAATATTTATAAATAACGGTAAAGGTTTTAAAAAGTATAAAAGTTATACAAAACAAATGTCATAACACCCATTACCCGAATGAGCTGAGCGTTTGTGAATGGCTAAATTAGCACAAAGTGTGCATTCATAGTGTAAAACAAACAGAAAACAAACAAACAAAAAAAAAAACCCATTAAAATAGTGAGTATTCACCATTCTTACAATTATCAGCAAACCTTTCTATGTGTTCACAACCCCATGCTTTATGGTGTTTATGAGTACGGTTACAGCAGAACACATACAGCTTTGGCCACACATTCTCAAAGCCTGCAGCTGGTGTCTTTGTTTTTTTGTCCTTTACAGGTCAGGTACAAAGTAAACACCATTGTTCAAAATCCCACATGATGGGTCAGCATTTTCTCCACGACTTATTTCAACTCTTAGCCTGACACGCAAACAACACCGCAGCATCCAACACAACAGGAAGCATATGGAGCAGCCAACCTTTGCAGAACTGTCCCTCCAGTGTGGTTGTTTGTTAAGGAAAAGGCAACCCCCTTTCATGTTCGCCACATTTTCCCAACTTGTCTTGGGACTTGAATTGGCAACCTTTTGCTCATGAGCTTGCTTCTGTAAGCGGTGGGTTGCAGGCTCCTTTGGGGCTTCTGGTGACCTCGCTGCGACACTCAGAAAGGTCACCTGGTTAAGGCATGGAGCCATGGGAACACAGACTGTTTGTTTAATTATATTCTGCTTAGCCACCATCAGGAGAAACACTCTGTGCTTTTAGGCTCTTTACTGTTACTGTGACTTGTATTTGTGCTCAGATGAGACAACCACTTTCTTTTAGTGTTGATTCGCTTGTCACTCTGCTCTTTTATTTTTGTCTAGTTGCCTCTAAGATACGATACTTGCAAGAGTATCACAACCGTGTGCAACACAATATTTACCCTGTGCCATCCGGAACAGACATTGCAAACACACTGAAATACTTTTCCCAAACCTTGCTCAGGTAAGTACCCTGCTCTGGAGCCATCAGGTGAAGTAACAAACTGTCTCAAATTTAGCTTCCTTCATTAGGTTAGACTCTGACACATTTTTCTCAAAGAAAGTGACACCACTGAACGTCTAGTATGAAGTTAGGAGAAAAAAGTTGCTTTGTTGAGCTTTAAAGGGTAGTTTGGATTTGTTCTTTTGAAGATGGCTCATTCATTGATTTAGTGGTTGATTAGACAATAAATTCTTCCCATGGTTGTTCTGCTGTGTCTTCTCCCAGTGGGGGTTGGTGGAGGCTGACTCTTCCGGTCGTGCAGCTGTAGGGTCAGCCTGCTCTCCGGGGCTCTGAGAAAGCTTGAAGCGAGAGCAGCTTGTTGTTTCCTTCTCCACTACAAGTCGTGGAGCAGCCATTTTAGACCCATCTAATGTCACAAGTTGTCATTTCTTCTCAGTCACAGAGGCTTTTGGGTTTGTCTGGACATGCTAGAAGTTAGAATAAACACTGTAGCTGTCGCAGAAATAAAATCCTCATCATTTTTTTGTTCAAGCTCTGCTTTGAGGAAATTACTAATACATTTGTGGGTCACATAGGCAGAAAATGTTCCCTAGAATGTTAGAACCGTAAAATAATCACCACACATGCACCAAAAGATGACAAAAATAAAGCATTTTTATTTATATATCCAATACACCAAAAAAATCCACCCTTCCTCCTGAACCTCACCCCATGCTAAGTAATAAAGGCCTACAATAAAGATAAAATGAGTCCACTTAGCTCGCCCAGTGGCGAGACCCCTCCCCAGCGTCTAAGCTTGTGATGTCGTCCAACACCCCGGGGACTGACTTGACTGGACGATGATTGGACCTCCTGGATTGGCTCCACACCAGATCAGAGCAGCAGGAACAGTAGCTCACAGGAACAGAAGCTGGAGAGCAAGCTGGTGACTGCACCCAGCTAAAGCCCAGCCCTGACTGTCTAAAGGAGGCGCCCAGCCTCCCCTCCTGACACAGGAACACCTAACCACCTGTCTTACTGTCTTTGTCGCCGGCAGCCCTAAATGACTTCGAACGACACCCTCCCTCCAAAAGTGTGCTGCCACAACCACTGAAAGCTCTACCCTCAGTTTGAGAGACCTTTATTCAGCATGCTGCTCCTTTACTGGTTGCACACAGCTGTCCCTGATTAGTCTCTTTGCCTCCACTGATGAGTCTTGCCCAAGCACATCACGTTATTTACACCAGCAGAAACCCAGGCCGCAGTGAGCTCAAGGCGTGGGATGGTGATGATTCTTGTGGGCACCACTCTGTCTTTACCCATGACTAGCATACAATGCACTTGTTCTTTAGCAAGAATCCTGATGTAGGAACATCGTCCCCACTGCTGCTAGCATCTGAAAAATGACGCAACTCAATTTTTCTGACTTTGCAGAGGTTCTCGGGAATGAGGGCATCTTGGTATCTGAATGTTTTGGAGATTTTCCCAGTCACAAAGCCATGCTTCCCATTTGGTCTTTAATGCAGTGGGAATAGGTTCATCCCATCCAGCCCCACGTTGGGCATCATCTCAGGTGACACTTGGGTACATGAGAAATGATGCTCGTCACTTTCATGTTTTTGTTGCTAATTGAGTACAGAGAATAAGAAGTTACAGATCCAAAACAACGGTTTTACATTGAAGCTGATCTAAATCCAGCAGACCCCTCCTCTAGGGGTCTCAACGTTGCAGACCTGATGACTTAAATAGGCTCCCCGGACCTAAATTCCTATGGGAAAGAGAAAGTGATGCAAATCAACACTCCTCAGAGCTTCTCATTGGTGACCTAGAAGTGAAGGTCCTTAAGACAAATGCTCTTGAAGCAGACAGCTTTCTTGAGAGGTTCTCATGATTTTCTGATTGGAATACATCCCTTAATGTTGTAGCATGGATTAAAAGACTTGCAAACACAGATGGGTCAGGGCCCATTAGGATTAAAGAGGAGACACATGTGCAACCTTTGGATCTGCCAAAAAAAGAAGGAAGCGGACACTCCAAACATTGCCTGTTGAAAGTGAAACACGTGGCCTGTTGACGAGCGAGCAGCCGGAGCTCTGCATGCCATGCTTTGAGAGGCAACCCACTTGGAAGATTGGCTTACTGTTCCCAAATCTGCTGGACATCGGAAGTGACCCCAGGTGAAATAAAAGGGACCAAAGCAACATTTTGGAGGTGCTATTGTCCATATTGTCCATTTTTCCTCTTGGTTCTTCTTCTTCATGGTGTTTTATGGTGGTTGGCAAACAATGGAAGGTGTGCCTCTTGGTTGTCTCGGGCTATCTTGTTTTCTGCTCATGTCGATACACTCCTGCAGCTTCAATTCCACCAACAGATGTTACTGACCCAAAAGTATTTGAATTTTTTTTCTGCGACAGCTATACATACATAAAAAAAAAAAAAACTTTTATTTTTTATTAGCCAATATTTGCAAAAACAGTCCTGGAGAGTAAGTTGGAATGCCCCACTTTAACCATTATTATCAGCTTAGGGGACATTCTATTAGAGATTGGCAACTGGCCTCAATTCTACTCTTTATTTCTCAGCCACATAAGGATTATTCCCCTGCCAGAGGGTTTTCCGAGGGCTGCCCATGCACCAGCAGTCAGTGGGCGTTTTCAAATGTGGCTTGTTGTGGCACAGATTGAGTGCAACTGCAGTAATATGCAAGTGATGATTTTGTCTCTGAGGGGCAGCATCCACAGAGTGAGAGAGAAATCAGCCTCAAATGTGCAGCGCAATCACTGCCCACCTTAGAGGAGTCTGGGGTTCTCAGCAGGGAGTCTAGGATCACCCTGTGCTTTTAGCAGCCAGGAGTAGTATGGTGGCCCTGAGGTGTACTTGAACAACATTTGAAAAATAAAATAAAATAAAAAAAACGGAATTACATTTGAAAAAATGGAATTGCATTTGAAAAAACGGGATTACATTGAGCCAAAGCGGAAGTGGCCAAAGTGGAAGTGGCCGAAGCGGACGTGGCCAGAATCATATTAGAAAAAACAGAATTACATTTGAAAAAACGGAATCACATTTGAAAAAACGGAATTACATTTGAAAAAACGGAATTACATTTGAAAAAACGGGATTACATTGAGCCAAAGCGGAAGTGGCCAAAGTGGAAGTGGCCAAAGCGGATGTGGCCGGAATCATATTAGAAAAAACAGAATTACATTTGAAAAAACGGAATTACATTTGAAAAAACTGAATCACATTTGAAAAAATTGAATTACATTAAGCTAAACAGGAAAGTTTTTTTTTTTTTACTTTATTAACAGCATAAAACTGAACAACAGAACAATATACAGTACACGCAAAACAGAGATACAGTTAGCAAGCTATCCTTTAAAAAAATCCTTCTTGTTTGGCTTAATGTAATTCTGTTTTTTCAAATGTGTTTCCGTTTTTTCAAATGTGATTCCAGCCACTTCCGCTTTGGCCACTTCCTCTTTGGCTTAATGCAATTCCGTTTTTTCAAATGTGATTCCATTTTTTCCAGCGTTGTTGTGATTTTGTTCTTGTTTTTTCAAATGTAATTCCGTTTTTTCAAATGTGATTCCATTTTTTCAAACGTTATTGTGATTTTGTTGATGCTTTTTCCAATGTAATTCCATTTTTTCAAATGTTGTTCATTTACACCTTAGGGCCACCGTACAGGAGAGCATAAGAAGAGAAGAAAAAGCAGAGAGCTTTGAGAAATTTAGCTGAGATGTGTACTTTTTTTAGGAGAAAAACTAGCTTTAGTCACAGTAGAGTACACTGATGAAAGAGACAGGTATTTAATTCACACATTTGACTGACACACATATAGACAGCAGTGCAGGGTTTGACAGCAAATGTATGTCATGTTCTGTTTGTATCAGTGCATTTCTACATGTGTTTTGTGTCGTTCGTATCTCCATGTCGTGCGTTTGTGTGCGCGTCTGAACATATGCGTGTTTCTTTCTCTGTTTATGTCCACGGTATGCGTGCGAGCGTGGCTGTTTGTGTCTGTGTTCATTGTTCAAATTGATGATTTGATATGACGAATGGGCAGTGAAAAAGTCATACTCTGAGATACAGTCTGTTGTTGTGTATTAGTGCTGTTTGAGCTTTTTAATGACTCTACATTGGCTGAAATCTTGCAGAGTGTAATTTTGAGGGGATCAGTCATTATGTTGTAACCATAAATCCTGCTTGCTGAACATTATCTATTTATTATTATCTTGAAAATAAGGAAATCCCCTTTTTCACTTGCCACATAACTGTAACACTTTAACTCTGCATTAAAAAATATCCTTTAAAATTTTGAAAAAAATACATGAGTTATAATCCGGGCTCTGATAAATCCCAATCATGTAGCTGACAGAGCAGCATAGCTTTTTGATGATTTGTAGCAAAAAGAGCAATGCTCTCTGGCCCTCCCCCCTCTCCTTCCTCCTTCACCCACTCAACCCAACTAGTTTTTTTTTTTTTTTTTCCCCCCCCCCCCCCCCCCCTCCTAAAGTCCAATATGTCCACCACCTTCCCCAGGGGACAGCAAACACAATTGTCCATCCTGCATAAGCTCACAAACATAATGCTACCAGTCATCTCCCCTCTGATACAACCTATTCCTTTTTTGTCATTACAGTTTCTTCTCTCTACCGTAGAGTAGTCGTTACATTTATTTTAGAAACCTGAATCCATGTGCCTGTTGGATCTCATTATTTCTCCTGATGATACTGGTTCAGTATCATAACGTATGCATACGGACATTATTTTTCTGGTGCAATAAACATGTGCTGTGACCTAGAAGCACTTGATCTAACCTCACACACATGTTTATTATTGGCTCAAGCATGTTTCAAAAGTGTCACCTCTGTATTTTCCCGAACCAATCTGGTGTCACTCCCATCTTTGACAGCCCCACTAAAGACAAGGAAATTTCATTTGAAATTATATTCCACAGTGGCTAATTGGCCCCCTTTTTCTGCATGGTAGCCACTGACTTTGCTGATTGGAAGATGGCAGCCATTGAGGGACAGTCATTTGCACTGTCCCTTTTTGGAGAAGTATGGGGTTGCCACTGAAAACATGCCATTTTTTATATTTTTGCTCCTTGTCACCAGATACGCATGAGATGCAGTGATCATTGCAGTTTGTGCTCATGTTTTTTCTTTTGTTCTCCAAGCGCAAAGCAAAACAAAACGAGGAAAAATTTGAATTAAAGTCACTCTGAACCGATGAAGCAGGGGAAAAAAAAATTACCCATGCCATTCAGTGATACAGTTCAACAGCGAGACACTGCATCCTATGTGGGGTTTATCTGGGTTTGTTTTTTTCTATTTACGCTGTCTCTGTAGTGCCATTTCAATGTAATGTGCTGTTTTTTGTGTCTTTGTTGTCTCTTTTTTTCCCTTGTTCCCCTCTCCTTACCCTCCCTCCCCCTCCCCTCCCCCTCCCACCCCCCCCGGAGCAGCATTCTGTCCCGCACAGGCAGGAAGGAGAACCAGGAAGCTTCCAATTTGGCCGTGCCCATGACCATGTGTCTTTTTCCTGTGCCATTCCCACTCACCCCATCTCTAAGACCACAAGTCAGTTCCATCAACCCTACAGTTACTCGCTCCCTCCTTTACAGCGTTCTGCGCGATGCCCCGTCAGACCGCGGGGGGCAGGGGCAGCAGAGTCGGGACGCTCAGCTCTCAGAGTACCCCTCTCTGGACTATCAGGGCCTCTATGTGACCCTCGTGACCCTGCTTGACCTGGTGCCCCTGCTGCAGCACGGTCAGCATGGTGAGTCAAGGCCCAGTGCACCACTGTTTGTCATCATCATCCTCGAGCCGCCTGGCCTGCATGAAGCCACTGCTGCTTTTTTGGCCTCTTTTGTAACTGGAGAAGGAAGTCCTGCTGAGGATCTTGAGGGATGCATGGGGTGATGGGGAGCACGCTGGATACCGTCAACTTTCATAAGCCATTGGATACACCTGATATCGATAGGCCTTATCTTCTGTGTATCATAGCAGACTGCATGTTTGTTATGCAAAGTGGGAAAAATGCTCTAATGTTGTCATGTGTCAAAAACAGACAAATGTAATGATTTTTTATTTAATGAACACATCTGAGAATGACTTAGTGTATGATCACTCTGTTTTGCACTGCTCCAAAGCTGCCTCATAATCAGTAATCCTCATAAATATTTGTTTGTTTAAAAAAAAAAACCTAAAAGGCATGAAAATCCATCTTTTTAACTAGATTTTCATTTATTTATTTTTCTGGAAGTAATCATTTTAGTAGCTTTTAAAAGAAAAACTCTAAACAATAGTTCAATTGTTTTCTTCCCCCCCCCCCCCCCCACTGTTAAACTATGAAATTATGGTAATTTCATGTAACTGTCACTTGTGGCTGCGTACAGTATGTGCATACTGTACGCACAGCTGATTGAATGCGTGTTTGTATATCTCTCTTTGTCTTTTTTTTTTCTTTTCTCTTTTCCTTTCTCATCAGATCTGGGACAGTCTATATTTTACACAACAACATGCCTCCTGCCCTTTCTCAGTGATGACATCCTCAGCACTTTGCCCTATACAATGATCTCCACTTTAGCCACATTTCCTCCTTTCCTCCACAAAGACATCATTGAGTACCTGAGCACGTCTTTTCTCCCCATGGCTATATGTGAGTATGACCTAATGTAATAAACCTTTATGGTGGTAAAAAAAAAAACTGAGAATAAAAAAGCCAAGGCACAATACTGGACTGATTAAAGGTATGCACTATGTCATGAAAACTGGTCCCAAAATAGTTCTTGTTGTAAGAAACAAGTCTGCACAATTTATTTTCTCATAACAATGGTTAATGTGTCCTTAAATTAAAAATTACCACCATGTGCGTTAAATTACCTATGAAAACAACCAAAGTGACTAAAGTCATTTCAACCTTTATTTATACAAGTTAGTCTCATTGAGCCTTGAGGACTCATTTACAAGAAAGACCTATATTTAACAAAGAATGCTAACAGTAGACGACAATGACATCAGTATACAATCTTAAAAGAAGGCATATAAATTGAAAAAAAAAATGGAAGAAAATGTAAAAAAAAAAAAAAAAAGCTACATTATAAAGGGATATAAAAAAAACTAAAAACAGGAACATGTCTGTATTGGTTTTTGCCAGGAATTTAGCAGATGTTTGAAGCCCCTTAGAGAGCTCAAGGACAAGAGCTTCGGGTCTTTTTGTAAGATATTCCAGGAAATGGGAGCGGAGTAGGAGAAGGCCCTTTTGCCTAGTTCAGTCTGCACTGAGGGATCACTGCAGGTAATAATGTCCTGAGAGCGCATGTTGTAGCTGCACTCACACAGAGACCTGTAGGAGGAGATGTATGAAGGCAGCAGACCAAGAAACGATTTAAAGATGAAAATGTACCAGTGAGAGTCTGCATGAAGTAAATGATGACCAGTTAACCAGTGAATACAGGGTGCAGTGGTGAGTACGATAGTTACAGCCAGTTATGAATCTTAGTGCACCGTGATAGACAGCATCCAGCATCTGCAGACATTTGTTGTAGTTCAGGATAACCTTGTTTCTGTTTCGTACTTTGCAATGAGCACCTTTAAATAAAAGTATGTTTGCTCAACATAGCACAAATTTAAAAGTTTAGGTTTATTGCTTAAAAAACTTTAACTATACTTTTAAGCTAAGTAGACACATACCAATTTTGTTAGGCTGACATGTACTGGTGAAAGTGCTAATTTAAGTGGATAAAATAGTTTATTTTCATATATTTTTTGCTTGTTTTAAGTGGGCTCTACTCGGAGAGAAGGGGCAGTACCAGCCTATGTCAACCTGTCTGCTTCATCTATGCTCATGATTGCAATGCAGTACACCTCAAATCCAGGTAGACCGCAGTACTGCTCTCAAAGCACAAATTCAAAAATGATTGCTCTGAGCTGAACCTTTTCCCTGCCTTGTTTTCTAGTTTATCACTGTCAGTTGCTGGAATGTCTCATGAAGCACAAACAGGAAGTGTGGAAGGTAATTCTGCCATGTAGGGTACATTAGCATAGCATTAACACTAGGGAGAAACACACACACACATGTACCAGCTGTGCTTTGTAAAATTAATTTTTAAACATTTCAATTTAAATTAAATGACAACAATAATGTCATAAGCACACCTTTTTGTTTTTAACTTAGCTTAATATTTAATTTTTAATTTTATTTAACCTTTATTTTACGAGCCAGGACATTAAGAACAGTTTCTTTTAAGTGTCGGCCTGATAGAGATGGCTTGAGGCTATAGCGTGTTTGCTAACTGTACTTCATTTAGCTCAAAGAGAGACAGTAGTCATATCTTTATTCTAATTCAGAATGTCAATAAATTAAAAATTGAATATTTATTTAATAAGCACTACATACATTTCTTAAATAGTTTAGAGAATCCAGAGAAACACCTGTGTGGGCTGATAATAGCATGCATTGGAAGGCCAGAAGCCTTTGTATTGCACTTTTTCTAAAAACAATAAATCATCTGCTGTAAAAACCACTACAGGACCTCAGGATTACTGTCAAACTTTTGTCAGTGGACATATTTAGTTTCTGCTTCTAAAATTTTAAGGTAAATTGTCTGCATACTTACATAAAACATAAAGAACATCCATCCAGAAATGCTACTGGTGTCCAAGTTTAGTTTGATGTGCTAAGACAAAATATTTAGTTTAATGAATCGAAATTACTGAAATTTGCTTGTTTTCTGCAAACTGAAAATGCAACTTCTGTGACAATATGATGTCAGTGAGCATTAGTGCTTAATGATATAAACATGTTTTTATGCAATTTATCAAGAGGAGGGTACTGTCATTTCATTTATGATTTACAGAGAGCCTTCCTAAAAATATTTAACTGAATCTCTATACAAATAAATAAAAACTTTATCATATTTTTAAAGGTTGCACCCTCTGTATGCATTACTTTTGAATTAAACCTTTTTTTTTGTTTAGCTTATTTTCTTACAGAATATGCACATGTTCCCAAAACATTAAGTTCTTTGTGAACATTTTCTGTGTACAGGACCTACTTTATGTCATATCTTATGGCCCTTCCCAAGTAAAACCACCAGCTGTGCAAATGCTGTTTCATTACTGGCCAAACTTGAAGCCACCAGGAGCCATCAGTGAATATAGAGGGCTGCAGTACACTGGTAAGATCTTCTAAAATAACACCTGATTTGTTAGCATCATTGAACTGATCACAGTTTTAACCTGCCATCATTCCTTTTTTATTTATTTTTATCTCTGTTACTTATTTCCTCTGTTTGTTCAGCTTGGAATCCCATCCACTGTCAACATATTGAATGCCACAATGCCATCAATAAACCTGCTGTCAAGGTGACTTCAGTAAAAAAAAAAAAACCCACACAATAAAACAGTGACGTTGGTCAGAAATGCGTGGAGCTTTTGCTAGATTGGCCCACTGAGTTCAACTTGTTCAACCTGTTCACTTTTATTAGCCTCCTTGGTAAATAAATCAGCAGTGGGGCAGTGATATCAGCTGCTCTACCCGTGTCACTTCTGCTGCTTCTCTGCTTTATCATCTCCACCTGCCTTTACTCAACTGTGCACAAAACTGACAAATAGAGTTGGAACAGGGAGCACGGATGTGGGCTGGATTTCAATTACCAGGAGCAAGAAGGCGGCATAGAGGGGAGGGGGCCCTTAATTGGAAGCGATGACCCCATGCAGCCCTTGAGGATAGGGTGGCATCAAGTGAGCACAGTAAATTACAGTGCACCATCTGAGCACTGAGGCCATGGGCGTTTAGCGCCGGGCCAGGCACAGTTTGTGAGAGAATGGAGTGCAACATATGCACGCAGTCACGCAGAATGAGGAAACAGGTAAAGGTGCAATTTCTCTTGCAAGTGGGAGAGGCACGTGAAAAATTAGCCGAGAGCTTTTATTTGAAAAATAAGAACTAACTTGTAAGTCTGGTAAATGATAAATAAACTTCTATTCATTGATTTGCTTATGTTTCAGTCAATATCCTCACAGTATTTGTGTTACTCCTGCAGATGTGCATAGACCCTACTCTCTCTGTTGCCCTGGGAGACAAGCCACCTCCTCTTTATTTATGTGAGGAGTGCAGCCAGAGGATTGCCGGGTAGGCATCTGTTTTACCTCTTCTCTCCAACTCTCAGTCCTCCGAAAGCACAATCATTCCCAAACCCACATCGTCGCCTACCGCCTGCCTCATTATTCTCGTCTTTAACCCAGGGGGAAGCACAATATCGTGGTTATGTAATTCCTTCCTGCCGCTAATGAGATCCTCATCACGAAGAACGTGCATTCACTTGTTTTTCCTGTCTCCAAAATGTCGACAATTATAATTACACGCTTTTTCTGTGTTGTATTTTTCTTGTTGCTATAAGTAAAAATGTTTGATGCTTTAGTTACATTAGAGACGGTTTTGTATGTGCAGGTTTTATTATATTTAGGCTCTGAGGAGCAGTTCACCTAAAAATCATCTATTGTTTTGATGTTTCTTTGACCTTTACAGAGATCATCCTGAATGGCTCGTTGATGTCCTGCTACCTCAAGGTGAGTATGCATCACAAAAAACCTGCTTAAGGTGTTCTTGTATGACAGTTTTATGTTTTCTTACAATATAAAGAAGCACATTCAGTACCAGGTGGAGGTGGTTGAGACGTGGAGCTATACACACGCATGTCAAGATGAAGATTCAAGTTTGAGTCCCATCTTAACCACTTTACTTGAATATAAAATAACCTGCATTTAGATGAGATTTTTGGATTTTACTTGCTGTACTGAGCTTTCAGTTGATGTTTCATGTGATTAAAAAGTACTGTCAAGGCTAAAGTTAGGAGATAAAACAGTTGTAATAACTAGATGAAAAATATGCCATAAAAATAGTGACTACTGCCTATATTGCAGCAAAGGAGCACACCAGTCCTGCTGAAATAAGATACCGGTACTTTGAATGCAGTGTTATGCGTGTTGAAAAAAATGTGTTCATCTGCATTAATAGTGTTTATTTTTAAGTGTTGATGCAAGACTGCACTTGTGTATTGGTGTTGTGACAATTTAATGTGTCAGAGGCGTGATAAAGACAAATTACGGCTGTTAATGTATTGAAAGGAGGATATTATGGACATCTAGTGTGCAAAAAGGTGCCCGTTTTCATTTAAAAATGGTGCACATTCTCTTATAATTCAGATAAGCTGTGTCCACGGCATTACCTATTTGGAATCCTGTTACCACTTTAATTTCTGCACATTTAAAATTTCCACAATACTGTGCGCTTCAGCAAAAAAGTATTAGATATTAGACAGGAAGGCACTGTATGTGCATCTACAAGTTCTGTTTTAACAAAGAAAACTTGAAAATATTTAGTGTAATGTTTTAGCTTATCTTTATCAGATGAAAAAAAATCTGTGAGTAATTAGGAACAACGTGTCCTTCATTATTGTTTGTTTTTCTTTGCAGCAGAGATATCTGCCATTTGCCAGAAGAAAGTAAGTTGTTCATTATTTTAGCACTAAAGACACACCTGGAACTTGTTTATCTCTGCAACAGATTATCCTTTGCAGTCTTTGTCTTTACAATATGTGGACAAAATCCCAAACCTAAAATAAATTAAACATGTAACAGGTATTCATTTATGAGCCATAATGATGTAATTTATGTATAAAAGTGGGATGTTTTCTCAGCTGGAGTCCATTCACTGAAGCTGTTCAGTGCAGACCATCTCTTTCTAATGAAACTGCTGGAGCGTGATGTTTATTTGCTATCGCTGAATGCACTTCCACAGGCCTACGTGCTCCCTGCTAGTTTCCAGGGAGACACTTGGCAAACTGATCTCAGGTATTCCTGTCAGGCAGAGCAGCCACTCTGAGAGCAATTGTCCTTAACCCTGATATGTGCAGCAGTTTATAATCCTCCCCTCTCTGAGCCAGCTCTTTCCCACTCACTCAGAGAAATTAAAACACCGCTTGGATTTACACCTACTCTGTCATTATTAACAAAGACATCACGTTTCATCTGAGAATAGCTGCCTATAAATACACAGACGCCCAGAATAGACTGTAAAACCGGCAGCGTCAAGTCTTTTGTTGTTGGATCCAAACAAGTCATCACAAGACAAATGCGGTTATGATGTTTGATAGGGAGCAATGTATTTCTCTAATGGCACAAGATTAGAAGGTGATCAGATTAGGATGGCTATCTGGTGCCGTGCTTTTTATTTTTAGAAACTTGAGACACCATGGGGATACAGTAAACCATATTTATTGCATATGTGCTCAGATAACATCTTCGCTCAAATGCATATCGGATATATCTGGGCAGTGAGTCGTAAAATAAAGAAATATATTTTTAGAGATATTCAGATAAATAAATAAACTAGTTTCTCCTCTGTTTTCCTGGCTTCACGTACTGTAGAACTGCAGCTCTCATGTCAGGAGGGCCGTGGTCACCTGCTTCTCAGCTGGCTGCTGCGAACGCCATGGCAACAGGCCTGTCCGCTACTGCAAGCGTTGCCATGTCAACCACCACAGCAGCGAGGTGGGGGCTGCAGCGGAGACCCATCTGTACCAGACCTCGCCCCCTCCCATCAACACTCGAGAGTGCGGAGCGGAGGAGCTCGTGTGCACGGTTGAAGCAGTTATTAGGTATAAACACCAGTACAGTCGTGTCACCGCTGATGATACGAGAAACATGTTTGTTAATGTGAAGCTCTGTTCAGGCTATTTAGTGCATTTATAGACTAAACTCCATCCTTTTAGATATAAATTTATATCAATTCATATCTGAGTCAGGTGATGCTGTTGTCCTTTGGTTTTTGTCCTTTGGACATTTGTTATGATACGTAACCATAACAACAATGTGGTTTCCTACAACTGGGAGCTGCTGCTTAACATCTCAAAGCTCAAGTAATATCTCAACTAAAGCCCCAAATCCCCAATGAGTTGAAAAGGAGGTACCGTGGATGCATTCACATCTAACTGGAGGTGGTGCTTGAGTGTCTGACCACCGAGATCCTGGAGCTGGCGTAAAACGCGGCTTGTGACAGTGGGAGGACCAGGATCGCCACTGGCACCTGCAGCTTGCTGTTGGCAACGAGGGGCTCAGCAGGCTGCTGGGAGGGGTGACCATGCATCGCTTGGGGAGTTCTGCCCGATATTTAGGCAGTCCGGCTACTTAAAAGGACAGAGATGTCTGTTGGATCCGGGTGGATGGATCGGCATCTGTGGCCAGTTTCTTCGGATCCACTGTGGGACGGACCGCTACAAGAGATCCTTCCTACCCACAGCCATCAGCGTTTATAACATTGCTTTAATGAAACCAGGATGATGAGCTAAAACAACAATTTATTTCCCTTTGGGATTAATAAAGTGTTTTTGAATTTAATTGAATTGAATTCAAAACGTCTTCTTTAGGTCGCCATCACACACCGCCAAGGTTTTTTTTTTTCTCAGGTCTTTGTAAGTGTGTGTGTTCATTTGTCTGTAGCTTAACAAAATAGTTCATGAACTACTTGGTGGATTTTAATCAAATCTGATAAAAAAAAAATTATCATTGGATATCCATCTATAACTGATTAACTTTTAGGATCAACTCAACTCAAGATGGCCACCAGAAAACACTAAGATCTTTACAAATTTTTTAGATAATGGAATAAAATGTGGTGTAGTAACTGAAAGTTATTCCCAACACATACTCCAAGCGCATGAGATTTTGAACAACATTGTTTACAGGGTTTTAATTAAACAGTTGTAAATCTGTCCCTTTTCAGCAAAATTTGATTTTAGCATTCTTTTAGGAATGCTAATTTTCTTCATATCTTCATCCCTTTCCATTTCTCATCTCTTTAGCCTTCTGAAAGAGGCAGAAATCTATGCAGAGCAGCGTGAATTTGAGCTGAACAAGCGTCGTCAGATGGGCCTGTCTGCCTCCCACCACTCTCTGGACAACATCGAGTTTGATAACAAGGAGGACGACCAGCACGACCAGCGCCTCCTCAGTCAGTTTGGCATCTGGTTTCTGGTGCGTAGTGAAAAAGCATGTTCCATAGTATCCTGTTAATATAGAAGCTTGGAGAGAGAAATATGCATCGCTTTGGTCATATTCGCAGGTGAGCCTGTGCACTCCCAATGAGAACACCCCCACCGAGAGTCTGGCTCGGCTGGTCAGCATGGTCTTCCAGTGGTTTCACTCCACGGCCTACATGATGGATGATGAAGTGGGAAGCCTGGTGGAAAAGCTGAAACCGCAGTTCGTCACAAAGTGGCTGAAGACAGTGTGTGAAGTGCGCTTTGACGTCATGGTCATGTGCTTGCTACCTAAACCTGTAGAATTTGCCAGGGTAAGGGTAAAACCCAAACACTTTCCTGGCTGAGCATCATTTGTGAATTGAACTAAACAGATTTGAACTGAAGGTTGAGCTTTGTTTCAATATTTTAAGATGAGTCACTTTTGTTTGCGCGTTCTTTTCCGCAGGTGGGAGGTTACTGGGACAAGTCGTGCAGCACAGTGACACAGCTGAAGGAGGGTCTGAACCGAATATTATGTCTAATACCTTATAATGTCATCAGCCAACCGCTGTGGGAATGTTTTATGCCTGAGTGGCTGGAAGCAATTCGAACTGAGGTCCCCGACAATCAGCTCAAGGAGTTTAGGGAGGTGCTCAGGTAATGCCATCTTCATTATTAAACAATATATTAAAAAAGCAACTTAAACAGAATATACAGGCCCAAGAATACACATAAGTTATTAAATGAAGTGTTTCCAGTCAAGAAATCCTCTTCGGTTGAGAAAAAAGTAAGAAGAGGAGTGAGAATAAGAGAAAACAGGAACAATTAGCTGGGTTTTTTTTTTTATTTTAAATTTTTTTTGCTTCCGTTCTCCCCCTGCAGTAAGATGTTTGATATTGAGCTGTGCCCCCTGCCTTTCTCCATGGAAGAAATGTTTGGCTTCATCAGCTGCAGATTCTCTGGCTACCCGGCGTCTGTGCAGGAGCAGGCTCTGCTGTGGCTGCATGTAAGCTCCCACACAAACACACACCGGTCTTTGCTCTCTTCACCTCCTGGGGTCCTGTCCACAGTGCGTGTGAACTGAGCAGGTTGTGATGGAGAGTGAGAGTCTGGTCTGGGGCCCTGCTGACTATGGATCTGGGTCACAGAATGAGACCGAAAGAGATAGAAGGGATTTTGCTTTTTCATCTCGCATGCACTCACAGCTTGCTGTCTTGTATGTGGATTAGTGGAAAGTTTTCTTTCAGCTTTTATCAGGAGTTTGCTTTAATTTACCGCCAGTAACCAGGTCAAAATCATATCAGAAGAGAGAAAAAAAACAATAGATGGTTGACACAAAGCACAAATGTTGTAATTTCTATCAAATCATGTTGATTTCTAGTCACTTTCTGGGCTCAGGTGAATAATAGAAGTGTTGTACTTGACTTATAGAAAACAAAAACAAAACAGTTATGTTCAGCTTGCAGAACTGGAACCTAAAGTTTTCATTCTGTTTGAGTTTGTGTATAAGATGCTCTAAAGCCAAATTTTTGCTCAACTTCTTTTACATTCGTTGCAAACCGAGCCTTTAAATTTTTGTTGTGCTGTTGGGATGAAGGTGCTGTCGGAGCTGGACATCGTTGTTCCTCTTCAGCTGCTCATTGGGATGTTCTCAGATGGAGTGAACTCCCTGAAGGAACTGGCCAATCAGAGAAAAGCACGCGCCTCGGATCTGTCTGGCAACACCGGAGCTCGAAGGGTGAGCTTGATCACAATGTCAGAAATACCCACAGATATCACAAGACTAAAGGGAGTTCAGGGCTCAGTTTTTCTTCTTGTTTCCTGCAACTAAAATGACACTAATTAAAAAAATAAATAAAAAAATGTCACCCTTATAAAACAATTCACACCTGAATGAATATTATTACACCTTTAGGCCAGAATTTGTTTTATTTTCTGTCAAGTGTCCTATTAGTAATTTGTACATATACCGCCACTTTTCGTCCGTTTTCTATTACTCATTTGGATGTGCTGTATGTTGCCATGGTAACCGCCACTATCTAAATATAGCTCTCTTAGAGGGCTTAATTGAACATGACTGTGATGCAGATTCATCACCAAAATGTACAGCCTCCCAACTCCGCACTTGTGTCTGCGTGACGTTCAGATCTGAGGATTAGAAACGTGCAGGAGGCATGAATGGGAAAGATGATTAAAAGTAAAATATTTTGTTACAGGTGAGTGTTGTGTCAGATCCAGGACGTCGTGGGCAGCACAACACCCTCAGCCCATTCCCGAGCCCGTTCAGGAGCCCGTTCCGCAGCCCCCTGCGCTGCAGCCCTTTTAAAAACCTGGGCCACGCCACCAGAAACTGCGCCCTGGACCTGGACTGTGATGATGACGACATGAATCTGGGCTGCTTTATTCTCATGTTTGACCTCATATTAAAGCAGGTGACTGCTATTTTGTGGGATGAAGAGCCATTTTAATCTTTATCTTAGCTGCATTATTGCATGACTGTATTTAGGACTCACACTCACATTAATACCCACAGGTGGGATCTTGAGCATTGTGTGTCGTGCTCTACTTTCCTATTTTTTGTTTCTCCTCCTCCCCCCTGCTGTTGCAGATGGAGCTCCAGGATGATGGTGTGATGCTGGGTCTAGACAGCAGCCTGGGGAAGGATATCGTGGGCATCATCAACAATGTATTTCAGGCCCCCTGGGGTGGCTCACACACCTGCCAGAAGGATGAGAAGGCCCTCGAGTGCAGCTTGTGCCAATCCAGCATCCTGTGCTACCAGCTGGGCTGTGAGCTACTGGAGAGGCTGACCCCCCGGGAAGAGATTCGCCTGGTGGTGAGACACACAGCATGCATAAATTAACCTTGTGCATAAAGCAGCTATGGCTTTGTGATAAATGCCCTGCAGGCTGTGTATCCCAAAAGTCAGTGCTAGACATACCATTATCAGACGACTAGCTTCTCTGTGCAAGCATTTCAAGAAGAGACTTGTGAACATCAAGTTCAGCTACTCTATGAATCCATACGTCTTCTGTTTGAAATGATTTATCGCATTTAGATGTCGTCTGTCTCTGTAGGAGCCCACAGATTGTTTGGAGGAAACCTTGCTCTTGCCTCAACCTGATTTCTCCCTCGGCACGGCGCACGGAAGTGAGGAAGGAGCCAACCCAAATGACGCAAACACAGACAACCCCGACAACCAGTCTCCTGAGTTTACATGTGTGGATGAGTTTTTAAGTGTTTTTTATTCCCCCCCTCAAAAAAAACAAAAAAAACAAATGAATTAGTAGTAATTACTAAAGACATGTTGTTAAAGTGTTTATCATTTGCTACGATGATGTTGCATGAACTGATTGTAGTTTTATAATTTCAGAAATGTGTTTTTCTTCCTTGTAGCCATGAAAAATAATTCTGACAAGAAGTTCTGCTATCAGAAGCTCCCTGTGTCTTTGAAGCTCATATACACCATTCTGCAGGTATATCTGAACCACTGAATGCCAAAACACAAAAATATGATTTATTTTTTTTGTGCCAGTCATGCACCTCTATGGTATCATTAGGAAATGTCCAGGTTTGAGGAGCCTGACATCTTGTTCAACATGATGAACTGTCTGAAGATCCTTTGTCTCCACGGAGAGTGTCTGTACCTCGCTCGTAAAGACCACCCCCAGTTCTTAGCCTACATCCAGGAGAAGATGCTGATCCCCTGGTGAGTGCAGTAAACACTAGAAAAGAGGACTGCTCATGGAAACCCTTTTGCACCTGTTCATTTAGCTAACTCTTGTCTCTGGTGTTTGCTGTTCCAGCCTGTGGTCCATGCTCAAGTCGGAGTTTTGCCAGCTGGCCTCTCTGGCCGTGCCACAGCTTCTCCACGCCCTCTCTCTGTCCCACGGGGCCGACATCTTCTGGAGCCTCATCAACACTAACTTCAACAGCAAAGACTGGAAGACTCGGTTTGAAGCTGGTGAGACGATCGATTTGTTGACTGCAGCAGCTTCTTGATCAATCGTAGCCTCACATGCGGACGTTTTTTTAATTTGTGCACATTTTGTCAGTTTCTGTTTTTGGTGGAAGGTGTGAATTAACAAACGTAGCCAGCGGGAAGAACCATTGTTCTGCTCTTTTAATCTCTTTCGAAACCATTTCTTGTTTTGTTTTTTTTTTGCTTCTCTTCCTTGGGTTGCCATGGTTACTGTGTGGCTTAAACACAGCATGAATAACAAAGAGGAAATTTTAGAAATAACTTTTTTTTTTCACCTTGTGACTGACAGAGAGCGGCTCCGTGACCTTGATGCAAAGACAAACGTCTCCTCCTGTAACTTGACATGGATAGATTTATGCCAAACATCACTGCAACAGCGCAGACATCATTTCAACGCAAACATATAAATATTAGCTTGCCGTGCATTTGCAAAATAAAAATGAGTAAATGATTTAGTTATTTGGTTTTCACATCTGGTAAAATGCTGAAAAGGTAATAAATTTACAGCCCATCTGCTGCACAGTCCTGTACACTCTCCTACACTGACACCTACTGTTCTGTATGGGTTATTCTGCTCATTTATTCATTTATTTATGTGGGTTAGCTTTTATGCATTTTACAGTGAAAATACAAACACAATTTTCTGAGTGAATTCTCACTTTCTATCCACAATTAAAATAAATGCAACAAGTATTCATATTCTTCACTTAAGGAAAAGTACCACTGAAATTATGTCAAAATACTTCTGGTTTGATCCCTCTGAAAAACACCAACAAAAGTCTGAAACATCAGCAACGTGTTACTGCTGCAGCCACTGCAGGAAGAAGTAGATTACATTATTTATTATTCAGTTTTAAAAGAATGGGTACATTTTAATTTGTAAAAAATAAGTTATGACAAGAAGGAGAAACAATATTAGATCAAAAATGGATTTTCAGTGGCTTTTTGAATGTTTTGTACCATTCTTTTAAAAGGTAACATTGCATTTTATTGTCAAATGTAATATATGATGCTTGAATCTTTCATTCAAAGAGCAACAAATAACTTAAAGCTGCAAAATTAATTTAGTTGAGAAATGACTATAGGAAATGTAATGTGCAAATATAAAGTTCTATAAAATGTAACTATAGGTAAAGTTTATGTATTTAATTTATACAATATTTTTACTTAAATAAATATTTTTATTTTTAAAATTTTATCCCCTCAACTGAATGCATGTAAATAATGTTTAAAGAATTGAAAGACTGGAGTTTATGTTTAGAGACATCTCAGCTCAGAGATTTAGTTTAATCTGTATTTATAAATATTTTCAACAATGCATTTACCATATTTTTCGTACTATAAGGCACACTTAAAATCCTTTAATTTTCTCAAAAATTAACAGTGAGTCTTATAATCCGGTGCACCTTATGTATTAATTCTGGTTGTGCTTAATGACCTCCAACTGATTTCATGTGGTTATTGTGAATGAGTTGAATAAAGTTTGACTTATCTGACTGTTTTGTTTCGCTTAATGTGCCTTATAATCCAAAAAATATGGTAATCTATGCAACACTGTGATGCATTATAAAAAACAACTTAATGACATGAATAATTCTGTATGGTCTCATAAGTTTTCCTGATTATTAACTTATGACAATTAATTTAGAACATGAGGTGACTCATTTCCTTTGTATTCACCGTGTGTGGTCAGTGTTCCTGATCGTGACTCATTTTCACTCATAAATCTCTTCCCAGCGGAGAAGGTCGCCGTGCTGTGTCGCTTCCTAGACATCGGTGCAGTGACAAAAAACCATCTGCTGAAGTACTCCCTGTCCCACGCTTTCTGCTGCTTTCTGGCCTCCGTGGAGGACGTCAACCCGTCTGTGGCCACCAGGGCCAGACTGCTGCTGGACACCATCAAGAGGCCGGCCCTGCAGGTGATCTGAACAAAGCCAAATTAGAGTCATATTTGAGGTTTGAATACAACATTTTTAGATTTAGGACTCACATTTCAGATTTAAAAAGCAGGAAATGTTTGGCATACTATACCAGCGTACTAACTTTGAAGTATTGTTTCTGTTGCATAAAACAACGATCGGTAAAACTCAGAGCCGACTAACCTCACAGATGCATTTGACATTTTGCAGGGCTTGTGCTTGTGCCTGGATTTCCAGTTCGACACGGTTGTGAGAGATCGACCGATCATCCTCAGCAAACTACTTCTGCTGCACTTTCTCAAGAAAGACATTCCCGCTCTCAGCTGGGAGTTCTTTGTCAACCGCTTTGAAACTTTGTCTCTGGAGGCTCAGCTGCATCTGGACTGCAACAAAGAGTTTCCATTTCCCACCAGTGCGTAGCTGCAAAGTTCTCATTCAGGTTTTTTTTTACACTGCTCATAAAAGAAGCCAAAGAGTCGTCAGATGTAAATTGGTGTTGTTTCGTTGACAGCCATCACCGCTGTTCGAACCAACGTGGCCAACCTGAGTGATGCAGCTATGTGGAAGATACGGCGGGCTCGCTTTGCCAGGAATCAGCAGAAGAGTGTTCGTTCTCTGCACGACAGCGTGAAGGGAGGCCAAGCAGAATCCAAACGAGCTTTTTCCCTTCCAGAGTCACTCAGCAACCGACTTCGTGAGTAGCAGGAACAGACAGCCAGTCTGAATCCAAACCTTTGTGTTTTCACTTTCAGCTGTGGTTAAACACTTGTAATTAGCTTTTAGCTTTTAGCTAGCCTTTTGCTAAGGTTTACTTGCAAACTGCTCCATTTGCTGATTGCTAATTATAGCTTTTAGCCAACATTTTACTACTTTTAGATAGTTTTTGCTACTTTTAGATTACACCAAGCATTCTGCTTTGTTTAGCTGTTAGTTGTTCTGCTCTTTGTAGCTTTTTTAAGCTTTGATCGATGCAGTTTCAGCTTCTTCAGCAAATTTCAGCAAGTCATTCAATGCTCAACGTTCACGCTGCATTTGTACATAAAATGAAACGTCTCTCGTTAATAACTGTTAGGTCATTTCAGTGTCTCATGTGTGCTCAGCTGACATCCAGACAACACACAAGTTGAAATAAATTGTTTAAAGATTTAAAAGTTCCTTAACGTGTCAGAATAAATACAACTTAAAACACCAGCTTTCCCAAAAGAGGACATGGTTAAACAAACAAGACAAAAATATTACACTTGTGATCTGTTCTTTCAGGAAGCTTGTGTTGATAAGTCTCTGATGTTTCACTTGCGTGTTTGCATGTTATCATGTCAGCGTGCCATGTGACCTTCTTGTGTAGTGCATGTAAACAAACCCAAACAGATGACTTGATCATTTTTATTTTAGAGGGCAGCTTTTTCCTCTCTCCAAACAAAACACCTCCCATTTAAACCAAAAAGTTCAGCTTTAGTTTCATTCGTAGAGAAACTGCAGAATGCTGATGTGCACGGTGACTTTCCGGCCATGCACACTTGTTTGTCACTCTTCTCCTGCGTGTGAACTCCTATAATCATGAGCCGATAAGAGCATGTATATATCTGTTTTTGTTTCTTGTTTTGTTTTTGAATCCACGTGTGCTGTACGATCATGAAGTTCGAACATTTGTCCTTGTGCTACCTCTCCCTGTGCATTTCCCTAAACTGTGCTCTCCATATGTGGTTTTTAGCTCTAAGGCTTACGAGGCAAGAGCAATCTGCCCCGACACTTGGAGATATGATAGAGAAGGTCCTGCCAGGTAAATAATAACCAAAATTTGAAACATATGATGTTACTTTTTCACAGCTGCATGATATTGGGAAAAAAACCAACAATAAAAACAACAACTACTGGCAAAACTATGAAATTTGTAGCGTGAAAGAAAATATTTTATAAAACTGTCATCAGGTTTGAACTCATTTGTCCACAGAAAATAAAATAAAAATGGACACACATTTAGCACAGTCATCAGGTCATTTGTGTGTGTGTATCCCATTTTGCATATTCCATAAACTCCCTGCACTGATCAATGGATATTGCATGATGATGTTTCCCTGTCCCTTATTAGGATGAGTTGATTCCCCCACCTCTAAGTGGTCATCCTTCCCCCTGCTATCGCACCCCACCCCACTTTGTAGCTCGCTTCCTCCTGAACCTTATCCCCGACGCTTCAACCCTTGTCGCAGGTCAGACTCCCTCTCCTGAGGACGACACCATAATCAAAGACCTGCTCCCAGAGAACGCCGGCATCGATCACCAGACCGTTCACCAGCTGATCATGGTGCTGATGAAATTCATGGCCAAAGACCAGAGCAGCGCCGAGGCTGACATAAGCAGCGCCAAGGCCTTCAACACCGTGAAGCGTCACCTCTATGTGCTGCTGGGCTACGATCAACAAGAGGGCTGCTTCATGATTGCGCCCCAGAAGATGCGCACCTCCACCTGCTTCAACGCCTTCATCGCTGGCATTGCACAAGTGAGCGACACTTTGAATTTTTCTTTTCGCTTCTGCTGCTTGTTATTGTGCTGAGACTGTGAACATTGTGAATATAACTGCACTTTCTTCAGGTTTTGGACTACAATATAAGTTTGGGAAAGCAGTTACTCCCCCTGGTGGTTCAGGTGTTGAAGTACTGCGCATGTCCTCAGCTGAGACATTATTTTCAGCAGCCGCCTCGCTGCTCCTTGTGGGCTTTAAGGCCACATATTCGACAGATGTGGCTCAGAGCTCTGCTGGTTATCCTGTACAAGGTATTTACATCACAGAACTACAGTGGCATTTTATTGCAAGATTTAAAAAAAAAAAATCAAATATAAAAAAAAAGCACACTTATTAATTTCAACAAGCTTTTATGATATTTTCAAATCTGTATTTTACTGAAGATTAAAATAAGATCATGCACACCTATTTATCAGTGTTTTAAATCACTTCATTACTAAAATCGTTTTTTTATTTCCGTTTTGAACACTTTGCATTATTATTTCTTTTAAGCAGGACTTTCACCCACGCACACACAAACCTTAAAAGATCGTCTTATTTTGTACTGTAGTATCCCTACAGAGAAATGGACAACAGCAAACTGGTCCTTCATCTGATCCACATCACCATCAACACCCTGAACGCTCAGTATCACAGCTGCCGTCCGCACGCTGCAGCCGGACCGCTCTACAGCGACAACTCCAACATAAGCCGTTACAGCGAGAAAGAAAAAGGTTAAGCAAACTCACAAAGCTTAAACTTATTTGGTAAAAAGGGTGGAAATACATCTAAATTAGCTGAAACGTTTTGCCGTTTACTGATTGTAGATGGGACGTTTCAAAGGGACAGTTGTCAGTGCTCATGTTTGCTGTATTCTTTCCTCCATGTTAGAGGAAGACAGTGTGTTCGATGAGTCAGACGTCCACGACACCCCCACTGGCGCTGCCAACAAAGAGGCTCAGACCTTCTTTGCCCGCCTGAAGAGAATCGGTGGCAGCAAGTCTGTGAAGTACCAGCCAGTGGAGCTGAATGCCAAGAGAAGTAAGAAGCTTGCAACACAGACTGATACGTTTATCAGCACATTTTCTTGCTTGATAAACTCTCACTAATTTATTGTGTATCAGGCGAAATAGAGCTGTCAGAATATCGGGAAGCAAGTGCCCTTCAGGACAGCATCCTGCACTGTGTGAGGGAGGAGAGCACCAGGAAGAAGCGGCTACAGGCCATGCACAAGCAGAAGTCCCTGGATATCTCCAACACAGACTCCCTGCTTTTCAGTTTAGACGAACATCGGCGGAAGTCCTGCATCGATCGTTGCGATCTGCAAGTGCCCCCTGTGGTCCTGCCCCCATCTTCCACAGCTTTCCGCAGGCAACAAGGTAAAGGGTCCTCTGACGGCTCTTCAGTTCGGGTCGATCCTGTCGATCGACGAGGCTCTCGTGGAGGCCAGTCGGACACGTCCAAGCCCGTCATCCCGGAGGTCCGGCTCAGCTGCATGGAGACCTTTGAAGACAAACTGGATCAGGGCTCTTTAGAAGGTTCTGCACAGGAGAAAGAGGAGCAGGACCTCATTGACCTCTCCTCCGACTGCACCTCAATCCCTGAAAAACACTCGCTGCTTTCTATGTCTGACAGCGACTCCTTGGTTTTTGAACCGCTGCCTCCACTGAGGATTGTGGAAAGTGACGAGGAGTTTGACCTTAACACCATCATTGGCTCCAAGTTTAACGGCAGCCCGAAGATCTCGGCCTCCCCTGCTAGCAGTGACACGTTACGGCTGTCTCCCTTGGTTCAGGTCAGTGTGGAGGACTGTTCCAGTGAAAAAAAGGACCCAGAACTGGTTGAAAAGGGGAGCGCACAGCAGGAAACTCAAGAAAATAAAGTCAGAGGCGTGACTCCCAGCACATCTCTAGATCTCCCTGATCGGCTGGAGAACGTTTGCCATGAAAGTCCTATGACCTTGAAGCAGAAGAGAGATCTGCTGAAGAAGACTCCACATGTCCCTGACAGCTCATTAGATGACACGTCTGTGACCCCTGAACACGTGAGGACTGGACCGGGCACAAGCCCTGCCGGCAAGACCGTTTTCTTAGACATCCCAGAAGACAAAGCAGAGCCGCCTTCCTCTCCAGAGAAAAGCAAGAGTAACAGCAATGATGAAGAGGAGGATGGAGACGATGAGGAAGATGACGAGATGGGGGACGAAGCAGACAGCGACCCCAAACCTGAAAACACGGACGATAACGATGAAGCTGAGTTTAAAATCCAGATTGTTCCCCGGCAGCGAAAACAGAGGAAGATAGCGGTCAGCGCCATCCAGAGGGAATATCTGGACATTTCCTTCAACACGTTCGACAAGCTGGAGGGTGAACCAAACAACGAAACTGGTGAGAGCAGAGGATAAACGCCTTAAACTATTTATACCACAAATATTCTATAAAATATGTTGCAAAAACAGGATTGAATTTGATGAAACAGAATTAAATTATTCAGAGAAAACCATCAAATTAAACGTTTGTGTTTCAAAATGTTGCCTTTGTGCAGTTTGAGTGTAGAGAAATGTGAAAACAGAAACATTCTGCTTTTACCTTTATAAATCAAAGTATTCCAACTTGTATATAAACTAAAAAACAAACGTTTAAATACATTTTTTAATAAAAATAGTACAGTATTTCATTATTCAAGGCCTTTAATCTTTGCTCCATATGTGATTCTCGTCTTCTGTTGTACATGACGCATATTTTTTTACTTATGAGTATCTTAAAAGTAAAAATATTAGACAGAATTTTATTCCACATTGCTGTTTTTTTACCTTCAAACTGTGCCTTAACTTAACAAAAAAATCCAAACTTTACAGAAAAAGAACCAAGTTTGTGTTAACTCTATGGTGAGCATTTGCTCAGTATTTTTTCTGACTACAAAAAATACTTTCTGACACAGAAATAATTGTATTTTCATGCCCATCATCATCCAACTTTTTTTGCCTTGCAGATCACAAAGTTATGTGTGCATTGGAAAAGCCACGAGAATCTGCTTCAGCCCCGACCCTCGAAGCTGCTGTGCCTGAAACGAGCCATCGCTCCTCCGTATCGAGTAAGACGCAAATTATCATCAACAGAATCCATTTATCACCTTAAAAAATTAGTTTTTTTTTTAGTTATAACAAATACCTTACATTTATGTATTTTGTGAATGATGGTCTAATACAGTATTTATTCTATAGTTTTGAGCTTTTGTTTTAGCGGAATGTAACTTTCCATTTTATCAATAAAACAAAGAAGTTTAAGCAGCCATAATTAAATTAAACATTAGGCTAAAATAATGATGCAAAATTATGGAAAATGTGTTGTATTTGCAATATTCATGCTCACAATGTCAACATACATTAAATTACAGGCACAAACTGCATTTAAAAAGTGTATTTTAATAATAAGTGGGCCCTAGTTTTCCTTAGTCCCCAAAATTGATTTATATAGTGGCAGGCACGCTAAAACACAGAAAGTACTGTGAGCATCAGGAAACCACAAGAAAAAGAAGATATGATTCATTTTGTCCTTGTGCTACAATCTTTACCTTCTTTTATTTCGTCTCTGTCCATTTTATGTAACTGTTTAAATGCATGAACAAAGCTGAAACCAGTTCAGCAGAATCTTAAACTCTGGTATTTTTGTGTGTTTGACTCTTAGCTCAGTACCGTCAGGTGAAACGAGGCTCTCTGGGGGCTCTGACGATGAGTCAGCTGATGAAGAGACAGCTGGAGCATCAGTCCAGTGCACCACATAACATCTGCACCTGGGAGATGGGTCAGACATTCTCCAAATTAAAAACACAAGAAAGACCAAAATAAATATATCAGCCATTGTCCAGTAGCAGAGACTTAAAGGAAAAGGCTTTTTGTTGTCTTTGGCAGGTCCTACAAAGACAAGTCTCCTCTCAGCACCGAGCACAGTGAGCATGTTTGTGCCGGCGCCTGAGGAGTTCATCGACGAGCAGCCTACCACCATGTCTGACCGGTGAATGAATCATTCAGTAACTGCGTGGAAACAAGTCATCTTTATGCCTAACCGGGCATTTTTAATGTTTTGTAGGTGTCGGGACTGTGCAGCTGTGCTGGAGGAATATGATGAGGAGACACTTGCCCTCGCTGTGATCGTTCTCTCCATGTTCATCCACCTGAGCCCTGATCTGGCTGCTCCCATGCTGCTCGACATCATGCAGTCTGTGGGCAGGTACAGCACCTGTAAAACTCCATCCACGCAACACTTCATCCGTTAACTTTCATAACTCGCTCCTAGAACTCATGCATTATTCACCTTTGAGTCCTAATCTGCTGATTTGACTTCTTGCAGGCTGGCATTTAGCAGCAACTTTTCTGGCCAAGCTGAGAGGTATGTCACTTAAAGACGTTCAGATATTCACGGTGCTTGTATTAATAATACTTGTGAACTGTGACTGACACAAACATGCTCCCTGTGATGTTTCACAGTATGTTGATCCCAGGAAACGTAGCAGGTGTGGCCAAGCAGTTCCTCCGTTGTGTGTTTCACCAGCTGGCCCCGAATGGTATCCTGCCTCAGCTCTTCCAGAGCAACATCAAAGGTCTGCTCCTTAAAAAAAGGAGTAAATTCTAACACAATTCCAAAGGAAACTAGAGAAATTTCATTTCCTGTAAAAATGCAGTGTGAATACTTATTGCTGAATAACAGCTGAAATTAGCTAAGGTGTCTCTGAGCAGGACACCTAATCCCGAATTGCTGGGTGCTTACATAGCTGCCCACTGCTCCACCTGGGTGTATCCCAGGTGTGATGGGTTAAATGCAGAGAGCCAATTTCGTCTTTGTATGGGAACATACAATGATGACAACACATAGCACTTTATTATTTATTATTATTAAAACCATGCTAAAATGTAGCTGAAATGGAAGAACAAACCCAAATTAGCAGAAGAAAGCAGAAAGAACACATATTTAGGTTTAAATAAGCAAAAAAGAGCAAAAAAATTTAGCAAATTAGCTAAAAAAAATCGGAGAAGTTGCTGAAAAGGCAGGAAAAAGCTTAAAATATCAGAAGAAAGTAGAAAGAGCACAATTGTGTCCCATTAGGCTTAAAGCAGAAATGAGCACAAAAAGTGGAAATTATCAGAAAAAAGCATACATTTACAAAAAACAAACAAACAAAACAAAACAAAAAACGGCTGAATAGTAGCTAAAAAGCAGAAAGAAGCTTAAATTACCAGAAGGAAGTGGAGAGGGCACATTTTTGCTGAATTAGGCTGAAAAATGTTAAAATGAGTGCAAAAAAATGTTGATTTAGCTGAAAATGCTGAAATTAGCATATAAACAACTAAATAGTAGCTGAAACAGCATAAAAAGCTGAAACTAGCAGAAATAAGCTGAAAGGAGCACAATTAGCAGATAGTAGTTTAAAGCACAAAAATGTTGTAGTTAGCAGAAAGATTCGGAAAGGAGACAAAACAGCTGAAAAACAATTGAAAGTAGCTGAAAGTAGCTGAAAAAAGTTTAAATCTGCACAAGGAAGCTGCAAGAAGCAGAACAAAATGTGAAAGGAGCAGTAAAAGGTTGTAAACAGATCTAAAGATTTGAAGGATGTCAAATGAGCTCAATTCATTTCCTATGAGGAAAAAAAAAAATGGCAGAAAAGGCTAAATATTTCAAAAAAGCTAAAGTTGCAGCAATACCAAAAGTCATAGCACCCTTCTCCTTTAACGAGCTGAACGAATTGATTCATGATTTGTTGAAATAGCACAAAAACTGTGGAACAAGAAAGATGCCAAAAAACGTACGGAAGAAAAACGTATCACAACAGTGTGAATGCTTCATAAGCATCTTTTTGTTTTTTATTTCACAGATGGGAGTTTTCTGCGAACACTTGCGACCTCTTTGATAGACTTTAACGAGCTGAGCTCTGTTGCAGCTCTCAACATGCTTCTGGAGGTGGGATGTGTTTTCCTTCATGTGTGGGTGTTGAGGTATAGAACCAGCAGGGGGCGCTCTTGTCAAAGCAAAAATCTTTTTAACTGCAGCACAAGCTCATTTAAAAATAGTTAGTCAGCTATACTCTGAGCCACTGTGCCCCTTTATTATTTACTGTTAATCTTTACTGAAACAATCAACGAATGAATGTATTCAAGCAGCCGCTAGCTTTCATCGTCCTCAATGATCAGTTAAATGGAAATACATTCACCTACACAAAACCATTAGATAACCTCATTATGGTTTGTGCCTCTCTGCCTGTCAGGGCTTGAACAACAAAAAGAGCCTCCCAGCTGGGAGCACCATGCTGCACTGCCTGGACAACATCGCCTCCTTCATGGAGGCTCTCCCCATGGACTCCCCCAGCAACCTGTGGACAACCATCTGCAACCAGTTCCAGACCTTCCTCACAAAACTGCCCTCTGTGCTTCCTCTGAAGGTAGATATCAACTCTTCCGCTCACTCAGTCATGGGCTGATATGGTTTAATGTGATTATGGCTCAAGGGGGAAAAAGCATCTCGCAGTGCCCTTGTCTGGCTCAATAGGAGAGTCTTAAAATTGTAATTGATTTGACTCTGATGCTTTTAACCTTGGAGGGTCAATCCAGGAACATGACCACGCAATAACCATTTATTAATTTTTGCCCCTTGAGGCACAAAGTTCAAACGTTTGTGTCTCAACAGTGTCCGATGGATTCCAGTTTGCGGATTATTATTTGCCTTCTAAAAATCCCAACCACAAATGCAACTCGGGTAATTTCAAAATAAAATCTTTACAATTCACTATGCCCGCATGCGCGTCTTTAATATTTTTCATATTCTGATCTGTTTTCCAGAGTCTCCTGGAGCCTTTCTCCAAGCTGCTGAGCTTTGTGATCCAGTACGGCACGTTCAGCCTCTCTTACCTCGTAGAGCTTTGTGGGCTGTGTTACAAAGCCTTCAACAAGGTGTGTTTTAGACATTTAGCCTAGAATACAGGAGTTAAATTAATCAGGAGTTAAATTAATCAGGAGTTAAATTAATCAGGAGTTAAATTAATCAGCAGTATTGACAGAGCTGAGCTCCTGTTTGCTGGCCTCTCACTCATCACCTGCTTCATCACCTGCTTCCCTGACTTCTCCAGGCAGCTAGAAAAGTGTCCGTGTGTCACAGATGATTAAGTAAGCAATCAGCCAGTATCGATTAACACGACTGGTTCGTGTGCCAGAGTTCAGGATGTATGGTGTGTTTCTTAGTGGCTTCCTGTGGCAGAGATGGAGCTGAGGCCGCCTCGCTGTTCGTCAGGTGTCAGCACCGCTTGCTTTATGCCCTCTGTGTTATTGATTGTTCACACCCTCCTTAATTCCTTGCCTTTTTCAATATCTGCATCTCCAGATCCCGGGTTGCTTTGATCAATAGCTTTTGGATCCTGTTCTGTGGTGCCACTTTCCAGCTGGTTCAGGTGGCTTTGCAAATTCGGTTTCAGAGTGATGGTTAGGATGTTTTAAAGCACAATTTTGTGCGGCAGCAGCCTTTTTAGTTAAGTTCTCTAAATGCACTGATGTTAGTCACATCATGCATGCTCCATTTGCCACAGCTGCACTCCACAACATTGGAATGGACCCTCTTATTAAAGAACACCCATTTGATTAGCTATGCACCAAATGGACATGCTCCATTAACTTTTAATTACGAGAGGGCCTTGCACAGGTAGGAGCACGAGAAAAGCCGCACAGTGAGGAAAGTCAACTTTGCAGAGGAACATGTGGCTGTAAACATGTAAACATGACAGCAACGAGAGAGAGAGCGAGGCAAACTGGAAGCTTGAAGATGACAGTGTGGTTTGTAAACAGGCAGCTGGGCTTTGTGTGGAAGAGATGAACAAAGAGAGCAGCCTATCCTCGGGGAGGGAGAAGGCAGCCTGACAGCCTCATCTGAGCTGCCTGGGACTCTGGGAGGAGAGATCTGGACTGGCCTAAATCTACTCCTCGCCTTCACTATTCTCCCTGGCTGCCCCCCCCCCCCCCCCCTTCTATTGAAGCTTCAGAGTTTATGCTCTCTGCTCAGCATGAGTAAGAAAGAGTGATAATGGAAAAAGGCAGTCTTGCTGCTTCAGTACATTTCTCCATTCTTCTTCTCCTCTCTTCCAGGAGCGAGATAAGTTCTACATGTCCCGCATTGTGGTGTTGGAGCTTCTGCAGGCTCTCAAGTTCAAATCTCCTCTGCCTGATACGAACTTGTTACTGCTGGTTCAGGTAAAAAAAAAAATAAATAAAATAAAAAAGAAAGAACATGCTTTATTCATCTCAGTTTGTACAAATCCATAAAGCACAACCTCGTGTGCTGTGAATCTTTGTCAGTTTGTTTGTGCAGACATCGGCACCCGTCTAGCTGAATCCACCATCATCCAAAAGCACATGATCTCAACGCTGCCAGGGGTGAGACTTAAACCTCTCTGTGTTGCAGCCTTATTAAGATCAGCCTCATAAAACAGCAGGAAATACAAATAGACCACTCTGAGATAAGAATAAACGTTTTTTTTGTTCTCAACAGTGTACAACAGCAGCAATGGAATGCTTGAGGCAATACACAAGTGAGCTGCTGGACTTCATTGCAGATATGCATACTCTAACCAAGCTGAAAGTAAGCCTCGCTCCTTGTACGACTCATACAACTTGTCTCCTCATGAGCCAGTTTTCCACCATTTTCATTCCCTCACTTTAAATGCAGAGCCATATGAAAGCTTGCTGTCAGCCACTCCACGAGGACACTTTTGGGGGCAACCTGAAAGTGGGCTTGGCACAAGTTGCAGCCATGGAGATCAGCAAAGGCAATCACCGCGATAACAAAGCTGTGGTCCGTTATCTTCCCTGGTTGTATCATCCACCGTCCACCATGCAGCAAGGGTAGGAATAACTGATTCATATAGACAAGAGACTTTAGAGGTGCAGCATAAAAAAATACTTATTCAAGTACAGAGATATTGAAGTATTTCTTTATTTTTTATTTTATGGCATTAAGACAGTTGTTACAAAAATTACATCAATATTGGAGATATTAATTTCCTCCAGAATCAATATTCTTATAACAAAACAACCAACTGAACAAAGTAGAAAATCTGGTGGTGCAGTTGGTGGAACTGTTGCATCTCAGCGAGAAGGTCGCCGGATCGAACCCCAGCTGGGGAGGGGTGAAGTTTGCATGTTCTCTCCGTGCTTGCATGGATTTTCTTCCGCGGACCAAAAACATGCATGTTAGGCTGATTGGTAACTCTAAATTGTCCCTAGGTGTGAGTGAGAGGGTGAATGGTTGTTTGTCTCATTTATGTGTCCCTGTGATGGACTGGAGACCTGTCCAGGGTGTCCCCTGCCTCTCACACTGTGACTGCTGGACATGGGCACCAGTGACCCCCGAGACCCAAAAAGGAAGAAGCAGTAAAAGATAATGGATGGTTGGATGACTAGAAACATTATGTAGCGCAGCTGTTTTCCTGAAATAATCAAATATATGTGAGAAAACGTTAATTTTAGGCTTTGTATTTATTAAAATAAGGTTAAAATTGATGTGTTAATTTTTTAATCTAAAAAAAAAAAAAGATTGATTTGAATTATTCCTCGCTGATGGTCTGCTTTTGGTGGTGTGTTTTGTCTTTTTTGAGCTACAAAAGGGCTCTTTCAATCACTCTGTCATGCATACTCAAGTGGTTGCAAACAAGGACGTTCAGCCTGCAGAGACCAGGGTGATGGTTGGAGAGTCAAACCTCTTATGTTTTTAAAAAAAACAACTATTTTCTGTGTTTCAGAGTGGGATTTTTATGTGCATATGTAACTTTTTTATGAGCTTTTACTTCATCATTTGCCTGTTTTATACATTTTTCATTTAGAACCAGAAATAACCCTATATGGTTAAGGGGGCGGAGCTAGGAAGAGAAATGTAATGAAAAGACTTGAATGCTTCCATGATTAACATCTTTCATTAACGCTCACCAATAAATATGATCTAATAAATTGCCTTTTTAAAAGGAGAGTCGTGACAGATCTCTGATCTCAACAACTACAGTATATTTGGAACATTTATAACAAAATACATCAGCTCTCAGCATCTCTAAGTTAAATCAAAAGTCAAATCTGTATTTGCAACTTTCAAGCCAAAAACACAAGTTGAGTTGCTCTTTTCTGTTGTTTTCTGTCACTGTAACGGTCACACTTTAAATCAAACAGCACAGCGTAGGGACAAAAAATACATTTTAAGGGCAAATAAGTTGATCATTCGTGCTTAAACGTTATTTTACCACAGTAATGGTATGAAACTCATTATATCCCCATCATATGAATTAATGCCATTTTTCTTTTGTTATTGAAAAGCCCAGCTAATTTGTATATATGTTTGAGGACATGTGGATGAAAGGGAAAATATTTTTGTAGTTCCTCTTTGGAACAGTTGTAGTTTTAATCACACATGATTGGTGCTCGTTCACTTATTGCTACCTTCACGTGCAGCATTATGTTTCTCATTAGAAATTAAGTTTCTGACAACAGGGTCGTCATATCATGTTTCTCAAATAGTCTTAATCTCACACAACAATTGCTCATAGTCAGACTTGGTAAAATTTTCACAGTGCTCCAAATTCTTGAATCATTTGCAAACTTAATTAACAACAAAAATCAATGCTTATTAGTGCCTTGCATTAGAAGATCTGCAGTTATCTTTATGCAGAGTTGTTGATGTGGAAGTGAAATGTGTGAATAATGGGATGCAGCGCCTGCACAGCTGTCAAACTAATTTAGCAACTTTTTATGTCCTTAGGCCAAAAGAATTCATTGAGTGTGTATCCCACATTCGTCAGCTGTCCTGGCTTCTTCTGGGCTCTCTGACGCACTGCGCTCTGCACCAGGGCTCCACCTCCTGCATGCCCATCCCTCTGGATGCAGGCTCCCACATTGCAGATCATCTGATTGTCATCCTTATTGGTTTCCCCGAACAGTCAAAGGTGGAGCAGACACAAATCCATTTTCACGGTCACTGAAGGTTTTTGTCAACATGACAGCGTTTTGAGCCTCTGATTTGTCGTTGTTTGTCACCTGCAGACGTCGGTGCTGCATATGTGCTCCTTGTTCCATGCCTTCATGTTTGCTCAGTTGTGGACCATCTACTGTGAGCAGGCAGCTGCTGCTCCGTCCCTGCAGAACCAGAACCAAACTGAGTTTTCATCCAGTGCGATCCTTACAGGCCTGGAATTCTGGAGCCGGGTCACACCAAGCATCCTGCAGCTTATGGCTCACAATAAAGTGGTAATGGCTCATCTTATACTTTCAAAACAAAAACACCTTAGTGTGTCTGTTCATCTGTAAAATGAGCTAAAAATCATCTGAACCAGAGGACTAGTTTTAATGAAACTCGGAGATTAATCATTGAATGTACAACTCATTAACTTTTGGAGTCAACCCAGTTCAAGATGGACGCCACTGCTAATCAGCATTAGCCAACACAAAATAAATGACCATAGCTCAGTCAGTTTTATAGATATTGTACTCCGTTTTGTGTGGTAGTAGCTGAGAATCACACTCAATGAGTACTCACAAATTTCACAAGATACAACTTCATCTCTTCTCATTATCAGGTATTAATTTGGAATTCTTAACATTAATACTTAACATTACTAGAACCGCCTTCTTCCACCTGTGTAATATCGCAAAAATTAGAAACATCTTATCTAAAAGTGATATAGAAAAACCGGTTCATGCATTTGTCATATCTAGACTGAACTATTGCAATGGTTTGTTATCTGTGTGTCCAAATACTTCTTTAAAACGTCTTCAGTTAATCCAAAATGCTGCTGCCAGAGTCTTAACTGGAGTTAGTGGTTCCTAGAGTTTCCAAAAGCAGAATGGGAGGAAGATCTTTCAGTTATCAGGCTCCTCTCTTGTGGAACCAACTTCCACTTTCTGTCCGTGAGGCTGATACATTGTCCAGCTTTCCTTTTTGATAAGTCCTATAGTTAGGGTTGGCTTGTTATGCTGCCATAGGCTTAGAGTACTGAGGACAAATTGACCTCATTTCCTTAAATAAATTGTTAAAATTGAATAGTTTTAATTTGATACTATTTCTATCTTAACGTGATTCTCGACCTGCCATTGTGTATCTGTTCTTCTCAAACCCAGCTGGCCGAAGCAGATAACCGCTTGTCCTGAGCCTGGTTCTGCTAAAGGTTTCTTCCGCATGAGGGAGTTTTTCCTTTCCACTGTCGCCTTCATGCTTGCTCAAAATGAGAGTTCTGTGATGGAGTTAAATTGAAATCAGTCTGCTTCTCAGTGTTAAATTATTATGTTGTATATATAAGTATTTCTGTTCAGTGCCCTGAGATGACTTCTGTTGTGACTTGGAGTTATATAAATAAACTGAATTGATTTGAATTCTGGCTGTTAAAAATGTAGACCTTTAATTTTAGCCGTAATTGTTGCTTTAATTTATATTGGTTTCCTAGATGGTAGAGATGGTGTGTCTTCATGTCATCAGTTTGATGGAAGCTCTGCAAGAATGCAACTCAACCATCTTTGTCAAGGTACCCTAGTGTTTTTTTAAATATCATTGTATGTAACAACATTTAGAGCAACACTTCTTCATACTCGTTCTTTCTTGTAGTTAATTCCAATGTGGCTCCCTATGATTCAGTCAAACCTCAAGGTAAGTCGTTCTATAATTATCAGCCAATGACACGACTGGGATTCCAAACCTGAACTTTTTCTTCCTTCCTCTGCCAGCATCTGTCTGCAGGGCTTCAGCTGCGCCTTCAGGCCATCCAGAACAGAGTTAACCACCAGTGTCTGCAAGGCCAGACCTCCGGGGCGCCGCCATTCGCCCTGCGCAAATGGCTCCAGTGCACCCAGTTTAAGATGGCTCAGGTGGAGATCCAGTCGTCAGAGGCCGCCTCACAGTTTTACCCCATGTGACCTCCTCTGTGACCCCTGCATGCACCTGCCTTGACTGATCCCTGTGATTCAAAGATATACTGATGCTGTTGGATTCATTTGAACTGGAATACTTTTAGCACCTTTAGTAAAATACTTGTATATGTACAGGAAATCTATGCTATTTTAAAAAAACTTGGCCCATAATGTGTCTGAATTGTTGTATTTAAAAAAATCTGAGGAGTCAGAGGATGACGGAGAAGAATTTCTACACTCCCATGTTGGTTGTTAAATATTATACATGCACACTCTTACATTCCTCTCACTTTTTAAGTTGCTTGCCTGCAAGCCGAATAATAAAAGTACAATTTTTTTTCTAAACGCTGAGACACTTTGTCATTTTGTTTGAGCCGCCGACCCTTTCAAAATTCAAATGTGACATTTTCTGCCCTTTGACGTCCTCGCCGATGTGAAAAAGTCCAGTTCACCACAATGTGGGCGCGATAAAATCGACTCTGCTCCTCTGAACGAGAAACTGAAGCTCGGCAATCTGCAGAAAAATGACATGACAAGCATTACCCAGCTGCCGTCTGAGATCCTTGTCAGACTGTCAGTCATGCTGCCTTCTGCCATCAGCGCTCGGATCGATCAGAGGCCAATCCGAGTTGCGGCGGTAGCTTTGTAACTCGATAACATGGAGCCAGACATTGGAGGTAAACAAGGCTATTTAGGTTGTATGCCCCCCCTTCAACCTAGTCCATCCTTCTGCTCTTTGGCAGCAGCAAAACAGATTGGCCCACGCATATACCAAGCAAACACAATTACCTTTTGGACTAATGTGGTTTTGTTGTGATTAAGCATTGTTGTGAGGTTTAACTTTGTTACCACGAAGCTCTTGTCTGAGAATAACAGATGACATGACAGCAGGACTAGAAAACCCAGCAGCACATTAATCTTTGATTTCATCTTTCTTGCTGCAAAGATTTCATTATCAACCTTTAAGACGAGTTATATGAATGCATAAACACATTTTGGGCAAAGATGAGCCAAATTTGATTTGCATTGTCGTTTTGAATTATCACTTTTTAGGTCATATTTTGAATGAGCCATGCAGAGAGGTGTCTGGCAAATGAGTAATTTGTAACTGATAATCAAAAATACACATAAACACTCTGTGGCGACCTGAAGCCAGCTGAATCAGGCTGCTGTGTCCCTGCTCAGCAACCTCTAGTCTTGGCTCATCAAAGAGCTCGTCTCCTGCTGTGCCTTTGTGTGTGTTTATGTGTGTGTGTGTAAATGTGTGGTGGAACCAGTTGTGTACGTGCATAGGTCTGTGTGTGTTTAATCAAGTCCCCTTTGCTCTGCGGTTGCATCTGTCATCCACCGCCACCGTTGTGATCGTTTGAACTCGCAGCCCTTTTCCAAGAGAGAGAGCCTCCCTCATTAGCAGCAGCTTATGTAATCGGTGTCCCACAGGTATCCAGCACTTTCCCTGCCCTTCTCCTGGCTGCCTGCCGCCTCCTGCTGGACCATATGGGAGCACTGACCAGATGAGCAGGCAGCTGGACGTACTGAATGAAGGTAATTAACTCTGGCCGGTGGCCTTTCAGGAGAAGAGAGCATGAGAGCATCCTCAGAGATTATGAAGGTCAGCTTTGACTCTGCAAGCTCTCATCACATGCACACACTTGTGCGCTTGCTCTCACCGGGTGTATGTATGGGAGGCACACCTTGAACATACATTGCATCAGTGCCCTTTTTGTCACTGAAATATCATGTGAGAGCCTGGAAAACTTGAGACAGTGACAAACTCTGGTGCTCCCTGCCTCGTGCTGTCACTTTGCTTTTACTACAGTCAGATCCACAGCGCCCCAGCTAGACAACACATAAATGTTTAAATTGCTCACCGTGTCCATGGGCATTACTATCAACAAGCATCTAAAGCAGGGAAGGCAAAGTCCTCTGTGGTCCCTCTTTCATTGACATTACTCCTCAGTGCTCCTCTCCATCCGCCTGTGTATGACAGGCCTGTTTCACACTATTTACTGAGGTTAGAAGGTCCAAATGAAACAGAAAAATGTATGAATACGTTAATATTAATTATTGTACTTTTAAATAGCTGGTAATTTTGTTCTAATTGGAGAAATCCTTCACTGTACTGTCCTTTACCTTTTGGAATTCAGATTTGAAGTGTGACTCTATGGAACGGTTTTGAACAATTACTATCTTACCTGTCATAGATAGCTCTTCAAACAAGCCCAGTTTGGAAAAATTGTTGTTTATGCTGTAACCATATTGAAAAGCTGACCACGAGTGCAAGCAGGATTGAGACTAAAACAATTTGCTGTCATCTTTAAACACCTCCAGGTTTTTTTCAGTTTATGCAAATGTTTTATAAAATATTACATCACCTTCCTTTTGACATCACACTGCTATTCTGGCAGAATAGTGTGGTTGTATGTGAAGTGCTACTGCTAGCTGCTAGAAACTATCTGTGCTTGCACATAACCACAAATTTGAATGCAAGTGCCTTTTGCAACTTTTAGCTTTAAATTGACACTTTTTAATTTTACGTTTGGCTAACTTTGTGCTACTTTAGCTTGCCTTTTAATACTTTTAGTTGCTTATTTAGCATTAGCAAGCCTTTTTATCACTTGTTGGTAGCCTTTTACTACTTTTAACATTTTACTAATACAGTCTTCTGTTTCTTTTAGTTAGCATTTTGCTCATTTTAGCTTTTAGCTAGCTTTTTGCTACTTTCAGCTTCTAGCATTTGTTTAGCTACTTGTAGTTTTTACTAGCCTTTAGCTACATTTAGTCTTTAGTTAGAATTTTGCTTGCTTTTAGCTAGTGTTTAGAATATTTTAGCTTTTGCTGGTGTTCTGCTTCTTTCAACTTTAACAATTCAGGTTCAGCTTATTTAGCAAATTTTAGCAATGTTATTAAGCATTCAGCATTCACTCTTCATTTTAGCAGAAAATGCTCTATCTCTTGTTTTAATAATTTTCTCCACAAACACATGAAAAGATCTGGATTGCTGCTTTAATGATAATGATAATAATGCTTGCTCAACACCCAACCTGTTTTCTTTTGTGCATCATTAAGCCTCATGAGGTGAAACTAGCCTGATAACTGCAGTTTGTTAAAAATGCTCTGTGTGAGGCAGACTGAGAGCATGTCCTCCACTCACTGCGAGGGGAACACCCAAGCTACATGTCCCCCCCCAAGCTCCACAACAGAGGGTTATGCACACAAAGATGGACAGAAGCTGAATATTTCTAAAACACCCTCACTTTCAGCTCCCTCGCCACATTTAGACCATCTCTTTTTTTCTTTTCATGCAACACAATAGACTGCAAATCTATTATTATGTACAGTTTTATTTACAACTGACAGCTCAGCAATGGAACTGAAGTATGTCCAAATTTTTATCTGTTTGGTATAATGCACAGACTGTGTGTGTACTATTGATTGCCATATATACATTAATGGCTTGCTCCATCAACATGACAACATTGACACAGATCTAAATGGTTGCACATTAAGATTTACTATGTATATCTGTTACACAGTACATGAATTAACAGTCCAGAAGGCAGATACTGTATTTAAATATCAATATTTACATTCATGCATCCACCATTTCTCTCATATAGGTAGGGTATACTGTTAGCTAATACCTGTGCATGTTTAAATGCAAGCATGTGTTTTTATTTTTCATCCAAATTTCCACAGTTTAGTCAATATCAATACTTAACTGACAGGACAGCACTCTGAGTACACCCATTGTCTGCATGCATACTCACATACAGACACACACACACACACGCACACATGCAGCCACGCACCGACACACGCAGATTTACTGTAGAAAAGAAAAGGAAAAATAAATAAAACGCAGAGCAGTCGTGTTTTTGTGGAGGATGGCTGTGACAGCACTGAGTCACACACGTCCCCGCTGAGGCCGTCCTCAGTGCAACCTGATCTCTTCTATTGGCTAAATCTCCTGTCACCAGTCACAAAGTCAGCCCTGGGCTCATGTCCCCTGTTTCTATAGAGATGGACTAAGCCCTGCTAGACAGATAGAAAAAGGAAGATTGTCAGATCTGGACAAAACACTGCTGAAGGCATCTAGCTGACCCCGAGAGTGGAAACACAAAGTTTAATAAGCATGAGCTGTGAGAGCAGGTGTGCTTGTGTTGGCTTAATGCTTAAAAAAATAGAATGTCATGTGACGCAGCGCAGAAATGATGTCTGGAACGTACACATTCACCAAACACGTCAGAGACACCTGGACTTTGCAGCTACAACCTCAAATAAACAGACGAGTAAAAATATGTAACACAGCCCAGTATTTACTAATTGCATCTCTAAAATGTACCCAGTACTTAGCCAGTATGTACCTGGTACTTACTTGGTACCTACAAGGTGCTTACGGTCACTTGCCTGCTACTTACCAGTGCAAAACTGGAGCATATCCAGTATGTACTGTACCTTGTACATGTCTGGTATGCACTGGGTACTTACCAAGTAAGTTCTAGGTACTTACAAAGTATTGAATGGGTACATACCTAATATGTATTGGGTACTTACCAGGTATGTACTTGGTACTTACTTGTTATGAACCGTCTCTTTACCTGCCACTTACCCGGTATGTACCCAGGTACATACAGGGTAAATTATCAGGTACAGAACTGGTACTGGTATAGGTACTTACATTCATTCATTCATTCAACTTTTATTTAAACAGGTTAGTCCCATTGAGCCACGAGGACTCATTTACAAGAGAGACTTGGACCTGTACATGGTACATATGGTGTACTTACCAGTACCTGGTATTTATCGGGGACATACTGTGCACTTTAGGTGCCTTATGGGTATTTACCTGGTACCTAAGTAGTACTTAGAACTTTTTTATAGTGCCCTTAAGGGCCATGAAATAAAATGTATTTATATTATTATTTTCTATGTAGGAACGTGCTAATTATTGTGTAAATGAAGGGTCTGTACTATGTACAAACTGTGTACATACAGGGTACTTAACAGGTATGTATATGCTACATACTGGGTATATAACCTGTAAGAATCAGGTAAATACAAGGTAAGTGCCCAGTACTACCGTAGGTTTATATCCGATGTGTGTCCAGTTAACCCAAATAAGTACCAGGTTTTCACCTGGCACATATCGGGTATGTACTTAGTACATACTGGGCTGTATTACATATTGTTACATGGAAAACCTTAGAGCAAAACACTGCAGAGAATGTGTTGTTTCAACAAACTGATTCCAGTCTTAAAGCATTAAAATGTCATAATTGAAAACTGTTTTTTTTTTTACATACAATTCATTCAGAAAACAACAACAACAAAAAAGAAATTAGACAGATTAATCAAGGTGTTCGAGATTTGTAAAGATGTGCATCACTTACACAATAGTTATTTTTTTTAAGTATAAAAATAAATTTGAAGATAAATAAATAGATCAAATAAATACACACATGATCTAAATACAAGGAGCCCAAGTCTCTTTTTGGCATGATAAAATAATCAGAATGTTGGTATCTCTGCGTTTTATCCTTCCTCTCTGTTTGGTTGGTAAAATATTGATTCCTTTAAATTGCATAGTCAGATTAATCCAGATCTCAGAGCCAGGACCAACAGTCGCATTATGCTTCTTGCAAAGCATCTGCCTCAGATTTGCGGGGGGAAGATGGACAATGTGGAGAATGGATTGTAAAAAAAACGATGCATTCTCTATAAAAACTGCATGCATTTTATTAGTGGTGTGTGGCGACGGGCCGTCCTGTCTGGATGCCTGCGAGACTGCGGGGGGCTGCGGCGCTGTTCCACTGCAGATGTCAACAGTGCGTGAAGTCTGGATCTGCTGCAGACTGGCAGACAGTCCCTCTCCAGCCTGCAGCCAACCAGCCTGTCAGCAACACTTGCTTTTACTAAAAGCATAATGTTCAGTCTGCTGTGCCACTTCTCACACCATGGGGAGTTGTGGATCTTTCAGTCCTTTCTGCTTTGATTTCTCTCCTTGAAGCTGAATGGTGCCTCCAGTCCTCGCAAAGCAGCGAGAGCAGTTAAAAAACAAAATAAAAACAAAATAAAAACACCTCAGGTGAACACAAGTTGCATTCTAGTCAGAAGAGACAGTTGGATTAAGGGCGAGTTGGAGTCGTGAGTCTTTTCCTGTGCAGACCAGGATAGATTGCTCTACACCACAGTGTTGTTTGTGCCCATGGTTTTCTTGTGACGGATGCTCATGGCATACTCCCCACGACTCGTCCCGTTCTCCTCTTTCCGCAGCGGTTTCCTGGGAATAAACATTTTCACAAATGTCAGGACAAATTCTTTAAGAACATTTACTTATTTACCTGACATTTTCTCTTCTTTCCAATCTGGCTTCAGGAAATTACACAGTATCGCAAAATCCTTAAATGTCGTCAATGATTTAACGAATCATTGGGCAGTAAGAGAACATGACCTGCTCTCTTTATTAATCTTTTAAAAACATTCAGTACAGCTGATCATCATATTCTGAAGCAACAGCTGCTCAGTGTTGGGTTGTCCCAGCAGGCGGTTAATTGGTTTGAATATTACATCTCTAAGAGGACAATGGACTGCATAGTGCTTCTCTATCTTATCAAGATACTCAAAGCACTTTACAACACAATCTGTGCCCTCATCTACCCATTCATACAGCACTCTACTGTATCTATACAAAGCTAATCTGAATCTAGAAACTAATCAGTGCTTCATCACATTCATTCACCTATGGGACACACATTGGAGGCAGTGAGGGGTTCAGTGTCTTGCCCAGGGACACTTCGGCATGTGGCTGCTGGTAGAATCGAACCCCCAACTCTTGCATTGAAGGACGACTGCTCTAACCACTCAGCCACAGCCGCCCAATGCAATGGCAAAAACATTAAAAAAATTCCAGTAAACTGTATGTTCTATTAGGGGTCCCCCAGGGTTTCTACCTGGGTCCACTCTGATTTACAAATTATGTTAACAATTTGGGTAAAAAAATTTCAAATGCAAAATGTCACTTTTATGTTGACGATGTTGTAATTTACTGCTTCAGTCCCACTCATGCTCCGTCTTCGACTTTCTGCGCATTTCATACTGTTGCACCTGCTTGAACTCAAACTTGTCCTGAATGCCGCAACAACTAAAATTATGCTTTTTTTTTTTGCCAGGAAGACATTAGATGCTTTCCCTAATATTAAGCTCTGCATGGCACTCAAATTGAAATAGCAACAAGGTGTAATTATTTAGGTATACTAATTGACGAGAGTTTAACGTTTAAACCTCAATATGAAAACCTAATAAAGAAACTTAAGCTAGGCTTTTAATTTAGAAATAAATCATGTTTTTCCTCTGCCTCCAGGAGAAAGTTTGTGGCATCTACATTCCTCCCTCTTTTGGACTATGATGACCTGCTTCACGTGCATGCCTCTGCCCAGTGGCAGCGCTGGTTGGACACAGTGTGTTGTTACAGGCTTCCACTCTCAGCAGCATGTCATTACACAGAGTTTCACATCTGTCCATCTTTGGTATGATTTGATTTCTCCTGCTGCTCTGGTCTGGATATGCTGGTCTCAGCTATCCTTCCTAATAAGTTCTATATTTAAAGGTCAATTTCGCAGCAAGACAAGAGTGAAAAATACATCTTAACATGGGGGCATACGGAAATTACCTATTTAGATTGGTAGAGGCAATCTTCCTCCTAAGTAATGAGACATGTGGTTGTCAAAACAATTTGAAAACAACATTAATATACAACCCTCATATTTGACTCCATCTCGATGATGGATGGGCTACAAGAATCCATCCTGTGAGTAAGTTCTGCTGCAAAACGCAGCTGCAATCCATGATTCCCATTACTGCAACTGGTCTGTAAAGAGCAGGATTGTTCAGTGCAACCCCTTTTCATGCACTCTTTATTGCCTTTGTGGTTATATTATATTTGCCCAGTGTACTGTAGCTTTTGCACTGACCCCCTCAGCTGCTGTCCCCTCCACAGGCTTATGTAACTCAAAGACGGTTCACGCAGTCATTGTCCCCCTCAACACTGTAAATTGCCCTCAGTCGCTCAGAGGACCCTTGAGCAGCATCTTATCTCAGTGTCTCCTCAGTGCTCTCTCTCCTCATCTGAAAGCCCAGGCTGCCCAGTGCGACTTTGACAAATAGTCACTCTCAGTCCAGTCCAGCACAATTACTTTGACCTTCTCGAGCATCGAGAAAACTGAGCAGAAAAGTGAATGCTTAGGGCGAAATGAGCTCACGCATGACGCAATGCCAAGATTTGTTACTGCTGGGCCATAAAATGATTCCCTGTAGTTTGTAGCTTGGAGACTGGATTCACGTTTTATAAAATTCTGTTCAAACACTGGAACTGGCTCATGTGTTGACAAAATCTAGGGCTGAACTTCATTTTTTCATTTTTTATAATTTATTGTCTATTTTAAAAGCCAAACATTTGCCAGTCACAATACATAATACAGTCTAGTACATATCTGATAACACCCAGTAATGTACCAGGTATGGTCCATACATATCATGTAAGCATAAGGTAAGAAGTTACTTCATGATAAAGCCTCCCCAGGTTCCAAATAAGTAACAAGTATATACAAGGTATTCTACTATTAATAAATTACATTAATAAAAGATTAACAAATCAATTTTAACAGGGCTCTTATTAAGAAGTTGTACCATAGTTTATTATGACAACCTTAAAAGCTAAAAGAGAACAAATCATGACAACAAAGTCAGAAACATAAAGCTTTAGCGACCCTTTAAACCCCCTTTCTTCCAAAGTGGAAAAATTAACAATACTAAAATAACACCTACTAGCTTTACTAAAATAAAAAGGGAAGCTAATTGACACAGACTATATTATTCATACAATACAATATAATACAACTTTATTTATAAAGCACTTTAAAGACAACAATGTTGGCCAAAGCGCTGTACACTAACAGATGCAAGCAAGCATAAAAACATCAAATCAACCGATATCGTATAAGTAATGAACTGCCAAAATCACAAAACAGCAAAAACAACAAAACAAACAACTTACAAACTGTAAAACCAACCAATAAACTTAGCCTGGTTGTGATCAGTGACTGCTTTTAATTTCCTCGCTAATCATAATTGCATGTTTGTTTAGGATATGAGCTCTAATCTCACACTGATTATATTTGTTCTAATATTTTAAAGGCCTTGTGTAATTAGAATAATCATAAAAACCTGTTGGTCTAAATAAATTATCTTCCCTTACGTGGATGATAAAGACTTAAGTGTCTGGTATAAATTTGATAAAGAGCTCCAGGAAAAACAAAAGAGCTGAAAATAAAAAGTGTGTTCATGACTAAGACTTGTGTCAGCTGGCAGGGGTCGTATCTGTGAACACACCAGGGACGCATGCTGGCCATGTGGGACAGAAGACGCCTGCTGCGTCCCCGTGGGATGCGGGGGAAGCCCTAGAAAAGAAAATGTCCAGCCTCAGAGTGGAAACACATCCAGCTGTGGTGGTGGAGCTGGACTCATGCAGCTGCTGAGGGATTTGGGATAGACCCGATCTTGTTGTTACAGCCAGCTCGGGAATTCTCCAACTTACAGAGGAATCAGTTAGCTGGGTTGTGATGTTGCAACTTTTTAGGATGTACATGTATGAACTCAGTGCCTCCTCAGTGATCCTGAAAGCCCAGACTGCCCAGTGCAACGTTGACAAATGCTCACTCTCAGTCCAGACCAGCACAATTTCTTTGACCTTCTCGGGCATCGATAAAACCGAGCAGAAAGGTGAATGCTTAGGGCGAAATGAGCTCACGCATGACGCAATGCTAAGATTTGTTACTGCTGGGCCATAAAATGATTCCCTGTAGTTTGCTGAAGTCTGGATTAACGTTTTTTAATTAACAAAAGAGGACTTTAATACAGAACGTCTGCATCTGTTCAGTAGGGTTTTTACCAATTGTTCTGTACATGTTTTTAAAACTAATCTACATATTTGAATTTGACAACAACTGGTAAAGTTTTAAGTAAAAAGACCTTGTTTTTTGGTTTTACAAACAAAATCATAATTGTGTTGGTTTGAATTTTTGAAGGATTGCATATCGCCTGATATCTTGCATTTCAACGTCTCAATAAAAGACGTCCTTGATGCATGTGTTGGGAAGGACTCTCAGCTACTACCACACCAATTTTTAGATCAGCATTTGTAAAAAATAACTGAGTTGTGTTTGCTAAAAGGAAAAAATCTATAAAACGTTCAGTAATACAGCATCCATCAGAAGGATAGAGTAAGATTTTTCATGATTATTTTCTTTCAGATGATGTTAATCTCACTTCATTTCTGACCTTTGTTTTATCGTTTCCTCTCATCTTATCAGTTAGATTGGTTTTGCTGACACTGTATTCCTCCCCCATGTTTATTGTCTTTGTAAATCAGCAAACGTACAATATGAGCAAATTTTATTCTGTGATTATTTGACAAAAAGGTTGAACAAATTCAAAAAGAAGCATCCTCCACTTCTACAGGCCCTTTATGCAATATACTAATGTTTGCTACAGTTCTTTCTTGCTTATTATTATAATAACTATTTTTGGTTTAAAGTAAGAGCAGAAGACTTTAAAAAAGATATTTATGCAATATTTCATGCATCAAGTTGTCTTTCAGCCTCTTGTTTATCCTCGGGATGTAATCTCCACTCAGACTGACCGTGTCGTTTCGGGCCACCGCTCAGGGCAGAGCGCCGGGGCCCCAAGCCGACCTCTACCCAGGCCTTCAATAATAAATGACACGCTGTTGACACATGGCAGGTGGCAACACAACACTTCACAGGTTGGATGAATATTTCATATCAAAGCTGCGCAATCACGGCGCAGTCTTTCCCCCCCCGTTTGAAGTATAGGGAGTGGATCGCGGTGAAATTGGGACACGTGTCGAGCTGTTTACAATTACACCGGCCATCTGGAAATTAGAGTAACAACCTATGGTTGAAGGAAAATGAGTTTAAATGCAGGCTGTAAAAATCTGTCAATAAATTTCAATATGCTGGATTAGCATATTCAAAATTAAACCTAACAAAATTATTATTAATAAAATATGTTTTCATTGTATCTTTGGTTGAGTGTGATTTTATGTGTCACTCTTGGACCAAAACAGCCATAATCTGCCTTTTGGACAAGTCTCCTAGAGCAGTAAGTGATTAAAAAAAGCATTTGTTAGTCAGTTGGTTTGGGCTTTATTTGTTTTGGCTCCCTGGATGGCCGACTGCCTGGACTGCAGCATCATGTCTTTTTGCTTTGGATGGCGCAGCATCACTAAAGAACACAGCGTGTGTCTGAATCCTCCTCTCTCTGCTTGCACACACCAGGCTCCCTGCGGAGTGGACTTTGGAAAAATATTGTATAGAAGTGTAAGTGTGTGTGTGTTTGTGTGTTTTTTTCTTCTTAGTCTTTGCTTCTGACAGATGACTGGCAGCTCAAGATTGTAGAAAATAACTAAAGGCTAGGAGGGCTGGGACCCGCAGAGCCTGGCTCGTCTTCAGGCTGTGGAGCTCAGCCTTTGGCCCTCAGCCAGATGATTTTCATTGGGAAAGCCCAGATCACTGAGTGGCTGGAGGGGCTATATATAACCACTGTTTTTCTACAGTGACAAACCCTTACTCACATTGCTATTGACTAAGACGCTCAATTACTGCCTGTGCACACCTTGTATCTGTTCTTTTTGCGGCACTGGTTCCTATCTGTTCCTCCCAGGAGTGATCGATGATTAGAGCATTCATGGCTAAGAGTTAAAGGAGTCACATTTTTATCTTGCCAGCACCCATTATGGCTGGCCACTAATAAATATCCAAGGACCCAGTCTGGACCTGTGTGATATCTCTTCCTCGTTCAGGGCAGTCTGGCGTGGCATGAAGTCTGCAGTCTCGAGCTCAGCAAGCTTAAGGACACAACCTGCTTGCATGTATAAAAGATGTAGCCCGCGACTGAATGACTGTGCAAGTTAATTCATAAATAATAACTTGGGTTTGGGGCTACAGCTTGAATTGCACCAACACTTTCTTACCACCACTGCATTAAAAAAGGTGCCCCTTGGCTACACAGGGGAATGGAGGATTGTCATAATGAATTCCTGAGCCAACCACCCATTACTTCTGCTGCTTGACATTGCCTATTTGTTGTAAAAAATAATAAATTAAATAATAATAAATAGAAAATATTAAATGAAGGAAGAGATTTCTGCTGAGGGAAGCGATATCTGGCGAGCAGACTTAATATAGTTCCATAAATATACCACGGTATGAATCTAAATCTTTTTATAGTTGCATAAATAAAATAAAGAATAGCTCCAAATCTTTGCACACGAGGCTGTTCTCGTATGAAGCGAGTCAGTGTTTAATCTATAATTTATAGAAGTTGTAAAACTGCTTAAATGATGCATGCATAAATGTAAAGATGTGTGTGTCCCCTGAACACTTGGCGTAATACAAATAAATACTGATTATTAGTTTATGTTCATTCAGCTGAAATGCCAGAAAGCATGTGTGAGACCATAAAGTCTAAATGTGACTCAGAAAGTTAGTTTTTTTGTGTGCTGCAGACTTTAATCTCATATTTTCTCTTGTAAATTGGCTGAATGTGAAGAGAGCTGCTACTGTTTGTTCTTGACATTGCTTGATATTTATGTTTCTGAAAGATGATTAAAAAAAAGGTTAAACCCATTAGTGAAAATAATATCAATGTATTGTTTAGCCCGTGTGCACTTTTGTTTCATGATCTTGATTTCCTGGCATATTCTGTTTCCTGTTGTTCTTTTTAATGATCTTACATTCTGCTCTCCGCGCACACCAGCACATCCATTTTTACTCATCATACCTGCACTATGAAATTATTTTATGTATAAACCTAGAACTTAAAGATTTTAATTGCTCTTTGTCAAATATTTGCTGCCATGAAAGGTTGGCTATCACATCTGTCTGTCTGGTGGCAAAATATCTCATAAAATGATTTTAATGAAACTCCCAGACAGCAAACATTGGATGAACATCTTCAAGAAGGATTCCATATAAATGAGTTGCTTGAAACCATTTTTAATATTTTTATTCCCCCCCCCCCCACACCCCCCCCCCCCCCCTGTGTCTGAACCTGGCCTGCACTTGTGTCCTCGGTGACATCATCATCAGCGTGAAATAGATTAGTACGAAAAAGTTAAAGATTTGAAGCTTTCCAAAGTAATGCAACACAGCAGAGGCACTTATCAGAACTTTCCTTTGCAGATTGCTGGACAATCAAACATTTTGTTGCAAAACATCCACAGGGTTGTGGAAATAAGTTGCAAAATCCTTCAAACGGATGCAAAATTTTATATGAAGCGACATATCCTTGTCTCAACATATTCCACTTTGAATTCTGCTTTGAAAGTCCAAGACAACAAAGAGTGAAATGGGAAATGTCTGTAAAACCAATAAATGAGCTTGACATCGACATGGGACCATTTGAGATTAGGCTTCAGCAAAGTGGAGCAGGGGTTCTAGTGTGGGACGCCAGGAGCTAGTTAGACGTTTCCGGGTTGATTGACTTTGAAACTTACATCTGAAAGATACTTCCATCATGCAGTGGCGCGTGAAGAAGTGTGCAGCATCGAGGAAAGACATGCTGCTCATGCAAAGTTGCTCCATCCCTGACAAATACTCCACTGCTTGGCAGGAAATGCCTCTGCAGCAAATCTCCTTCATCTCTTGACTCGCATCCTGTTAGGTTCTTTTTAAAATGTAAAATTCTACTTCAAGGGGAATACAGCTCACCTGTCTGAGCAGCATGTAACAACCTTGCGTTTGTCACTAAACTGCTTTCAAAAGCCAAAACCACGACGTGGCTGTCAATTTGTGAGAACAAAATGCGTAAAAAGAGAAAAAGAATTGCGTCTAACCTTTTGATAGCCTTGTAGCAGATGATGATGGCTGATAGGAGGAAGACAACAGATGCACAGCCAACCGTCCCAAGGACTATAATGTCCATCTCCATCCACCAGGGCCTCAACAATGGCACCATGGGCTCTGTCGCTGAGGAAAAGGTGAAGTGCAACAACAAAAGCGTATAAACACAATGAAGTCCATCACTATAAGAGGTTTATTTGAGTCACGATGCAGATTGGCCTCAGTTTCACACATAAAAACACAGAGCATGTTCTTTTTTCTGAGTCAGGAAGCGTCCTCAATTGTTCTGTGGGTCTTCGGTTCAACGTTCAAAGATATCCAGTCTGACACCATGAATCATTTAAGGACCCATTAGCCTTCCTTACACCAGCACTCTTGCCCACACCAATTACTGCTGCAAGAACCCCCCCTCCCTGCCCCTGCCCGACCCCTGCTCTTTCCACATTAGATCTGTGGGGTAAGGCCACTCACCCGCTCGTTGTATAACATTATGTGCATCAGCAAGTCCGTGTCTGTAATGCAGAACTTCTCCCCTCTCTTTCTGCAGCGTTTGCTGCTCTTCCAAATGCAGATTTATGCAGAGTCTCAAAAAAACTCTATACTGTACATGACAAACTCGTGACTTAGCGTGAAGTGTTATTTCGTGGTGTACGCCGTATACTCATAAGTGACTTCTAATTTTCCAGCACAGCACACGTTCATGGCGTCAAAAAAAAAAAAAAGGCTTTCCCTGTTCCAGCACCTCACGTCATAAGTCACCGAATATTAAGGCTCTTCTCAGTCAAACTTCCATTTTAATCCTCCGTTTTGTCAGAGGCTGAAGAATTTAATTCAGCTGGTGTTAAGGATCTCCAGATAGGGCGCACTCGTTCGAATTAACCTCACGTATACGGTTCTTTAAAGCACACGGACGCCTACTTAACAGACACTTCTTCGACTCAGTCATTGTCCTAGTTTTTCCACATTAGCCTTGCATTTTTAAACACGATAGTTTGAAGCTGAAGTTCTGCTCAAATCAGGCTACAAGAGGAAAATCAAGATAACTAAGCGTCTCTGCGGTAATGGAGAAATGTGTACAACCCCCCCCCCATCCTCCACCCAAAAAAAAAAGCTCTTTCAATAAATTATTCATGGTGTCTCCACCCTTTGCAAACAGTTCTGAGTGAAGTTAAAATAGAGCATAAATTGGCCAACTTATCCTGTTTATCAGAACACGCCGCTGCTATGAAGGCTGCAAACACAGAGAGGTAAATTAGTCACAAGTAGGTATTCAGGCCCTCACTTCTGATTGCAGTCAGATGGCCATGGCAGCGCTCATGCAGCTACCTTGACAACAGTCACCACAGGGTTCATAACTCCTGATTCTAACTCAAAAGATGAATCAAGGGGTAGTAGACAAAGCTCCGTCCTTACTGACCAAAGCATAAAGAAATCTTAAAAGTGATAGATTAGAACTTCCCTCATTGATGAAGCACTCTTCCCTTCTCATAATGTGAAAGTCTTGGGGTGAGTGATTCGCAAAAAAAGTCCCAGTGATAGCTCAGGATGGCTGCATCATCAGCAACCCCTGTCCAATATTTCAGTGAGGGACTCATTTAGGTGCTTGTGACAACATATACAAATCACATCAACTTTCAGCAAGCAGGCCTGAGAAATGTTTGCCAATCTGTCGGTGGGTTTGTGAGACGGATGAGGGGCTGCCTCAACAGGCGATGGATCAGGACAGTTATGCAGCACAGGCACAAACTTAAAAAAAAAGCTGGGACTACTGGGCTGCTTCACTGGTGCCTTATCTCGATCATAATAAGCTAATTTAATTAACGCATGTGTTCTAATCAGGAGGAGGGGGTCTCGCAGGCATGGATTTCACAAGCAGCTGGGGGTGGGGGGGGGCTCCCCGAGGTCAGACCCAACATGAATTAGTTCTGTTCATCTGCTGGCATCCTGCTGGCTATGTGCCCATGGAGGAGCACTCATGGTGCAAAGGCTGAAAAATGCTTCATGTGAAAACAGTTCCTCTGCGGTCAGAAGATACTGGAGGTATTGGTTGTCACACATGGGCTGGAGGTCCTACCTGTGGTGCCCAGTAGCCGTGGGGGTGGCGGTGGAGGCGGCGGCGGAGGCAGAGGAGGGTATCTCCGACAGTGGCATGCCAACTGGCACTGTTCACTAACTTTCTCCGCCACAGTCCGCGAGCACGACCTCTGGAGCTCTCCCTTATGGCGAGTGGGAACAGAGAGACCGCATTACTCAGAAGCAGCATCAGCACAACACTGTGCAGCACAAAAACACTGAACACCCAGCAGCCTCTCAGCTACAGCAGCAGCCCTGGATACCCTCTCAGCATTCTTTTCACATCCCAGCTCCAGTGCTGTTGTCACTGCTGCTGCTGCTGTGTAGTACATGCAGAATAGTACCACGTCGACAGCTGCAGCTCCCTGTAAGAAACCACCCACCAGCAGAGTGGGCAGCAGGCTGCCCCTAGGAGTGTGTGCGTGGGCGGACTTGGAAACTCAAGCAGATCACATTACACATGAACCCTGGCAACACTGTGTGCGTGTGAACAGCAGCTCACCACTCTCTGTGGGCAGCAGCTGGGGGCAAAGGTTAGAATGCTCATGACTAACATATGCCTGCTGGAGGGATCCTGGTGGGAATGTTATCATAAAAACACACAATTAGATACTTCATGTTCCCACTGCAAGAGCTGAGTGTTTTCTGTGTGCACCTGAGCTGCACCCCTCACATGCATTTCAGTAAAGAGCAGAGTTGAGTATATTAACTGCACGATGAGTTCTGCAGTTTCGTGCGTAAAAAGGGGACGAGCTTACCTGGCATGAGAGTAAAAAGAGTGAGAGGAGGCAATGGCAGAAGAAAACAGGCCAGAAACTTAAAGTGAATGGCATCAGATCTTGGACCAGCATTCCTTTTTGCGCTGTTCTTGAAGGTAGAAGTGAGCGTGTCCAACCAGAGGGTGCAGCAGACACAGGCTGGGGCTGTTTGGGAGACAACCATCCACCCTTTCCTCCAGCTGCGCGGCGAGATCTGGCTCCACAAATAGTTTATGCCCCAAGCATTTTCCTCTTCAGAGCCCGTTGTTGGTAGCATATGGAGCCGGCGGAAGGAGGCGCAAATCTCGATGCTTCACATCTCCAAAGTACTTTTTTTAATTATTATTCTTTTGGTTATTTGTGACTGGCTCCCGGACAGCGAGCGAGCGTAATGTGAGGGCGGTGGATGGCCCGTACCTTACATCTCTTCTCGAGCCACTCAAGCCATCGAAGTTGGCAGAAATGAGAGTGTAAATTTACAAAAAAAGAGGAAACAAACAGAGAGAGGGGGAGAGAGAAAGAGAGAGAGAGCGAGGGAGAGATCCTGGAGGATGTTGCGCGGCAGGATTCCTCGTGAAGCATCACACGTCCCCTGAACTTATCAAGGCAGAGTCCGAAGGGCAGAGCCGTGCGTGCAAGTGATGCATCTCCCTCTGTGCCAAATAAAGAATTAATATATATATATGTAAATATTTTAAAAAATAAATAAATAAATAAAACATAAACAGCACAGCAGGGCTGGTTCGTATACGGGGAGAATCACCGGCGCGCGCGCATCAGCGCATCCTGACAGCTCCAAACAAAATCACCCGGCGCTCCTCTCAGAGTCCCCCCCCCCCCCCCCCCCCCCACACACACACACACACACACACTCCCTCCTCCAGAGCAGCAGGCTGGTCATGTGGCCACGAATCAGTTGTCAGCACAGACTCCTGTTTGCCTTTCTTTACCTGTTTGGCTGTCAGGAATTTATTTTTTTCACGAAACAGGATTAAAGTCAAGAGAAACACCTCTAATTGATATTCCTTTGACAGAATGCATATCGCCCGCCGCCCCGCATGCCATACGTAAAATCATCTTGCGCTACATTTTAAGTTCACTATCTATGAAACTGAAGGAGCTACAGCCATCGGATTGAGTCCAATGATAATCAGTTGTAGTTCACTCTGAAAGTTTCATTGAAACCAGTCCAGTGGTTCGTGAGATATTTTGCTAACAGACAGACAGAGTTGATCTCAGTGGCTCATGTTCTGAACGCAGATCTCGCCCTATAGGTGCAAGCTTGGGGTGACTCTCAGCTACTACCACACACATTTTTAGCTCAGGTAATGCCATTTTGACTGCGTTGTGTTTTATGTGATCAGCTGTGGCAGCCGCCTTAATCTGGGCTGACTCCCAAAAGTTAAGCATCTAATAATTTTTGCAAGTTTCATTAAAATCTGTTCAGTTATAACTGCACAGACATAAAAACCATCTGGATGCCACCTGCCAGTTTAACCATTATTTTTATTATTTGTTGACATGTGCAGTAAAATGGGGTAGGAGGTGAGGCTGCAGGGCATAGCACAAAGCAACAATAAGTAGATTTTAAGAGCAGGGTTGCATAATGTTGTTGGTGGTCCTCATTGGGCACGGTTATGAAATTAGCCTACAGTCATATAAAGAAGCAGGGAGCCAACGTGACATAAAAGTGGCTGATTGACAGGAGGAATACAACCTCTGTGGAGAACCTTCCTGCTGCAATGGTACTTCATCTGTATAAAATGATGAAACCATTCATTTGTAATAAGAAAAGTGGACCAAACTACAAACCTTGGCAAGGTTCTAGTGGTTTAAAAGTTAAAGCCCACCCAAAAAAAAATAAAAAAAAAATGAATAAAACCACACAAGCAACTCCTGAGCTGACAGTTCTGGATTAGGATCAGTGGATTCAGCAGCGAGCCCTGAAGCCTTTTGTTGTGGCTGAGCGTTTATCACATGTCCTGCCTGTCAAAAAGCACTCCGCACACAGTAATGGGATGAGCTCACACAAAAGAGAGCTGTGGGTGACTTTTAGCAGGGAAAATCCAAACTGTATCAGTGTGTTTTCTTAAAAACATACAAGACTGCATTGGGCGTATATCTGCCCAGCAGGTTCAGCTCATCCATCCTCTCCCAGTCTGTCCCTGTATTGATTATCTGACAAGAGGAAAGCTCTACATCCTTCCTGTTTGCTTCCTGCTACTTCGACTCATTTCACCCAGCAGCAGTCTGCCACCACATACATCACAGCCTTAATAAACTCCCATATGAAAACCTCTTTATAGAATTACAGGGAGCTTTCAGTCATCTGCTAAAATCCTAATCTGCATATCTTTCAGCGGTATTAAAAGAAAAAAATAAGGGATTTTACACCCTGTTTTAATTTGCAGAATATTAATGTTTTGCTGAAATGAGCTCTACAGCTTTTATCTTTATTACTATCTGTGTTTTTCTCTTATTCTACCAGTATGTGAACATTATTGGATGAGTTTAGGATGCAGCACAGTGGAAGTGCAGTGCCATCTAGTGGACAGATCAAATTTATTTGTGAGAAATACTTTTACTATATTATTTGAAGGGTTATTTCTTAAATTTTACCATTGCTAAACTGAAACACCACTAAAAGATACTGTTTGTTTAGTTTGGATGCACTAATTATGATTATTTTTAATGCTGATAAGAACTCAACTAAAGGTTTAAGCAGAAACATATTCATTATCTGTTAAATATTTATTTATAGAGCAAAAATGATGCATTTAAAAGGGAAAATTGTCCATTTTGAGTAACTTTACAGTACCTGCTACAAGCTTCCTGCTTGATTCTGCAGCATCACCTGCTGAGCTACGTGGCTTCTTTACTTTATGTGCTGCAGAAAAGGCAGGTGTCTCACAGTGTGTGGAACAGCAAAGTATTTAAATGGTTTTAATTAAGACTGCACCACTTGGACTGCGCCATCACAGCAGGACAGATTCCTCTTTAAATGTAGATATGCCTGACCAGATTTGTGCTGAAATAGCTATATTTATATTGTTCTAAAATAAGCAGAATTCGTGGCGTTCACCTAAAATACTTTTTTCTTAGTCTTAGACATAAAACAAATTTAAATTAACATATCAGTCAAGCCAAAACTGTCTAAAACCTATAGGGTAAAAACATAAGAAATACACTTTGCTTCTCCCAGAAGGTTGTTAAATGATCAGAGTACAAGTTAAAGTGTTAAAGGTTTAATTTGTGTTTATTATTTAAATTGGACATTAAACTTTTCATCATTGAACACAAACATCTTTGTCCCATAATTTATTGTTTGGGATCTGGTCAGCTTTAAATTCAGCATTTAAAAAAAAAAAATCATACTAAGTGTACTCCCCCCCTATTTTTAAATATTATTTGGCAATATATAAACAAATTACTCTCATTCTCTGGTCATTTCATGTTAAAGACGTCCACTGACATTGAAGTCATAAGGCATTACAGAAGTGGAAACTGATTTTAGTATTTTTGTTTTTCTATCATTTAAATATGTCACCTGTGTTTGCACATTTATATCCCGAGGTTTTCCAGAGTGATTTCCTTCAACCTTCAGTCCTAAAGTCTGAAAATTATTACTGTCTAACACCAACACAAATTAAAAATTTTTGAACCTATCAGTCTACTATTTAATGATTTTATCTCCAAACTAAAATAAATAAAACCAAGAAAATCACTTCAATTTGTAGATATTATGGATCTGGCACAAAATGTAAATCCTAATGTTTACAATTGTTGCTCATTTATCAGGGTTCACAACTTTTTAATAGTCTTAATTTCTCTCTTTTGCCTCTAAACCGCAGAAACCAATCTCTTCTCTGGGTATTAAAATAATGTTTTATTGTCCAGATGACCTGACTGAAAATTGTTGGATTGTATACCTGGATTATTGAGCATGGACTTTGTTGGTTTTGACCCAGTTTGACATGACTGTCAACGAGGAAAAGGGCTGGCACTGGAGGGAGTGTGCCAAAAGCACCATCTTAGCACCACCAGAACTGGTTTGTTCCACTTTGGAGTAAGCTGTTGGGGGAAGAATCAGTTTTGTGTTTTATGTTTCCATGGTTCTTCCTTGACTGATGAAGCCTTCTGTAACTTCTGTAACGTAACTAAATACATACATTTCTGCAACAAATCAACTCAAGCCCCCAAATGTTTAAACATGATCCACCAGTGGCCATTTAGGGATGCCACATATGCTTCCTCTTTCTTTTACTCATTCTTCTTCACTTCAAAAGCTCAGGAGTGGGGTGACAGGCCTGGGGAGGGGGAGTCCTTTTGTTAATTGGCCTTTTCAGCTGAACAGAGGTGAGGGAAGGAAGAAGATGGGGACAATGGGGTCCCATTGCCTCTATTCTATAACAAGAGGGATGGACAGCCATAAAGGTCTTACAGTCTCATATTTGTTGCAGGTTTGTAGAAGACAAATCCTCTCCTGGTGCAGGACATGCATGGGGTGTTCACTTAGCAGAGAGCTCTCTCACATCCCATTGCCTTGCTGCGAGATTTCAGAACGATGCTTTCCCAGTTCAATAGAGGGATGAAGCTCAATTAGCATTTCACAAGTCCCATTTTCCTCCCCTAATGCAACCTTCCCCGCGGAGCCCGTGCTTTCTCTGGGGATTGTCCTGTTTTAGGCCCTTGTTGCGGTTGGCAGGGTGACAGTATTCGAGTGTGCAAACTTGTGCTATTGTCCGCGGGCCAGAGGGAGCCATGGAGACCCCATAATATGACACAGGAAAATGTTTGCTGATGGCAATTCTATGGGCTTTGTCCGACTCTTTCTCCTTCATGACGACTCGATTTAAGTCTCTAAATGTTTGACTACAAATGCAGGAGTGCTATCCAGCTCCTTTCCCCCCTTTGTCCCGCGAGGTTTGAATGAGTAATTCAGCTTTTGTGTCGCTCGATTGAGGAGGCAAACAGAAAGACAAGATTCTTGAGCGCTCAAGCCTCTTTCCATGGTTATGCACTCTTTAGATCCCCCCCCCCCCCCCCCCCCAAACCCTCACCAAACCTTGCAGCTGACATCACTCTTGAGAAGGGCATCAACTTTACTCCAGTGTGCAAGTAAAATAAGAACAAATTTAATCTGAGTTTGTTTTGCAATCATTTTTTTATAAAGAAATTTATGGAGATGGTGCGTTTTAGGAAGTGTCGGTTCAGCGTGGAGTTATCGCATCCTCTTTGGCGGCTTTCTCCAGATCTCCATGACAACAATTTGCACTGGGGAAGAATTTGATACCAGGGCGCTTGGAGACTGATTGGGGTGCATTGTGAGGGGCCTGGGGTCGCTGATTGGTTCAAGGAAAGGACCATAACTACAAGGAGTTTATATTCATTCAACTTGTTGAAGTACTCCCGCAGTCTGGAGTGAAGTTTGTTGGACTGTATATGAGGATTTATCAAGCAAAGGTGAGTAAAATTAAAATATTATAAAGTTATTGAGTAAATGGGTTATATATATAAGCTGTTTAAAATTTGATTTCAGAATTAGTTTTGTGCGTAATTACGCAAACGGCTAATTTTGATTTCTTCCCAGATCTTTCCGGTGGATTAAGCTACGTTTTGTTTATCATGGACTGATGAAGCAGGCTAAAGACTTGGCAAACATGGCAGGTGCAGACAGTGAAGTCAAAACTCTGCTCAATTTTGTAAATCTGGCCTCCAGTGACATAAAGGCGGCCCTGGATAAGTCCGCTCCGTGCAGGCGCTCCGTGGATCACCGGAAATACCTGCAGAAGCAGCTGAAGCGCTTCTCTCAGAAGTATCCCAGAGTGCCAAGGTGTCACGCGCACAGATCCGTGGATTACAGATGTCTCAAGCCGGCGGGGGCAGCTCATCAGAGCGCGGAGGCCAGCTCCGACGCGCAGGACGTGGAGAACGTGGACCAGGTGCCCATGAGGAAGCGCCAGCTGCCTGCCTCGTTTTGGGAGGAACCCAGGCTGATGAAAGCCAGACGGGACAAATCATGCTTGAAGAGAAGCCCCGTGGGAGCATCCGATGGGGGAGAAAAGAGGAAAACGACCGTGGATGATGACGCAAAGGCCTCTCCCTCCAATCGGCGCAGTTGTGCAGATAAAGAGGTGCTGAAACTGGATGTGACCTCTCACCACACGGTGAGCGTCTGCGGCTGCTGCCCCTTTCAGTACCACGGACACCACGTCCTCCACAGCCACATTGTCGTCCCCCATCCGCCCCTGGGACTGTGGAGCAAGGCGGCAGGAACCGAGGAGCATCCTTATGTTCAGAGACTTCACACACACGTTGTGGTCAAACCCATACCCACCAAGCCCTCTGCTCAGTCACCAATCCTCAGTGTGTTTGGATTCATTTAAGCAGCATGCATGTGTAAATAGGACATTTGTTGGTTTTAATAATAATATTTGGGAATTTCATAAAGAGATGCTTCCTTAAGCACTTATTGGAATACTGCATCTCCTTTTCTTTTAACCTAAATTGCACTGGCTCCAAAAAAAATTCACCAGCTTCTCTTTTATGACACCTATAAACACTGCCGGCACGTTTTAAAAGTTTCTTGTTGTGCACAGAGAGTGACGGTTCTATTTTAAGTTCAAAAAGTCACTCACGGCTGTCACTGTTGCTTCTTTTAACTATGAAATTCATCTGTCTGTCACAGTGGAGTTTGATGTTTTGGACATATTGACTTTCATTTTTTTAAATAAAAGATTCAACATTTGTTATTTTTTTCCCACCTTTTTTCCCAATTTATAAAGATATCTATGAAGTAAACAGCATTCTGACAGATTAAAGAGCCTTGTTGTCACATCACATATATTATAAATAGATATTTATACATGAAAGGAGCGTTTACAGATTAAAATACATGACGAGACTAAAAAAAGACACATAAAAAGATAAATTTAGTCGCATCTCTGAAGATAATGTTCATCACAGTCAGTCAGCCACACTTAGATATCTGATCAGTCTGTTTGGGAGAGGTAAGCTTGGAATAGATCTCAGTTTGTCTCTCGCCATCTGAGTCCGAATTGTTAATCTGCAAAGGTGCACGAGCGATCGCGGTGACGCTGTAAGATAAAACAGATGATAAGGAGTATTGCAACATGCATAAATGCGGAACATGGTGGTTTTGAGGAAGTGAAAGAGAGGATGAAAGAAGAATGTTTCCTTTTGAGCATGTGAGGGCAATGGTTTTTATCTGACACTTACATGACTTCCTCTTGATTAAATGCCATTCTTCTCTGCTGTCCAGGAGTGCAGTGAGCCTGCTGCACAGCTGAACAGGACCGACATGCTCCAGCAGCAAGTTTATGACCGGTCCTGCCCACTTACACATAGCAGGTGTGGAGATCCACTCACAGAACTGAAAATTGAGTATACATTATTGGAAAACCCTTTAATCTTGTATGCTTTCAAAAGGACCACAGTAGTTCCTCCTACTCACCTGAGTTGCCTTTTCTGATGGCTCATTGCAGCTTAAAGAAAGCATCCAGTCATGTCCATTACTGACAACTCCTGAAGGAGGGTGGGCGCTACCACCGTATGGACAGGTAAAACAGGAGAGGGCGTCACAGCCGTGGTTCAAAACACATTTGAGAAGAGGGAGGTTATCCTTGCAAAGGGCAATGATTGCTGGGAATGTTGTAGCATGAGAGGGGAGTCTGGCATTTACATCGGCACCTCGCTCCAGTAATGAGGCCACGGTGCTGACGCAGCCCTGATGAGTGGCCTTCAGCAGAGGACTGACTGGATCCAGACTTAGACTGGCACCAGCTTTCAGTAACACCTCCGTCGTTTTGGTGCTGCAGTTGGCAACGGCAAAAAAGAGAGCTGTGGCACGCCGATCGGAGTAGCGAGCGGAGTGGGTGTGGGCCAGAGTAGCGTTCACATCTGCACCTGTTCTCAGCAGCACAGCTGCCACAGTGTGTCTGTCGTGCTCTGCTGCCAGGTGGAGGGGCGTGATCCAACTGTGCCGGAGCACGGCTCGACTCGTTACCGACACGAGCTGTGACACAATCCTGAAAACACAGCAAAGAGATTCACAAAAACACCACCAACTAATACAAATGTTACATCCTCAGATGAACAGGAACATAAAATCAAGAATCTAAACATACTCGTGGTGTCCATACTGGGCTGCAACATGCAGTGGCAGCAGTCCTGAGTTGCTAGGTTTGTTGGCGTCTGCATTTTTAGTTAGCAGCAAGGCTACAACTTCCTTGTGGCCATTTTTACTCGCCACATGCAGCGCCGTAGCACCATCACAAGTCTGCATGTTCACATCTGCGCCTGAAAAAGCACCATCCTTTAATACCAAATGGAAAACTGAGGCATCAAAGAATATGTTCTGACAAAAACTACCTTTCTCAATCAGGTAAGACAGAGGCCTCATCAGTCCTCGCTGAGCTGCTACAATGAGAGGTGTAACGCTGTAGGTGTTCGGTGGATTGATGGTGGCGCCGGCTCCGATTAAAATCTCACAGATCTCCATGTTGTTCCTGGATACAGCCTCATGGAGGGCCGTCCAGCCCTGAGCACAGCGCTGGTTCACAGTGGCACCGTGTGACAGGAGGAGTCTCACCATGTCCACGTTCTCCAGCTCACATGCTGCAGGGACAGAGAGAACATGTTAATCTGTCACTGTTAATCCAACGTTTCTGATTTCACAGCCGTACCTTTATACAAAGGGGTTTCTTTGTTGTTTCTGCAGATGTCCGGGTCAGCGCCAGACTCAAGAAGACACCGCACACAAGACAAGTGTTCACATGACACAGAGAGCAGCAAGGCTGTTTGCTCCTGCAGTGTCCGCTTGTCTATTGAACCTGGATGGACTACAGGAGAAAATAGATAAAAATTAGGCACTAAACACTTCAGTAATCAAAGCCGTCTTCTGTAAGGTCATCATTTATGATTTGAATGTCATTACCTCTCAGTAGAGCCTTCAAGCACTCAGTCTGCCCATGGTACGCAGCATGATGCAAAGGTACCCAGCCATCTTTGTTTTCCTTCAGCAGACTGAGAGAAGATGGGCCCAGATCATGAACAGCCTCTACATCTCCTCTCCTGATGGCAGAGACCACAGAGTCAGCATCCCTGTGAAAGGAGAGGCAAAAATACTTAAAATGACTTCAAGAATCACAATTCAGCATTCACACTCTAGTGATCCAGTTTCTCTTTATTTGTCTTTTTGTCCCTTTTTATTACATGTAACTGTTTCAACATGCGTTGTGCTGTTTTAACTATTTAAAAGTCAAAATGGTCAACTCATTAAGAAGATTTTTAGCTTTGGCTTTTGTAACTTTTATATGTTGTGTGATGTGTGATGTTTATAAAAAGTGTCACTTGATCAGGCTACTTCTTGTTATTCTCTAAAATAGTTATTGAATCAAGTGTTTACTTATGTAGGTAAACATAGATGTTTAACAACCAATTAAATACACCCGAATGCAGAAAAGGATGTCTATTTTATTCAGAATTTTCTAGGGGAGGACCCCCACCTGGCAGCACGGTGGCACAACTGGTAGAGCCGCTGCCTCTTAGCGAGCAGGTTCCTGGTCCAAATCCCGGTCCGGGGGCATTTTTGGGTGGAGTTTGCATGTTCACACTATGCATGTGTGGGTTTTCTCCGGGTACTCCGGTTTCTTCCCACAGACCAAAAACATGCATGTTAGGCTGATTGGTAACTCTAAATTGTCCCTAGGTGTGAGTGAGAGAGTGAATGGTTGTTTGTTTCGTTTGTCTCTACGTGTCTCTGTGATGGACTTGGGACCTGTCCAGGGTGTACCCCGCCTCTCGCACAGTGATTGCTGGACATGGGCACTGGTGACCCCCGTGACCCAAAATGGAAGAAGCGGGTAAAAGATAATGGATGGATGGACCCCATCCCCATTTGCATTCCGGCATTGTTTGGGTTACAAATTAAGCACTGGGGTAAATATGATAGCTGGATGGATGGAAACATTTCAGCTACTTTCAGATAACATTTTCCTTTCAAGTTTTAGCTAGCATTTTGCTACTTTTACCATCTGGCAACATTTACCTATTTTTTTTTAACCTTTTTTTCAGATAGCATTTTGCTCCCTTTAGCTACCATTTAGCTACTTAAATTTTTGGCCAGTATCTTACTTTTATTTTTAAGATTTAGATTTACATTGTACTGTTGTTACCTTTCGGCAAGTGGTTGCTACATTTAGCTTTTAGCCATCGTTTACCTATTTTTATTTAAGGTTTTTCTATTTTTCATTTTATTTTACTGTTGAGATTTAATAAGTGTTCAGCCTCTTTTGGCCACTGCTTCTTCAGCAGATCTCCTCAGTCATTCAACGCTCACACCTTGATGTGGATCTGTTACACAAAGAACCCCCCCACCACCACCACCACCACCACCACCACCACCACCACCACCACCTCCTCCCCACACACACTCACTCCGTCTCCGTCGTCCCTCTTCCTCTCCGTGGATCTCCTCGCAGTCGCAGATGAAGATTATTACATTTCCGTCCAGTATGGCGGAACTGAGACAAATAGTCGGAGTAGCTGAATTTGGTCATTGTGCTCTCCTCTCACTGAGGAGCAGCGCGTGCTGTGCCGAGCCGAGCCAGGCTCAGCTGTGCTCTGAGATTATTTTGGGACGGGGACTGCGTCACGCAGATATGTCCAACGACTGGAACATCCAGAGATAAGAGAACCCAGTCTAGTAAAAGTCTGTCATAAACCACCTTTAAAAAATACACATTAAACATTAGGCTTAAAACATAATGTGAATGATGTAACTTCAAAAATGAAACCACTGAGATGAAAGCCTTTTTCACTCATGCCCTATTTATAAAGACACCAAGAATGTCACGCACGAGCAAACATTCAAATGAAGCCCCAGACCTTATCTAACAACTTGTGACATGTTTGAAGCTGCAGAGAAACCTAAAAATAACTCAAGGAGCCCTTCAGACAGTCAGAGACGGACAGGACTCAAACCTGTGACACGATTAATGTTTGTATTTAATGGAACCAAAAAAAAAAACTAAAACAAAAAACAAAAACTAGAAATGATTAAATAAAGTTGCTACCGTGTCAGAATGATTCAAGGCCTTCAAGACATTGCGAAGTACGGGTGTGAAGGGTGCTGCAGCACCCCGGATGGAAGGCAACAGGACATGCATCTTCAAATACATGATTAAATATTTTATAAAACTTAATTTAATTAGCGCTGGACTCGTTTAAACTCTGATAATGTTTGGATATTGTTGAGCTCAGTCAATCTGAAACACATACGGTTAAAGTATATCCCGTTAAATAAACGAGGTCTGCAGTCTTTTCTTACCTGAACAGGTTCGCTGTGCTGTTTGGAGAGCCGCACTGAGTCTGGGAGCAGGCGGACAGTCTGCGCTTGACGTCGCTGTGCAGTCTGCGGTACAGACACCTGGATCTGCTGACTGCTGTCATGTTAAGAGGAGATTTGTGGTCGAGTTCAAGGACCAAGCTGATGCCTTCTTTTCACAAGTGACATTGATGCAGAGGAGAAAATCTGGAAACAGAGATTGTGAGGTAGTACAGTGAGAGCAAACTCATTTGAAGGAGATTAAATCTGTGCAGGCAGGAATCAGAGAGCAGCAGCGCAGGCTGTGAGGATGGAAACCTTTTAAGGGCATGTTTAACTGTGTTTGGTTCCATGCACTCAGCTGCTCCTGGGTCAGTGTTGATGGTGTCACAAGACATGAAGCACAACAAATACAGCTGAGATATTTCCACTCACTTGTGGTTAATTGACCAGAAAATTAGTAAATGTCATTACATATTTAAATAAGTTCAGTAAACCTTAAACTCCCAGGAGCAGCTTTGTGAACACATTTGGAGAACAACAATATTATAGACTTACCCCAATAAGGCATTCTTCATTCTTCTTTTCTTTTCTTTACGACTGCTCTATTCAGCTGCTTACAGTATATCTGGAGCATTTCAAAACGCTGCTCATGTTGTGTTATCGCTGCTGTGACGTGGTGACGAGTGAAAACATATGCAGAAAGCCACAGTGGGGAATGATATTTCTTTCACAATCACTGAAGTTCTTGTGAAAAGTGCTTCCTGCACGTAGGAGTTACATCGGAAGCTAAACCTTTTGACAGCAGGAGAGATAAGATGAAGTAGAACTGAGGCAGTTTTCTGACACATGCAGCTCTAAACAATCATCTGACTAAATATTTAAAAAATGAAAAGAAGTTAGGGCAGCATGGTGGTGCAACTGGTAGAGCTGCTGCCTCTCAGCGAGCAGGTCCCTGGTTCAAATCCCAGTCCGGGGGCCTTTCTGGGTGGAGTTTGCATGTTCTCTCCGTGCATGCGTGGGTTTTCTCCGGGTACTCCGGTTTCCTCATGTTGCATGTTAGGCTGATTGGTAACTCTAAATTGTCCCTAGGTGAGAGTGTGAATGCTTGTTTGTCTTGTTTGTCTCTATGTGTCCCTGTGATGGACCTGCAACCCGTCCAGGGTGTACCCAAAATGGATGGATGGATTTCATATACCGGTAGTTTCATTTAAAAACTTTAGAAATGGCAAAAAGGTCATTTTCTTCTTGATCTTAGAGTGAAAAATAATATTGTGAAATATTTCCAGTAGTAAAATACAGGTGAATCTGAAACAGAAAAAAAGAAAGGGAACAAACCAGATTTGCAGGTTGAGTCACACTTGTAATCAACCTGTGATGAAAACTAAAGTTCATGTAAAAATATTGTTTAAAATATTTGTTTTGTGATCCAACTTCTCCAGAAATCCACATGTTTGTTTGCTGTTTACACATAATAGATGTAAAAATACACTAATACACAATAGTAAGGGGTTTATACATACATGCATACATACATACACACACACACACACACACACACATACATATATATATATATATATATATATATATATATATATATATATATATATATATATATATATATATATATATATATATATGGACATACACACACACAAATATAATAAAATATGCATTTGCTCAGGTTTTTGTCAAAGACACAGCACTAGTTTTGTTGCATTTATCAGTTTTTAAATTCTTATTTTCAATTATGGGTCTGAGTTAGGCAGGTTCAAAATACATATTCAGTTGTAAATATATTATAATTAAATAATAAAAACACTTAAAACAACTTAAATAACAAAGTTCTCAGAAAACCTGAAGAACACAGGGGCTCTTAAAAAAAGAAAGATGCCTCAAGATGTTGGCTGCAGTTGTGGTTCTTGTAATTTTTCTTGAGCAATTTGACTTTCCTTTTGTATTATCTTGTTTTATATATATTCAAAAATATAATATTTCTGCAAATTGGCATTTTCTAAACAGAGACTCCACCTTCTTTTTTTATTTATTTATGGATTATAATGTTTTGCTCTTGATATGTTGGTGTTGCGCCAAGTTAAGTTTCCCCGAAAGAATTTGTGCCCCCTCTCTCGGGAGCGCGCACAATGCCGGAAACGCGACACGGACCTGCCTGAATATATGTCTCTGGAAAAATCATTGTTTGCCTTGGTTTGTTTGTAAGTTGTTGTTGTTCTTAATATTTAAAAATAAACAAAATAAAAATAAAATAAAATACCCGTTTCTATTCCCACTTCCGCTTCCGGCGCAGCACCTGTTACCATGACAACACATCAACGATTTCTGCGCACACTCAGTTGTATCCCTCGCGATTACCAAATATTACAGTCCAAGTCTTGGTAAAGGCTTTTCTGACCGTCCGAGTGTGGAACAACTGCAGGAAACTTTTGAACTTCTGGACGATATTTACAACAAACATGGCGACGTCATTCCTTCCTGTCTTAGAAAGTGGCCCCAGTTCAAAACTGAACGTGGACAAAAGAGAAGATAGAGTTCACAGCATTATTGTAACTGAGTCAGAGGACACCAGGTAGGCCTCATAAAGAAGCTACAGTCGTTTATGAATGTCTTGACTGAATCACAGGCTGATCATTAGTTTTCCTGTTTAGACAGAAAAAAGGAAAAAGTGTCAGCCTCCCACCTGCTATAACAAAGGTAAATAATAATAATAATAATAATAACTAAACGTGAGTTAATAACGTTGACATTTCCAAATGTAGAACTTTTTGTTATTTTTAAGGAATATTTTGCTTTTCGCTAGGACTTAAGTTTAACATGGTTGCTTTTTTTTTTACAGCAAAACTTTCAATCTTCTATCACCTGGTTATTTTTTATTCTTTTTAATTTTTAGTCTTCCAGCAGAGTCCTACAGGCAGGCCTGAAAACTTTGAAAAAGTCACAAGTTGATGAGAAACAAGCCGAGCTGGACGAGGTGGACATCCAACTTGCGGTGAAGAGGCAAGAGTTTAAGAACCGTTTGGAGGCTCTGGCTCGTAGAAAGTCAGAACTAGAATCAAAACAACAGCAGGTGAATTAGCATCTCCTGAAAATATGGATGGGAGTGATCGGAGTGGTTGTCCGCTTGTCTACATGACAGTCCTAATGGCCTTTGGGTTTGTGTTTTTTTCTCCAAGGATCAAGAAAAAATGATGAAATTCGAGAAGTTCATATCGGAGAATGAAGTGAAGAGTCGTGGAGCGCTGAAGAGGTGGGAAGCCGCACGGCAGCACAACATCACGAAACAGGGAGAGATAGAAGATCTGACAGAACAACTAAAACAACTCAGAGCCAGGTAAATATATAAAATCAAGACTTCACTCTTTTTACATTATGTCTTTTTTTTAACTCTCAATTTGACCTCATTTCTATCTTACAGGAAGCTCAGTTTAAAAGAGAAGACCACAAAATACAAAATCTACGAGGACTATTTGATGAAAACACTGGATCAACTTCCCAGCAGTGAGTCCAAGTCTTGTTCTCTTCGTGCTCTGAGTTCCTTACACACTTTAAAATGGAACCAACTTCTCCATATTTTTTTTTAGTTTACAGGAATGGTTATGAATCTTTGGGTATGCCCATTATTCGGCGCCACGAGACCCTGTCTATCACCCATCAGGAGCTATGGCAACAATTGAGACGAATGGAGGCGGAGCTAGAGACGGGTCAGCGACAACTGCAGACCATGGAGCAGGAGCATAGTGTTAGAAAACTGGTCAGAGACACAAAAATATGTTTAATTCACTATTTATTTTACTTTTGTACTCAAATTGGTTTGTTTTTGTACACAGCTGGCCAATAAAGAACTTTCTGAACTGCAGAGTGAGTTAGAAACCCTTAAAGAGAAGAACCAACAAGCAGAGGCTGACCTGGTCAATATGCATGGTGTGTCCAGGGAGAAGGTATGTCTTCAACATTTTCACTTTGAAGAGGGTGGTCTGGAGTATAAACGCTGAACGTTTGTCTCTCAGGCTAAAGAGATGGGGAAATTACTTCTGGCCATCAACAGCCTTGCACAACAGTGTTACCTTCCAGCATATGGACCACTGGAAACAATGGACACACTGACGAAGATGGACATGGTGAAGGTAATATCTTCATGGAGAAGCTTTCACAGCGTACGCACCTCTTCGTCGAGCTGGATAACAACAAAGCAACTGTTTCAGGAGTACATTCTGGACAAGGCGGACACGGAAAGAAGAGCGAGGAAAACGATGGAGCACGGCTTGGCGAAGACAAGTGCAGCAGCTCTGAACAACAAAAAAGAGACGGCATCGATGAAAAGTATTTGAAGTAAAACGATATTTAAAAGCTCCAATAAATAATAGACACGTTCTTCGTAAAAGAAGTGACATTTACGTGGTGTTATTGTTGGTTTGTTGTATCCGATGCCTCAAAATGAGGCTTTATAAGCTGGAATTTTCTGCTAAATGTATATATTTTCGGGATTGTTTTGATTTTTACCACGCATAGTAAATGTAATTGTTTTACACCATTAATTAAGTATAAATAGCCAAGTAGTTATTATGTGACCTGCTCACATTTCTAAAAACGCAGAAAAAGTGATTGGAACGTGCTTGTTTTATTTTAAAAGAAACACACTTTTGAATAATGCAGTTAAACAGGAAGTACTGTTCTTCAGCAAGTACAGACTGGTAAGTACCGCGAGCAGTTTCTTTGGAAACATTTTTTTTTTAATAGATTCCTACACCTTTGAACTGCAGATGGAGTTAACAGATTATGGTGAAATTATGCTTACACAAAACAAACAACATGCTATCAGGAATAAAGCATGTACGATCATACTTTTGAGAGTTTACTGTAAATAATGTAAGCAAATACTCAATAGTTATCTACATTGCTTAGGGCTGAGTCCACAAGGAGCCCTTATTTATAGTTTATTAAAGAATTTACAGTCCAAAGTATTACAATACAATTATCCTCAGGTTATTGAAGTCTTCAAAGATATGTTTGAGTCTACAAAAGCAACACATTGCACATTTCCATACACTGTAAACACTACAAATTAATTATGTCAGCTCATTTACTTGCTACTTTAGTGAGTCTGTTTTACCAATTAAATAGGAAAATTATGCAAATAAAACGTGTTATTTTATTCAGGGGAAACCTTTATTTATGCAGAATTTGTACAAGTAAAATACAAGGATTTTTATTGTCATTCTCATCACATGTGGTACATGAGGTGGAACGAAACTATGTACACAGGGTCCCAGTTACATCCAACAAAAATACAAATTGTAAAGAAAAACATTATAGAGTCATGAACTAAGAATATACTACAAAGAATACACAAGAATACACTAAACACTAATAGAACAAAAACAACAGCAGCACGAACATGGGTCTGTGTGAGCAGATGAGAGCCAATGAACACAGCAACATGAAATAATCAGCAGCATGAGATCAGCATCATGGATGTCAGCAGCACATATCAACAACCAAGAGGCATCACAGTGATTTTTTTTCCTGGTTAGAGATTCATGAGTAACAGCTTCAGGGTAGAATCTGTTCCTCAGCCTGGTGGTTCTGCACTTAATGCTCCTCAGCCCTCTGCTTGAGGGGAGCGGGACAACAAGTGTGTGTGCTGGGTGTGTGGAGTCCTTCATGATGCAGGTGTCCCTCTTCCCGCATTTGGAGGTGTAGATGTCTGTGATGGTGGGGAGGCTGATTCCGACAGACTTCTGTGCAGCCTTCACCACTCTCTGCAAAGCTTTTCTTTCTGCAGCTGTGCAGCCTCCATGCCACACGTTGATGCTGGAGCACAGGATGCTCTCCACTGCACACCTGTAGAAGGAGGTGAGGACTGAACTTCCCAGACCAGCTCGTCTCAGCCGTCTGAGGAAGTAGAGTCTCTGATGAGCTTTCTTTATCAGGCTGGTGGTGTTGTTGCTCCAGCTGAGGTTGTCATTCAGGTGCACACCCAAGTACTTGTAGCTGGAGACCACTTCCACCGCAGATCCTCTTATGTTCAGGGGGGTGTAGGTGTGTTTATTCCTTCTGAAGTCCACAACCATCTCCTTCCTCTTATTCACACTGATGTGAAAATCTTACTGTTCTATAATTTTATCACTTTAAATAAAGTAATGAACCAAATATTTTTATTCTTCTAAATCAAAATACCATGTATACTATGAGACGAATGAGGCTAACCTGTATAAGTAAAGGGTGAATGAAATACAAATGTAAATTTATGACGTCAGCGTCGTAATTGGCGTATTTTCCCTTTAAATGCAGCACGAGCGCGGACTTCCGTAAACATTAATGATTCACGCGCCAAACCAGTAGGGGGGCGGTAATCACTCTCCATGTAGTTTGCCAACCGCTAATAAACCCACGAAGAAGACGACTTCCGTAAACATCCGCTTTTTGCAAAGTGGGAACCAAAATGTTTCGAGACATTTCTGTGACGCACAAATTTTCCAAACTGCATTTACGTTTTCATCCGCTGCTTGTTGAAATATGAAGGTACGTCACGTGTCCTCCCCCTTGCATCAAACTGCGGCTCGGTTCGGTTCTTCCCGGTAAAGATGTTCTGTTTTTCCGGCAGATGGACTCCGGCCGCCTCGTTTCACGCAGAGAAGACATTTCTGCGCTGTTCCCTGCGGAAACTCCGGGCGCCAAATACAAAGTAGGCAGTTTTAGCGGAGGAGGGGGGCGGGGAGGTGTGTGGTGAGTAAAATAACCGAGGCCGCTTTTCTGTGTCAGGATTTAAGCCTCCAGTTCTCTGCTGTCAGGAAAGTGGGCGGCGATGGGAACTGCTTCTACAGAGCCTTCTGCTTCGCTCACCTGGAGTCAGTTTTTCACAAACCCAGAGCTTTGCAGAGGTCAGCTATCAACACTGAAACCACTCCACAATAAATATTATTAATCATAACAATTACAGTTCATGTGTGTTAAATATCAGTTTTAAGGACAAGATAATCCAGAGTGGCACAGCTTTGAAGTCTGCCGGATTTGATGAGAGTTCCTTCAGCCATCACCAGAACACAGTAAACTATAGTTCTTTTCTACGCTCCAAGCAGTGAGGTTCAGTGAACAAACTATTCAACAGATGTTTGATTAAAAGTTACACAGCTGCAACAGAACTGGCTAAAATATTCATTTACCATAGACATTACAGTAATAATAAATGTACTGTACTATATACACATCAGCCATTACAGTAATGAGGTAGCGTCTTCCTAGTTGACGTAATGGAAACCAGTGTTTTAAACGGGTTCAGATCCTGTGCAGCTTTTGTTTTTAATTATATCAAATAATGGCTAATTGCCAGGGTTGTTTTAACAAACAAACCAGATGTAAACATGTGCAAATTGTTCACTTTTACACCTTTTTATGTTCAATTTTAGCTTACACTTTTGTTAAACCACCCTAAAAAAAACTTGTCAGTATAAAATCAGGGTTTGTCCTCTCACTTTTGATCTACCGTACTTTAGGATATTTTGTCTCCTTAATTTTGTAACGTTCTAATTCATAGCAGGAACAGATAATCATCTTCACAGCTGATTTCATTTCTGAGTTTATCTTGTAGTTTGTAAGAAAAGAAAATTTAAAAAGCAACACCGCGCACGTTTGTCTTGTTCTTGGGAGCCTTCAAAAAGTGGAGCAGCAGCTGCTCCTTAGAGAAGGCCCTTGTCTAAAATTATTTTGAGTGGAATTAATTTTAGTCGATCGAGCTGTGAAAGAGAACTCAAATGAAGTCCACCAAATTTTATCCAGCTGAGCTGCAGACTGCCTTTTTATTTGGACTTTTTCTTAAAATGCAAGATATGTTGTTTTATATTACATATTAAAACTAGTTTTAAAAATGAGTCTGACGCAAGCACGCCATTTTGTAGCATCTTTAGTTTAAAGCAAACCCAGTTGGACTTGCTCTGGTTAAGTATATTTTTCTGTGGAACTAATTATTAAAACAAAAGCACATGGAAACATTTCCAAGTTAGCCTATATTTAAACAGTGCAGGGAATGAAGAAAACACTTGAACTGGCTTTAACGTTGTTCTTTTCTACTCAAGGTCATTTATGTTGTAGAGCAGTGCCTGGCTGACGAACAGGAAAACATTTTACTCAAACTCTTCAACGACCAGCCGATCTCTGATGGAGTGGTCCAGTATCTCAGGCTGCTCACATCAGCACACCTCCAGAACCATGCAGACTTCTTCTGTAACTTTGTTGAAGCGCCCGATCTTAAAGTCTACTGTCGGCAGGTTAGAAACAAAATGTTGCTGCCGTTTATCGTTAAGCCTAAATATATCCGTTTAAAATAAGTGTAATAAGAAACTGATCTTGTTTTTCCCCCCCATCAGGATGTGGAAGTGATGACAATGGAGTGCGATCACGTGGACATCTTAGCCTTGTCTCAGGCGCTGGACATTGGCATTCACATAGTTTCTATGGAGAGTGATGAACAGCTGGCTCACCACATCATTCCAGAGGGGGGCGACCCCTCCCTGCACCTCCTGTACCAAACGTCACATTATAACATTCTCTACCAGCGGACTCAGCTCTGACCAGAGGTCCACCAGGAAGTGGCTCAGCTTAGTACTTAGTACTGACACTTACTGCATGATTAAATACCAGTTAGGTCTCAAGACATTTGTCAATTTTGTTTTAATATATAAAATTTCAGTTTGGTGTAATTACACATAAAATTACAGCTTCACAAACTGTCATTCAGTATTTAGATGAATTTAAATAATTTGACATATTTAAATTCAACCACCTTTCAAATATAATTCACTCAGTTTCATTAACATGTCATTGCTGCTGCTCTACTTCTGTTGTAGTTTTTTCCTCCAACTTTTTTGGAAGGTTTTTCTTTAGCTTCTGTTTCTCCTTTTGTACTGAAACACTGGTCAGGGCACTTTCCATTCCAGCAACAGACACTTTGGACACGGGGAGAAACCCCATTTTAGTGGGGTACTTTGTTTTCATGGCATTCGTGAATAAAGGCCGTGAGGTCAAGTGCTTCAGATGCTTCTTCATCGTCTTCACCATCTTCTTCTGCTCTCTGTCTGCATGGTCGTCTTTAGAGCTGCCTGTGGATGCAGATGTCTTTTCAGTCACCTGCTTTTAAACGTTTTAATGGACTAGACTCGTTTATGTTGGTCTTACCAAGTAAAATATCATCGTCCAGGTCCATCTCCATGGCTTCTGCTGCTTTTCTGAACCACGAGTCGTGCTGCTTCTCTCTGCTGTTGTAAAACTCGATCTTTTCTATCTGCCTGGCAAGGTTTACTCGCTCCTGTGGAGTGAAACATTTTACAGAAAACTACTCAAATCTAAACTTTTTAAATGCAGACAATATGAAAATTTGGCTTTTGCTTTAAAAGCCTTTATGATTCTATGTTTATAGCCATAATTTGGAGAACTAAAGCACTGTAAACAATGTTATTTCTGGTTTAAAACAGTATTTTAACACATTTCTTTTTAGGAAGCTGCAGTTTTTGCTACAATCTTCAAAACTTATATTGTCCTTTCCTGCCCTCGGTTGCTTAGACAGAACCTGATGGCTCTCACCTTGATCGCCTCCATGCATTTGGTCTCTACAGGAAACTGGGGAAGTTCCTCGTCCTTTCCGAGGGTTTTGTAAATCTTTCTGAAGTTCATCATATCGTCGGGGCCTACGAGCAGCAAACTCAGGCCCTCTTTATTGGCTCGAGCTGTTCTGCCACTTCGATGAACATACATCTCTGATGTTCTGGGGACCTGTTGGGCACAAGTTAAAACACTTAAATTACTCGCATAAAGGTATCAAGTTCTGTCAGCCTTTTATATAAAAACTATTCTGTTGTGGACTGCAGCTGTATTATTTAAAGGGTCACCTGGTAGTGAATAACATGTTGAACGTTGGGGATGTCCAGGCCTCTTGCCGCCACGTCAGTGGTCAAAAGAACACAACTGAAAGTGGAGAGTACAGGTTGAAACATCTCAGGTTTACTTTTTAAACCTGAAATTGTTTTGTCTTATTCATTGAAGCTTTGGGATCAAACTTCTAATCAGATGTTACCCCCTCGATAAGCCCTGCTCAGTTATAACTGTTAACCCTTAAGCTCACAGCTCCTGGTTACTAAAACCACAGAACTTGCCGCCGTATAAGTCGCACCAGTCCATATATGTCTAATAAAATGGGAAAAAAACCCAAATGTGTTGCTTCGCCGTATTAGTCGCATCTATAATGCGTCACCGCAGACAACCCGGAAATGTGGGCCGGTGTTGTGCCAAAGATCGATTGGCTGCCAAATGGCGGGACTGTGCTCGGGAGGACTTTAACAAGAATTTAACAACATTAACACTTAAAAACAATTATTTGTTTGTTTGAAAGTATAGTAAAGTTGTGTCTCAGTTGAACTTTTCCTTAATAAATGCACTTTGAATGTCAAATCAGTTGCATTTCAAAAGCAGATTCGCAGAAGCGTGCAGAGGGTCGACTCGCTGTGCAATCCTTCTAAATTTAACAACCACCTAAAAACAATTGTTTGCTCGACATTACAGCAAAGTTGTGTCTCAGTTGAACTTTTCCTTAATAAATGCACTTTAATGGTCAAATCAACTGCATTTCACCTGAGTGGCGCAATGAAATGCAGCTGATTTGACGTTTGCTCCAGGAGTTCTGGAGGGAGACAAAGGTGGCTTTGTATGGCAAGCCAAGTGTCTCATTAATAGCCACTTTTACCTATTTATGAGACACTTGGCTTGCCATACTAGTCGAGGGCCCTCTAGTGGCTGCAAATGGTAGTGTTCAATATTTTCCATGTCAGAATGAATGAAATAGTCAGATCTCAGCCAAAAATTGGGTTATAAATATGGGAAAACAAATACGTCGCTTCGCTGTATAAGTCGCAGGCATGCTAATTTATGAAAAAACTGACTTATACAGCAAAAATTACAGTATGTAAGTTTGCAAAATCATATAAACAGATGAACAACTGTATTAAGCTGAGTGACTACAATACAAAATGTTTTAAAATTAATTTATCCCAAATTAAGGTTTTGACCTTTTACTCATCTTTTTACTATATAAAAGCTCCGTCTGCTAAAAATCAAAGCATATCTTGATTTGCCTCGAGTGTTCTGGCGTGGGAACAGCAACATCCTAATGCATGTGTAAAAATGCAGGACTGCATATTTTCTACGTCCAAAGCAAAATACTTACTTGTCTTTCTCAGCAAACCTTTCCAGGTTTTTGAGCCGTTGTTTCTGGTGCATGTTGGCATGTAGAGGCAGTGGAGAACAATCCATGATCACCAGCAGAGAGTTGAGTCGCTTGATGCATTCGATGCTGTTGGCGAACACCATGGTGCGCCCAGGATACTGAAGCAGGAAGTAATAAAGGTAGAAGTCCTTCTCGTCCTTCTGACAGTTGATTTGTGTTTCGGTCAGCGTCTCCACTGTGGCCTCCTTCCTAGTGAGGTCGATCACTTTGGGCTTGGACTTTATTCCCACCTTCTCCATGAGGGTTTCCAGATTGTTCCTGTTCACCAATTTCTTCTTCTTCTGCAGGAGGCGGCTGGGCAGACTGTGAGCCATTGTCAAAGTGGCGGAGAACACAAACGTTTGTCTCTTAGGATTAAAGTGTGTTGTGTTCAGCATCTCCAGCAAACTCTCCAGCTCGGCGAAGTGGCCTCTTTCCACCATTCGGTCGGCTTCATCAATTACCAGACACCTGGAAGATCAAATTAAGTGATATGAATAATTGGTTTATTTTTCTGACGTCTTTGATTTTGATCAATATTCTAGTTGGAATTTAGCTGATTAAAAAGGATTTTTACTAGAGATGCACGATATTGGATTTTTTTGCAGATATGCCAATATGTTAAAACTTATTTGGCTGATAACCGATACAAATACTGGACCTACTTACAGAGACTACATAGCTTTCTCTGCTATGGAATTAAAATACTACATTATTCTTCATGATCTTTGTCAGTTTGGCCTGCTACCAAATGCAGATAATAATAAATAAAGCGCTACATGTTGTCATCGTTGTATGTTCCCATACAAAGACGAAACTGGTTCTCTGCCTTTAACCCATCGCACCTGGGATACACCCAGGTGGAGCAGTGGGCAGCTATGTAATCGCCTGGGGAGCAATTCGGGATTGGGTGTCCTGCTCAGAGACACCACGACATGTGGGAATGGCTGGGGATCGAACCCGGGATCGAACCCAAGACCTTCGTGTCCCGAGTCGGCTGCCCTGCCTCTACACCATCTAGGCCCAAAAGGGCGGTTGAAAATGATGCAACACTATATAAATATATAATATATATTTAAAAACAAAAGCGCCTTTTACATTGGTTAGTTATTTTGATGGAATGGCCGATATTTAACTTTATCACTAATATCAGCCGATAATAACGTCCCTAGTTTTTAGACCTCTGGATAATTTTGAGTTCACTAGAAATTCTGATTAGTTACTGCTGGCAGTTTGATTTTACAAGATTCCAGAGGGCAGGGGTATTTTTAATAAAACAAAACTCAAGAACCTATAAACTATTACCAGATTTTTATTAGGCATTAGGTAAATGTACACAAGTCGTTTTACAAAGAAAAAAAAAACTCCTTTTAGTAATAAATATTTATTTTTTGTCAAAATCTGGTTAATTAAAGTAGGACTTGATTGTGTTTGACACCATGACGATTCTAGTTAAACTTGTGTTCTTGAAGTGACAAATTTTCTTTAGGGGTTTCAAATAACTGCACACATTTTGATTTTTATCATTTGTTTCTGTTTATTATAGTCCTCACAGTGAGGCAAAGAAAACTTAAAATGTAGCGCTAAAGTAGAGCTACAGCAGCTTAATGTGTTGTGATCTGTGCATGCTTGTCACCGAGTATTTCTCCTGCTGTAATATTAACTTATATGAAGCTTTTACTAAAGGGATTTAAATTGTGACATACTTGAGCTGTCTGAGGTTCAGTAGATGAGGATGCTGCTCCTTGATAAAATCCCACAAACGCCCTGGAGTGGCAATGACGATCTCTGGTCTACGACTTAGCATCCTCCTTTGCTTCTCTTGTGCCATTCCTCCCACAACAATGGCTGTTTTAATATCTGCAGCACAAAAACATATTAGGACAAGCGCTCAAAGGAATACTTCAGTTCTGTGAATACACCGCCAAGACGCTTGTGTTTAAAAATAACTCACCTGTAAATTGAGCGGCAGCATCTATATGGTGTTTGACCTGAACAGCCAGTTCCCTGGTTGGGGTGAGAACCAGTCCAAGGAGAGGTCGATTCTGGCCACCGGAAAGTTTCTCCTCAGAATTAAATTTTGCGTTTTCAATTAATTTAACACAACCAAGCTGCTCATCTTGATCTTTATCCTCGACGTCGTCTTCTTCAGCAGCATCTTGGGTCTGATCTTCATCCTCCTCCTCTGACTCCTTCGCATCCACATCCTCTGAGTTTGTGGTCTCATCCACAGACGGTAAGAATAAGCTCTCCACCTCTGAAGCAGCTTCGATGTCATCGGTGGTAGTTTTCTCCGTGCTGTTCTTCCACTCAAGGATGGTGTGGATTATGGGAATTCCAAAAGCCAAAGTCTTACCACTTCCTATAACGGCATATTAATAAAGTGTTAAGACAACGTTCTTGACGATAAATTACATACACAATTTATTTTATCTTACCAGTCTCAGCTGCTCCCAGTATATCCATTCGATCTCTTATAGCTGGGGGCAAAACCAGGGCTTGAATTGGTGTGGGTGAACTGAATCCAAGACTGCTCAGGGCTTTAAGCACAGGGGAGGGCACAAACAGGTTCCTCCATGCACCCATATCACATTTCTGGTCACCAGAAGCAGAAAGTGCTGCATGTGTCCAATTCTTCGGTTGGTTTTTGAGAGGTTTTGTCCATTTCTGTTGACTAGATTTTTCTATTTCTGTTGAAGACTTTACGTCCGAGCGTTTCTCTGCTGTCTGTTGTTTGAATTTCTTCTTTTTGTCTTTCTTAGTTGCTTTACTTGATTGTGTGTGTTCAGGCACATCTTCCTCTGTTGTTTCATTTGATGCTTCCTTCCTTTCTCCCTCTTCACTTGAAGGTGTCACGTCTTCTGTGCCATCATCCTCTTCTTGTTTGGGGGCGAGCTTTTTCTTTTTCTTCGTCTTTTTAGCTTTTTTCTTGGCAGGTTCAGTTGTGCTTTCTACTTCTTTGCCTTCAGCATCCTGCTTCTTCCCAGCTTTTCTTTTTGTTGCCGTTTTCTTGTTCAGCTCCTTAGCTGCAGCCTTCTCGGTGTCGACCAGACGGTAATTTGTCAGCTCTTCGAACAACACCAGACCCTCCAGGCCTTCCTCTGAGAAGAGACTGGGGTCGAGCTCGACAGCTTTCCATTTCCCTCTCATGTCGATGCTCCGTTTGACTGGCCTCTTTTTCACTCCAGAGATCTTCTTGTTTTGAGGCTTCATCTTCTTCGTCTTCATTTGTCTACAATTAGGCACAAATATAAATTTACAACGACGGTCGCTTTCCCACCGCTGAGTGGTTAAAAGCGCGTGTACGTCTTTACGGTTTGATAAAACTTCAAAAGAACGCGACACGTCAATAAAAGTCGCTCGTGAATAATTTAAGATAATTTACTTCATATATAATCGAATAAAATAAAAAGAAATACCTAGATTTTACGTGGGTTTGTTTAGTTTAAAAGTAAATCTCCTCACTGGGACCACGAGAGCGCCGCCATGACAGTTTTGTCACGTGATTTGAAAAAACTTTATTCTTCAAGCTCAAGAAACAAACAACCCTAAACAAAAAACTAGACCGTGGCATTTTTTTTAGCACTCAAACTAATTTATTGAAATTAATATTTTTATTTTGTTTAGGAACAGTTCATAAACAGTGTTACATATTAAACATTTAAATTTCAAATAATTAACTTTAGCCAAAGGTTCAGTTCCACTAAGCTTAAAACAAACAAACTCTTAATTAAAGCCAAAACAAACTGTAAAATGTACAATTTAAAAATAAATCAAAACATAAAGTTTACACAAATAGGAGCAAGGGACAAATACATCACTAAAAGTGTTAGCTGTTGAAACAATAAACATATACTGTATATATTGAAGTAAGTTTTTTAGAAATAAAAACTCTAGATCAACTTTATTGCTGTTGACAAACTGAACCAACACGGCTCATGTTTTTCATATTCCTCCAAATAAAAGCCATGTTATTATTATTTTTTTTAAATTCTATAGTAAAAAAAAAATAAAAATGAAGAATAAAAAATTAAAATAAATGAGTTGATGAATCATTGAAAATTTGACTTAAAACATTTTAGACACATTTATTGTTAAAATATGGAACAAAATATTTTAAACTATTGCAAAGAAAATCCCCAAAAGGGTCAATTTATGTTATATTTTTGCTGTTTTTTTTTTTTTTTGGTGTTGCACAAATACACTTTTGCTACAGAAATGTATTGAATGCAGGATTTGTATTCACAGAAGAGTATTTTAAGTGTAAAATTAAGTATAACATGCAAATACTTAAATTATTCCATTCTAATAGTACTTTTTAAAAATATGAGGAAAATCTCGATAAACTTATCAGGATTTTTAACCTCCCCCAAGTCTTACTAGTAAAATCATACTGATGCTTTAATTTGACAAGCATTTTTATAACTTTGAATATATTTACTCAGTTTTAGAGTTTGAATAATTAATGATACATTAAAAAGAATCAATACTGTTTCATATTTATTTTTATTATTGGTTATTTATGAGTAGGTTTTACAAAACAGGAAGAAAGAAAAGAACAAGCACAACAAATTAATCTGAGTGTTAAAGAAAATATATCACTATTGCATTTTCTTGAATAAACACAATATACACAAGTTATATCAGAGCCGCATCAGAAACAGAGGAGCAGATGATTAGGTCTGGGTGGGGTCTACCACCCTGCCCATGAACAGCAGGGAGTTTGTGTCCTCGTGGTAAATGAAGAAGAAGAACGGTCTGTTGACGGTGAACACCCTCGGCAGGGAATATGGGATGATGCCGATCGTTGTGGCAGCGGCTGCAGTTGTTCCCGCCTCATCAACGTCAATTACGGCTTTGTGCAGTACCTGAGGTTTACACAGCAGAGGTAAAAGTCTTCAGCTGGCTGTTTGGATGAAACAACCTGAATGCAATTAAAACCTTACCTCTGACACTGTGAGGCCTCTGTCCTTACTGAGCCCCGTCAGATTGGCTGAACTACTGAAGAGGCTGCTCATGCCCATGTCTGGGAGAAGACTGTGCAGGGAATAGGCTTGCTCCATCTTGAATTTAGGCATGTTCACTTCTAGATTTCTAAAAACACGATAGTCAGTATTTTATACCTGGTCTCTGTGTCACACCTTTCATCGCGAGAGTTTAAAATACCATTTTCAAAGCTTACGTTTTGTGCAGCTTTTTGATCCAGCTGAGGAACTTCTCTGCACTGATCTCATCATCAATAACAGTGTAGTCTACGCCTTGGTTAGGAAGCAGGATGAGCATGGAAACGCCTTTCTGGTACGGCAGCTTGAGCGCTCTGGCTCCCAGGAGAACGTCTTCCATTGTGTACAACTTGGCCTCCTCTTTAAACATCATGGGCACTTGCACAATATTGTAGTTGTCAATGTAAAAGGGTGCGTTTTCTGTTAAATTAGCGCTGAAAGGCATCTGCCAGGCTCCTATGTGGAGGATAACACTGTTAGAGTACAAAGGTCCACTCACGAACAGAAATCAATAAGCAATGATTCAACTCACCCTGGAAGAAAATGCTGTTGATTAGCAGAAGTTGAGTCGTTTCATCTAACGTAGAAATCATCTCTGGGATTTTGTTCTCCGTCTTCTGCTTGATGTATTCATTTATGAAGCTGATACTCCCTTCTGTGTCAGCAAAATCAACAGTTTTGATGTCAGCGTGAAAAAACTTCTTCATCCTGTCCGTAAACATCCTCTCCACCTTAAACTGCTGATGGATGAAGAGGGCCGTGCTTTGGTCCAGTTTCAGAGATCCGTTGTGTGCAACGTTCTCCTGAAGCAGCTGGAAAAGCCGTGGAATGAGCTCTGGCTGGTGGTCCACCGCCAGCTGCTTCAGGTTCAGAACCTTCAGGATCTCCTCGCGCGTGACACCATCAGACGCCATCAAGAGAGCGGCGAAACTCGTAGAGATGCTCAGAGGTGAGAAAAAGATGTTCTTGTCACTGGAGCCGGCTATTTTTCGATACAGGTTCATGGCAAAATCTATATTTTTGTAGGAGAGATCTGAGATGGTGACGTTTGGATGTGGTGTCTGATGGGTGGGAGTGAGGAAGCACAAACAGGTAAGAATGAACAGAAATGCCATTTTGATTTTGAGCACACACATATTCCGAGTCCAGATGGGTTTGAGGGTTCAACCTGAAACAGGAAAACGTTGAGAAGTTAAAAACACAAAACTAAGTGTTGTTTCAACTGGAATACAGATTTCAAAGTTGCCTCACGTACCTTTCAGCTTGTGCCCGATGTTGGAAAACTCCATGTGTTATTTGGGGAAACAAAGTACAAGTGTGCTCTGAAGGTTACACATTAACCAAATGAAAAAACTAAAGTGGGTAACTCCCCTTTTTGCATCACTTTCCCTTTTACAGAATATTCGGTATGATTTACACCAGCTATGAGGATTTTGCACGACTGGGTTTGTTGTGTCGTAGCAAATCTGCCCCCCCCCCCCCCCCCCAATTCTTTTTGCAAACTCACCACACTTGTTCTGAATGGAGTTGCTTGTCATGGTAGACATCAAATCAGGGTTTTCAATTGTTTTTTTAATCAAATTGTATTTTTTTAATCTATTTTTATGTTGGAGCTATTAAACTTGTTTATTAATGTAAACAAGCTGAGCAGATTTTTGAAAATCTCATTGCAAGTTAATTTAAGTTGTTAAAACTGGACATCCAGTTTTATATAAGCAGTCTTTTGCCCAAGTGTTAAGGTGAGATGGCGTTTACAAGCAACTCTGCATCATATTGTCATCATGTATGCAGTTTAAAATGTACTCAAGGCAGCTGAAAGTAGGGGTGCAAAGGGTGCTGCAGCATCCCTCTGGATGCCAGATGACATACATGCTCAAATATATGGGTAAAAATGAATGAAAAGGTTTAAATTCTAATATTTTGATATTATTGAGTTTTGTATTAAAGTTTTGTATGACGTGTAAATTAATACTGTTGCTGCATATCCGTGTGCACATTTCTACAACTTGAAACCCACAAAAATGTGGGGATAATTCAAACTTTAATAGTTTATCCAAAAATATACAGCATATTTCAAATGTTTGTATTTATTTCACATTTCATATAGGCCAGGGCTATTCAACTGGCAGCCCGCAGACCATTTCCGGCCCGTGGGTGACTTCAATCCGGCCCACTTCATAAAAAAAATAAAATTTTGCTTTTTGGGTTCTGTTTATTGCATTTATGATTCAATGCAATAAAATTAATACATTTAAAAGGTAACAGATCATTGTAAACTTTGGTTTATTTACATAATGATTATAATCACTGGATGCCCAGCACACTGAGCAGTTTTGTTAACTAGCCCTGATATAGGAAATAATATTCATTTCAGAGTTTAGGGTCACACAAATCCAGCAGGTTCACAAACATGTCCCCAAAGCTGTGTGTATATATTTTTTCCTATTGTGCTGTCAAAGGGTGCACATTTTTACAATAGGAAAATAAAGAGCTGCCTTGTGTACTTACTACTTTCTTCCACCTCAAACTTAAAAAAGCATTTTCTTTTTATCAGTACAGTAGGTCTAAAACACATGACTTCTTCAGGGCTCCCAAGAACCATCTAACAAGAAATGAGCAATGACAAACGTGATGTGAAGTTAATATCATTTTAATCCTGGAACACTAACCAGTATGTTAAATGAAAAAAACGAGCCGTGCAAACATTAAAATAAAACAGTACTTATGGTAAGAAATACGTTTTTTGAAAACAACAAAGTGACAAAAAAAAAAAAGACAACATTTTAACTCATACATAAATGCATAAAAAAAATACAGGTGATAACGACAGGAAAATATCAGATCTTCCTGGAAATGACGAAGCATGACAGGTCCAACGTCACACGGGTTACTAAACCTTTGAGGTGTTTAGATATTTCAACGTGTAACAGTCACTGGTTCCAGACAACACAATTTAAAAAAGTTAAGTGTGCTAGTGATGTAATGTGGTCTAGTTAATGGAAAAAATATAAATAAATAAAAAAGAAAAGATACCCAAGTTATCAGAAGTGTACAAACTGCAACACTTTTCTGAAGTTCATTTTAATAACTTATTACGGTCAATATTAAGGTTATTGATTGTTTATGATGATCAGCTGACACGACTTACATCGTCTTTAACCCATGGAAACCTAAATGTAAAGCAATGTACTTTTACGGTAAATTAGCAGAAGGGTCAAATAAGTGATTAAAAAAAGTATTCTATGGGTTGTAACATGCAAGAGTAAAGGGATCAGCTATCTGACGTGTTTGTGACATGTTTTATTTAATTTTCTTTATGAATACTTCATTACAAATTCTAAACTGGACATGTCATGTTTTTAACAGGAATGATCAGACTGTGCAGGAGACAAAAACTCCATAAGATCCACAAGTTGCAGTTTTACAACCTCTTGCATCTCAACACATGGATTACAGTTGAAAAACATGCACTTTAACAAATGGCCGTGCCCAAAGTGGACAAAACACCCTTCATTTGTTTCTGGATTGTTTTATGTCTACTTGTATATTTAAAGAAAATATAAATCTAACACCATCAAAAATAGACAGCTTTTTAAAAAACTTGTGAGATCACTTGTAAACGCTCAGCTAAAAAGATGTCAAGCCCAGTTATTTTAGTGTTTCTGACCGAAACATAATTTGGTGCAGAGTGACAAAAATGACTGAATGATTACAGAACCATATTTATGTTCTGGTGGGTTGGGTGTTTTAATTACTCTCAAGTTGCACAAACCCATATCCAACACAAGAGCAGGAGGCTTTGTCAGGATGCATAAAGCTTTGGGTAAAACATTGGTCTCATATTGCTTTTACAGAATGCTCATCTCACTGTGTTCTCATTCCCAAACAAGCAAACATCTGTATGTTTTTTCTTTCCATGAACGTCAGAAAAAGAAAACAGGATTTAAAAATGTATGCAATAGAAATAGAAGGCGCCATGGTAAAAAGGCAATCGCAAGCTTGGATCAACTGCATTGTGTCCTCTTGAGTCCAGTAGTCACCCTTTTCCCAAACACAAAGCGTCACTTTAAAGTGCTCTCTTTTTCTTGTTCTTTTCTTTATGGCCTGCCAGCAAACTAATGTTGGAGGGGAGGGGGACCACATGTTAGCCTCCTGACTGCCCTTATGTTTGCATATGCAAAAGGTTAGAAGAGGGAGCAAAGCTACTCCTGTGAGAGATTCTCAGTCAGGCTGTGGGTAAACACCATAGACAAACCTTCCATAACCTTACTGGCTAGGCTTATGTTGTTGGTCCTCCTCAGAGCCAGTGCTTACTGACCCTGGTGAAAGCAAAATGAGTGTTATTAGGTCATAACACATACATACATACACATACATACATACATACATACATATTATATATATATATATATATATATATATATATATATATATATATATATATATAATGCAAGTTGTGTTAGAGGGAGTCAGATTTGCTCACCTGAATCACTTGAATGTTTGTCTGATTCTTGAGGAATGTTTGGCTGAGCCTGTTGCTGCTGTCTAAACCGTAAACACAGAGAACTTACTTCATAAGACGTTTCAATTTTCTATTCTTTAAAAAAAGGTGGATGCAAATCGCTCTTATTTTAGAAATAAAGCTGTTGATGTATTGATCCTACCGATCAAAGTAGGCTCGTCTCCTCTTCCTTAGCTCTTCAGCCGTAAGTATCTCATTTTGTCCTCCAGTAGGGTTCACTGCAGGCTGACTGACTGTCTTTATGTTTTCCACCTCACAATCTGACATGTTGCTCAATGTTGCTCCTACAAAATTAAACAAATTGTATGTCAATAAAACCAGGCAACAAATTGATTCTTGACCAAATGAATTCAATTTAGAAGAAAAATATGCTTTGAAATCTAAGTATGGCTCATTCTTTACCTTGCATGCTGAGCTGTATAGCTCTGCGAAGATCAGCATCTTCATCTTCCACATCCATGGCCTGTCTACTGAGTGCCAGAGCTCTCTTTAGCTCTTCGTCTTCATCCACGGCCTCATCCTCTACACCAAGACCCGCCTCTGTCTGGGCCACAGCGGCTGACCTTCTGTTCATATATTTAATACAATCAGGTTACATAGGTGAGTCAAAAGTTTATTTTAAGCATATGAGAACATCAAGAACAAACTGCACACACATACATACCCTGCACTAGTCTGGGCTTCTTCCTCTCCAATGAGCCTGGGCCGCTGCTGCTGATGAACCCTCATAATCCCAAGAATTTGCTCTGCCTCACATTCAGGGAGATTTCCTCGAATCACAAATATGGAATAGCCTGCAAAAATATGCATTTATTAATATTTTCTGCAATCCAAAACCTACATATATTGTAAATAAACAGCAGTTTTACAACACCTTCTTGTTGTAGCTGTGCAAGGAAAAGTGCTAAATATGTGTCTGATATCAACTCTGGTCCAGTCAACAGTGAATTCAGATTAAACCACTGCAATCAAAACAGAGTATCATTGATGATTTTAACCATATTAAAAAAATCATGGGAAACAAATCAATGCCTCATTCATACCTGTTGTCCAAGTTTGCGTATAGTAAACCAGTGTTCTTTATAGTTGCAAATAAAGGCTTTCTCATTTCTAAAATGAACCAAAGCATCAACTTTAAAAGATGACATTCAAATCCAGATTAACACCGTACACTATAGTTTTCACATGGTAACCTTACACTGGATTTATCATAAGACTCTGGTACTCCCGACTATTGAAGAGGATTAGTTCCAAGCCCCAGACTCGAAGAGCATTGCTAATTACCTTTAAAAAGAATCAGATGCCAGTAAAGTGGTATGCAGGATTTGCTACAGTATTTAAAAGCTAAAAAAGGGCAGAATTTGTGAACATACTTGTATTGAAAAGAACCCACTGTCGTCCATGTTCCCAGATGGTTGCTATAAACAAATTAAACAAACAAAGCCATCTGAATTTGTTGTTTTTAGTGTTAAAATAGAGGTTGCTGCCTCAGCATTTACTATCTGTCTGTACTTCTCACCTGTAAAAAAGTCCTGTATTCCTCACTGGATACACCCCCCTCTGCCATCCTCATCCTCTCCTCTTCATCGAGCTGATGAGCAATAGAGGACAGATCTACTGGAGTAAAATACTCACCCTGCAAAAGGTTGTTTAGGCAGTGCTGGGCACAAAGAGAGCCCTCTTGCTGCAAATAAAAATAACATTAATGTCAAAACCTGAAGAGATAACAGTACCTAACATTGTGGTACAGTTGCATGAACTTTGTTTCATTTAATCTAGTTTGCTGGGATATATGCTCAACCAGGTGGCACCAGATTAGCAGTTAGCATAGCGGCGACTCTGTCAGCAACAGAAGATTAAGCTAGCTTGTTTACTAACAAGACAATAAAGACTTAACAGCGACATTCTGAGAGACTACTAACAGCTGAAAAGTAACTTTTCACAACATCTGACCATCAAAGTGAATTAGCATCTTAGCAGTCTGAACAACAACACCAACGAAAATGTCCCTGCAGCGGCCTCTTTACGCCGCTAAAGGATTCAGTGACACAAGTGCCGAGATTTTCCAAACAAACGAAAGTAAACAAGCGCATTTAAATGCCCTAGATTAAACGTCTTGTCCTACTTTCTCATGAAATATGGAATCCATTTTCGGCTCTGTGTCAAACATTCAACTTTGACCTCTACCGCCTTCGTCACTATTAGGAGAGTGGACGAGCTTTGTTATCGCCCCCTAGCGGTTGGTTTGCTACACTGCAGCGCCGTGTTTTGCTTCAGGCTAAAGGAATATGGCGGAGAGAGAGAAATCTGTAAACGGACTGGAGCTCAGCAAGGTAGGATGTTCTCAAAGCAAATACACTTGACAGTGTTTACTGTGGGTTGGGTACAAATTGCATGAGTGTGATGAGTTAATTCCAACGTATAACACGGGTTGACTGATCTGTGACGGAATATATTGCACTTACTAAGCTCATAGCTCCCAAAGCTAGCTAACTAGCATTGAAGATGCTATGTTTTTGCACAGCAGCAGTGACTTTATGATGGATTTGTGAGGGGAAAGTTGCTTGTTTTAGTGTTATTTGGCTCAGTTTGGGATATATTACTAGCCGCTTTTATCCAACACAATTCCACCTTCATAAATTATGAGCATTGGATCTTGAATATTTTTCATTCAGTATCGCTCTCTGGTAGTTTGTTTTTAACAATGAGTGAAGGTGAAAGTAAAACTAGTCTTGCGATTTACTTGAGGATGATTGATGCTTATCAAGTTTCACAGTTGTAGATGTGATGCAGAGACGATTTTGCAACGTGATATATTAATTTGTCTCGCTAATGAGTTATTAAACACATTTAATCCTAATTGTATTTTGAGCGTCCATGCATAATGTTTATTATGAACATGCTGCAGACATGTTACTCTGCTTTGCACCATTTAAAAAGTAAAACTTATTTCAGTCTTTCAAGTCTGTACGATGTTTTCATTATTTCATGTTTTGGGTGTTTCTTCAAAACCATTTAAAAAGTAATCAGTAGGGATATTATATGACGATTTGCACTCACAACTGTGGTATTTTGCACAATTGAATAAAAAAAGTAAATATGTTTCCCCTGTTAGAGGCACATTTGAGCTATTTTAAACATGAATGCAGTTAGAGAGGACATGGAGATAGATGGAGTGAGGACAGAGGAAGCAGAGGACTTGAGTAAGATGGAGGGTGACATCTCGCTGTGGCAACCCTTGAAGAGGGAAAAGCCAAAACAAGATGATCATGATGTTATGGAGCATTCCTCATTAGTGACTGATAGAAAAAATTGCCAGTTTGTTGATAGTTTTTATTTTAAATACTATTAATCTATAAGGGATGCTCCGATCAGGTGTTTTGGTGCCGATCACCGATACCGTTCACAGATACGGATCACATGGATCGGCTGTAAATATTTTGATTTAGTTAAGATGAGTGAGTGCTACTTGCTACGTGATCTGGAAAATTTTCAAGACCAAAAAAATATAAAACTTGCAGGCACAATGCAGCAACTATTCAGTCAAAAGGACAACTGAAAAACATTTACCGGTAAATCTACATTAAAACATTAAGGCTCTCAATAGGCTAAATAGTGCAGAACGTTAAATAAATCTCAAAACATTGCTTAAATATATATACCGCCGGACCTCTACAGGCTGCAAAGGTGATCATTTTTTGTGATCGACACTGAAAGGCATTGATCTGTATCAGCTGATCACATACTTTTAACGGAAATTGGCCAATCAAGATCGGTGGTGGTGATCGGAACATCTCTACTCTATATATTTACAATAAAATATAAAAGGAGACCAAGTTCAGCAGTGCAGTTGGTTAGCGTTGCTAAAAGTGAGCATTTTATGCACATAATTATGGTATTTTATGGCAGAAGTTCAAAACAGAATTTCTCTGTGTTGTTGCTTAGGAATGGCTGGACGCTGCAGACTGCAGAGCCGAGCTGCTCCAGTACCTGAAGGAGCATGTGCCACAGATCTTCTGCCTGAAGAAGGAGTCCAGCCCTCAGGAAGAGGAAGCGCTCACGCAGAGCCGCCTGCTTTACCCTCTAGAGTGTTTTCTGTTCAGAGAAGACCCTGAAGATGGTCTGGAGACGCTAAAACAGGGTAGCACCTCCTCTCAGCTTTGCGGACGTGTGTTCAAAGAGGGAGAGACTGTCTACTCCTGCAGGTCTGAATGAACCCTCAAATCTGCTGTAATACGTTGTAACTACAGTATTTTAATTTAAGGTGAAGGAAAAAAATAACTGCTGCTTATAGGGAACATTTTAACTGCAAGGGTTAAACACTAACGTGATCTCCTGCATTTATTTAATTTCTTCAAACATGGTACAACAAGAGGTTGTGGTTGTCACACCCTGTAGAATAACAGGTTATTGGATGAAATGTAAAGCCACTAAGGTCAAAGACATAATTGAAGCATAGAGGCTTTTTGAGATCATCAAGTACGTAAAGTGAAAATTATTTGACCTCAATGGCGTTTAGTTTGACAGAAATCTAATTACGCTGCAACAACACAGGCTAAGTGTTGAATAGTTAATGAGTAAAGATAAAGGTTTCAGTATTATGCCAACTCTTTGTAATGATGTCAAATATAATCACTCTCTTAGATGCAGGGATTTTTAAAAAATACATATTTTATGTCTTGTCCAAAAACTGTGATTAAACATAGATTCCCAAATTATTACTGCACTATACAATTTTGGATGACAATAAAGTTTATATTATTATTATTATTATTTATGTTAGAGACAATTTTGTAAGTAGTAAAGAGGGGAGTGAGGGTTTGTCATGAGCAATTATAGACACTACAATAATAAATTATATAAATTATTCTTTTTATTGTTATTTTAGTTTTAAGTAGGAATCAGGGCAGCACGGTGGCGCAACTGGTAGAGCTGCTGCCTCTCAGCGAGCAGGTCCTTGGTTCAAACCCCGGTCCAGGGGCCTTTCTGGGTGGAGTTTGCATGTTCTCTCCGTGCATGCGTGGGTTTTCTCCGGGTACTCCGGTTTCCTCCCACAGACCAAAAACATGCATGTTAGGCTGATTGGTAACTCTAAATTGTCCCTAGGTGTGAGTGAGAGAGTGAATGGTTGTTTGTCTCGTTTGTCTCTATGTGGCCCTGTGATGGACTTGCGACCCGTCCAGGGTGTACCCCGCCCCTCGCACAGTGATTGCTGGACATGGGCACCGGCGACCCCCGTGACCCAAAATGGAATAAACGGGTAAAAGAAAATGGATGGATGGATGGATGGAGTAGGAATTATGAGTGATGCAGTGATTCAAAAGTGCAATATCCTTCTTGACTTTTTTTTTTTTTTTTAACTCAAATACAAAAAAGTTTTCGTCTTATTTCAGGGACTGTGCCATAGATCCCACTTGTGTTTTCTGCATGGACTGCTTCCAAGATAGCGTACATAAAAGCCATCGCTACAAGGTTTGTGTTAACATAAACAATCATGTTCATCCTGAATTTATTTCTTAAGTTCGCAGCTTGTATAATCCCTAACTGGGAAGTTATGTAAGATTTCTGCTTTGAAGTTTACACCCTAAGCATCCTTTCTTTGTACATGTCAGTTCCTTTAAAAAAAAACTTGCCCTGGTGATTCACTTTTGTGTACTGTATGCTAAAAACTTATAAGACCTTATATTTGGCCTGTGGTTAATAGTCACACACAGGCTTGCTATGCTGCACCTTGTCCCTGCACCCCCCCCCACTGTTAAACAACACGTAATCACCCATTATCTCAGTCCCAATGACTCATAAATTTGCCTGCTTTTTTTTTCCTTCTCCAGATGCACGCATCATCAGGCGGGGGGTTCTGTGACTGTGGTGACATTGAAGCCTGGAAAATTGGTCCTTGTTGCTCCAAACATGACCCGGGAGCAGCCACCGCCATGGTAACGGTGAGTTACATAACGGAGAGGAAGACGGGATGTGGGAGTTGAGTCCCTCTCTGTGTCACTGAACCCCAGAATGCTTATTTTCCCATCTTATTAATGAATCCTGGTTTAGCATGTGACTCGGAGAAAGAAAAACTGAAGCACTTCTTTGCAGGCTACTGCCAAGAGAGAAAACCCAGCTTGAATCCAAGAAGGTCTGGGTAGCTTCTCTGCAGCTTCTTAAAAGTTACTGAGCTGTGTACAGCTGCTAAAGCCGACCGGCTTGGCTCTGAGCAGATGTTTGCCAGACCTCACTTTGCTCATGATTGTGTTTAAGGTTAGCGCTGATAAGATCACGCTCAGGGCTTGTGAGCAGACATGTAGCTTGACAGCCCTGTGCCTTTTTTCTGTAAACAGCAGGTGGTCCTGTTAACAGCCCTAGCTTTATTCTAACAGCTGGCTTTGTGTTTGCTAAACCAAACCTGAACCTATGCTCAACAAACACTAACAAAATACTGTGGTGTTTAGTGGAAAACATGTTTCCATGGGATTGGATATTAGGACTGGGCGATACGGACCAAAATTAATATTTAAATATTTTAAGAAAAATGACATTATACAATTTATTTTTCTTTCCATAAAGTATTAACAAAAATATATTTCTGAGTCAAAGCTTTGTCACAGATGTCACACAGGCACATTTATTAACAACAGCTGTAACTCTACAAAATAAACGTCTAAAAAAACCCAAAACTATTTACATATATTAAAGCTTGTTTTTTTTAGACATTTATTTACATACATTAAATAATAATCCTCTTCAGCTGCGCCGCCTTCACGTTAGTAAGTGTGTGTGAAGCAGCGTTGAGGGGCTGCTTGTATTCAGCGAGGGAGGAGGAGGCTGTGTGAAGTTGGACTTGCAGAAAAACAACTACTGTACACAGATTTTCAAGTCCTACAGTGAGAGGAGGTAGCGCCACATTAATAAAGCAGTGGCTAATCATATCGTTAAAGACACGGTCCTTAGCGGCTAACAAGAGAGCTAACTTTAGCCGTCTAGTTAGCTGGTAAGGACAGTGTCTTTAATGATATGATTAGCCACTGCTTTAATGTCGCAACACCTCACTGTTCCTCTCATAAAGCACAGCACGTATAAACGAGTTTTGACCCGTGGATTGTTTCAGGGAAGGAGGCTGAATTTTGTCGGACCTGCAGCTGCAGTTCACACATGCTTCATACTCCATTTATAGCGCTGTTTTAAATGGGGGGAAAAGATTTGTAGTGCTGACCTTTTATCGGGACTTGTTTTCAGCATTGTCTACAGAAAACATTTTTCTGCTTCTCATCTGACAATTTAAATCCAAACCATCTCCGAAAGAACAGCCATTGTTTATCTTTTTGCTCAGCAGCAGCTGCTCTTCATATATCTCCCGTGCTTACTTGTGCTAAACGTCTCCCGCTCACCTCCTGGAGAAGCAGGAAATGGTGGGGAGTGCGCGGCTTAGGGGCTGGGTTTGTATTCAAGGAGGGAGAAGGAGGGGGCCGTGTGGGAGAAAGAAGAGCAGGCGGATTTTCAAGTATAATGTTTATATTGAAATAGTCTCATCTTATATCGCAAAAAAAATTATATCAATATTTTTAAAATATCGAGATGTCGCCCATTGGATATTGATGCTACATGGCCAGCTGCTTCTACTGCTTCTATAGAAAATACATATTGACATATTTACTCTCATGTCATTAACTTACTGCTTATAAAGATGGGTGCTTTGGTCAATAATATTACATACAGTTGGTATATTATCATGATGTCATTGAGAAACGTTTCCAGCTGCTGACAAAAGTTTTAAGTAAAAAAAGCAAGAATCATCTTTTTAATTCTGCTCAGGATGACTGTATGTTGGAGCCGGAGGTATACGAGCGTGCTGAGAAACTGTTCCGGATACTGCTGCGCTACGTCACAGACTTCTTGGTGTGGGAGGAGATCTTTGAGCTCCCAGCTGAATTCCAGCCTCGGTGCGGCCCGATCACATCAGAAAGTGTCGTGTCCTAGACTCAAACTGAACAGTGCATTTCTTGATCCTTGCAGGGTGAAAGAAAATGCGTACTACTGTGTTTTATACAATGATGAGCACCACTCGTACGACCACGTGATCTACACCCTGCAGCGGTCTGTCCACTGTGGTCAGGCTGAAGCACAAACACACACAGCTCTTATTGACAAAGAGGTATTTTCTTATTCTATGACTTTCACTTTGAATTGTTACAAAAATAATGAGGTCATTTCATCTTGTTTCTTTAAATGCACTGATTATTGAAACCAGAGTCGTCCTTTCTGTGCTGGCTGTTATTTGTTGAATAGGGTCGGCGGGCAGTAAAGAGAGGAACCTTACGCTCCTGTCAGCAAGCAAAAGACTCAATCAGGGTACACCTCTTCCTCTGGCTCTACTAATTTATATCTTAATTGCAATAAAACTTAACAAATACCTGTTGCATTTTAAAGAGATCTTCAATCCATTCTTTGCTGTATTACAGTCCAACTCCGAGCACATTTCTCTGCAGCCACTGCGCGTGGAGATCCTTCATGCGACTATAATGGCTCATCAAACGTTTGCGCTCCGCCTTGGATCTTGGTTTCAGAAAATCATTGGTTATTCAGGTGCTGCAATTTCATAAATCACAGATACGTTTGCGTCACCGTTGGGTTTATTTTCATGAGTCACATCTGCATTTTTGTGCTTACTTTGAATGTGTTGTTGGGTGCTTGTGTGTCCTCTGCAGCGGGCTTCAGGCAGGCCTTCTGCCAGGTGGCGTTGGAGCCAAACACAGACCGAGACGGACCGTGTCTCATCAGCAGACTCATGCTGCACGATGCCAGGATGTACAAAGGTAAGTTGGCTCCTCTGCTGCAACATTATCTTGTCATAGTTTGATAATGACTAAATTCAACAATCAGAAATGTTTTATGTATGTCTTTGAAGGAGCTCGCAAGATTGTACATGAGCTGATTTTCTGTAGCATGCTAATGGATGCTGAATTCAAAAGGCTTTTTGCTATTGAGTTTACAAAGGTAAGCAAGAATCTACTTAATTTTGTATGTATGTACACATATATATATATATTTGTTTGTAATTGATCTATTTGTCCTGTTCAGCACTACAAGCAGCTGCAGAAGGACTTTATCATTGATGATCATGAAAGGAGTATATCCATCACAGCTCTGTCTGTTCAGATCTTCACTGTTCCCACATTAGTGAGTCTTATTTCCTGTTGGTAAATAATTTATACGGGATGAATTTGTGCTTGGACTTCTCAGCTTGCAGCTCACTCATAGTCACGACGCTAAAACAATTGTTTTCGGACATCTTGTATAAAAGCGGAGTTGATAAAGAATTGATCTTTTATTAAAACGACTAACTTTCAAACACTATACCAACGTTATTTGTCAACCTTAACCTAGATTTGCTTTTACTGATTTCGCAAAGGTTTTTTTCTTTCAGTTTTTAATTTGTTGTTCTATCTAAACCATGACTGCTTTGACACTTACCGTTACGCCTCCAGATTGAATACTGTTATTAAGATGGTTCACAGGTATTGCATCTTATTAAATACCTCATTTAAATGTGTTTTAATGTATTGCACATTCCTGTTCTTGCACATCTATTCTCTCTTAGGCCAGGCAGCTCATAGAAGAGTGCAACGTCATTAAGGTGATTGTTGACACGGTCATGGTGCTGCTGCGGGGACATGTCGATGGCAGCAATCACTTTTTCTTCCTGGGCTACAACTCTGACAAGTTCTCACGCATCCAGATTGTTTTTCACGACCTCAGGTAATTTATTACTTTTAGCTCCTAAATTTTGTGGGTTTTATCTTGATATATATTTGTGTCGCTCAGGTATATCCTAATCAGTAAACCATCAGTATGGACGGAGGAGCTGAGGGAACCGTTCCTGGAGGGATTCGGTGTTTTTCTTGCGTTTCTCAAATGGATGCAGGTACAAACTACTTCAGTCAATTCGTTATTTAGATATGGTCAGCGTGTATGTTGGAATATGTAACCATGTTATCTTAACAAACCTCCATTTGTTTCGTTATCAGGGTATGGAGGAGGTGAAGCGGCAGCTTGGTCAACATATTGCAGTGGAGCCAGAATGGGAAGCTGGTTTTACTCTCCAAATTCAGCTTCGTCACATTCTTGCCATGTTTCAGGATTGGTGTTCTTCTGATGTGAGCTGCTGTCAAATTAAAGCCTAAATTAATCTCAATGGCTCAACTCTAGTGATGTTTTTTCTGGTTTTCCAAAACCATCAGCAAATCTGAATATTTCTGCTGATTATCTAAAAGCAATTAGAAACAAACGCAAACATGTAACGCGTTGACTATGAAGCTTTTAGTTTAACGCAGGCTTTCAGAACACTGTTTCTGCACTTTGTATGAACAGAAGGGTAGAGGAGAAAAGTAGCTGTTTTCAGTTTTATATTATGTTTGCTCCCCCTTTAGGTTGAGCTCTTGCTGCTCGCCTTTAAGCAGTGCCACACAGTCCTGATGCAGTGCAACAACCAGCCCTTCCACAAAGAGGCCACAGACTACTACATGTGCAAACGCATCCTCCATGTTCATCCGTATAAAGTCTCGCAGGAGCCGGTCAGCATACACCTGCCCATTTCCAGGCTACTGGCTGGTAGGAGAACTTTAAGAGAAGCAGTAATTTATGATAAATACAGTCGGAGAACTTACTGCTCTGTTTTGTGATTTATAGGTCTGTATGTACTTCTGTGTAAGGCAGGGGCAACTGAACTTCTTGATAACGCTGTAAGTCTCACAACAAAAGAAAAGACTAAATAAACTACAGCTCTACAAAGCTAATCTGATCAAATCATTCTGTAGAGTCTAATCAGTGCTTTATCACATTCATGCACCGATGGGACACACATCGGAGGCAATGAGGGGTTTTACCCAGGAACACTTCAACGTGACTGCTGGTGGAATTGAACCCCCAACTCTCACATTGGAGGATGACCACTCTAACCACTCTGCCACAAATGCCTAATATAAAATGATCAGCAAGTGCATGCTCATTTTTGTGTTTCCTAAATGAGAGCTTTAACTTGTGTCACTGGGACTGTTTGTCTTTCTGTCGTAGGAAAGCTACGACTTCACTCAGCTTGCAGAGCAACCTCTGCGCTGTGTGGTTCTGGCTGCACAGGTCTCAGCAGAAATGTGGCGAAGAAACGGGCTGTCATTAGTCAGCCAGGTAAATGACTTTCTTTTTACTTTACCTTCTTTATATTTAATGTCATTCTCATAAAGTTAATCATATTTTTTTTTCTCTGAACAGGTCTACTACTACCAGGACGTAAAATGCAGAGATGAGATGTATGATAAAGATGTTATCATGCTGCAGGTGTGTGTCGTTTTTTAAAATTTTTATTATTTTTTAAATTTCTTATTCACATTTTTGTTTTTGCAGTGTAACAAAATCTGTAACGTTTTATATTTTCTACAGATTGCTGCTTCCAAAATGGATCCCAACCACTTCCTCATGCTGATTCTGCTGAGATTTGAGCTCTTTGAATATTTCAATGGAAGTCAGTTAATCAAAGATCAGGCAAGTGAGAGCAGACTAATTATTCAGGAATAAAGATGATTACGCAACATTAGTTTTAACAGTAAAATTCAACTAAATTGTCAGGATGAGCTGATGCAGTGGAACCGTTTGACGGAAGAGATGCTCTACCTGCTGATTGTCATCTTTGGTACAGTCTGACTTTCTGACAAGTTTTCAGTGTTATTTAATTTAAAATAAAAGATTTAATATTATAAGTGTCGGGTTTCCAGGTGAGCGCTATGTTCCTGGCATCAGTCAGGTGACCAAAGAGGATGTGACGATGAGGGAGGTCATCCACCTCCTGTGCATTGAGCCCATGGCTCACAGCACCCTGGTCAAAAACCTCCCAGAGAACGTAAGCTTCATTAAACCTAAATTCATAAGTTATAAAATGCATTCAATTGTATTTAGGAGGAAGGAGCTATCACAAGACTTTTTATTTTTTAGGAAAACCATGAAACAGGCCTGGAGGCAGTAATAACTAAAGTTGCTACTTTCAAGTATGTCGAGATAAAAAAAAACAAACAAAAACAGCGCATGTGTTTTTGCTTTGAAAATATTTTTTGTGCACTCTTTAATCTGTGTATGATGTCTGTTTTTAGAAAGCCGGGTGTGTCGGGACATGGATTATACGAAGTAAAAAAAGATTGTCTGAAAGAATTTAATCCTTTCTTCTACCACTACTCGAGATCTCAGCATAGCAAGGTAGTGCAGTGTCTGAGATTCAAAGGACTCTTTGTGTAGAGTGGCTTTTGATTAAATTAAGATTTGTTTTTAATTATTGCAGGCTGAAGAATGTCAAAAGAAAAGGAGAGCTCAGGAGGGTAATGATAAAGGTGACTGACAGGCAGCGTTGTCTTTAAAAAGCAGTTTTTAATGAGCTGCATTAACTGTGTTTCTTTTTCTTCTCAGCGCTGCGTCCTCCGATGCCACCAGACTTTTGTCCAAATTTTTCCAGTATAGTGCGCCTCCTCTGCTGTGATGTTATTGTTTATGTCCTGAGAAACATCCTGCAGAGAGCTGCAGAGGACCAGCCAACACACTGGACCGAAGCCATGATCCAGAGGGTACAAAATATATTTCCTTACAAACCATTTCATTCACGAGTGTGTTACTGAATTCAAATGCAACATGGGAATCCCCACGCAGGCCCTGCACCTGATTGGTCAAGCTTTGCTAGAAGAGAAAGCACAGCTTGAGAATAACTCTGTAGAGGAAGTGACCTTTGACTTCAGCCTTAAAGCCCGCGGTGAGTTAAAACAGCCACTTTTATCGACTTTGATAATTTACCAATCTAAAAGCTTTGGTTAGCTTCTGTGACACAAAGCGTGTGTTCTGTACTTGCAGTTGTCGGTTCCGAACAAGGGATGTCTGTGTTTCTTTTGTTGTCAAAAATCAAAGCTTTGCCTTCACTTGAAGCTCAGAAAGACATGATCATATGGCTTCTGCAGGTAGGCCGTAGATAATGTGATGTCATATGTTGAATTTGGAGTAAATGGATTTAGCTGTTGCATTAAAACTTTCTTTTGTATGCAGGGGCACAGCATAGTTATTTTGAGAACTGTGTTTATAGACAAACACTGTAGGATTTAACTGAAGTTATGTCTCAGTTCCTTACTATACTTTGTAGGGATGCACGATATTATCGGCATGGTATCGGTATCAGCCAATACTAACTCTAAAGTTCAATATCTGACATCGGCCATTCCATCAAAATAACTCACCGATATTAAAGAGGCTGTTTTTTTATGACAACCCTGTGACAAGGATGCCTGCAGTGACAACACAAAGTGACGATGTCACGCGCACCTACCTGATCTGATCACAGCGGAGAGGAAGAAGTCAAAATGTTGGCAGTGTGGAAGTTGTTTTTTCGTTGAGGATGTCCGATTCTGAAGATTTCTGGACTATGTTGAGCCTCGCTACATCGTCCCCAGTCAGAGATATTTTTCCGACATAGCCTTACCAGAGTTACAAGCCGTCATTTCCAACGTCATTGAGAAACTAATAGCCAATAGCACTTGGGCGAGTTTTACCACAGACATTTGGTCGTCGTGTTAGCCTCGTTAGCATGATCAGTCTTACGGCACAATGGATAGACAAACACTTTGAACTTAAAAAGGCTGTTCTTCATGCACAAAAGTGCAGAGGATCTCACTCTGCAGCTAGGAACCTGGAACAAGCCTCCACAAGTGAGACAGCATCGCAGGTGACTAATACTAATAAATAACATTTAACACTTTTCATTTAATGTAAGTTAAAGCGCTATGCATATCATATGGCTGTTACTGAATATATGTCAACAGCTCTTACAGCTGTTACACAATCTTTGTAGCAAATAAATGAGCTATAAAAAATATTGGTGTCAGATATCGTCCAAAAATCCAATATCGTGCATCCCTAATACTTTGTAACAATTGCAAAAAGTGCCCACTTTTTTTGTAAAAAATGAACATATTTCAGTTCATGATCCAGTTTAAACTATTCATTTAATCAGATTTTAAACAGACGTCATCCTGTAGTGCAGAAGGACGTTTGTTTTATTGTTTTATATGATTTTGATTCTTCTAGATGTTCGAGATTGTCAAGTGCCTTAGAGAGAAGTCCAGTCCTATAGTGTCAGTGAGCATGGAAACGAACAAACCAGAAGAGGTAAATAAAACAATTATGAATAAATTCAAAAATCTATGGTATAGATGGGGCCGAGTGTGTTGGTTCCTCAACCATTCCGACTTGTCCTTCTTTAATCCAGAGTGTTCAGGACAAAGATAAAGCTGAGAGGAAACGGAAGGCGGATGCAGCGAAGCTCCACAGACAGAAGATCATGGCCCAGATGTCGGCGATGCAGAAGAACTTCATTGAATCAAACAAAATGCTGTACGACAACATGCCTGAGAGCGGGGCACAAGGAGAACCTGCCGCATCTGCTGAGTGGTGAGCAGAGCCCTTACAAATTTTCTATCAAGCCCGGATTCAAAAAACTCATTCGTTCATCAACTCATCAATCATTTAAATGATTTAAATCTGCTGTATTTTGGGTTCTGTTTACTTCTTCAGCTGTGCCATGGACCAGAGGGAACTTTGCATAGCCATTGGGCCTCAAAGAGGGCCCACCCCAGCTGAGCGGGAGGTGCTCACCTGCATTCTGTGTCAGGAGGAGCAGGAGGTGTTGCCTCTGGCACCAGCCATGGTGCTGACTGCGTGTGTCCAAAGATCCACAGTTTTGACACAATGCAGAGGAACAATACCGCCCATGAAAACAGATGGTAATTCTTCAGTAACTGATCTCAGTTGACTTTGTGAGAAGCTGCACAGTGCGTGGGGACATTTGGCAAACATGTTCAATGTGTTTGTCACTTAAAAGGGTCAGGGACGTATCCCCTCTTCATGCCTCCTGAACTTGCTGTGGGGACGAACACTGGGAGCTGTGGACACGTCATGCACGCCACATGTTGGCAGAAGTGAGTAACTAATAAATAAATAAACAGAGCATTATAGCGATGGCGCTCCTCTTAACTGGCTGTTATGCCATCATTCACTCACTTGCTTTCTTCCCAAGGTATTTTGAGGCAGTTCAAAATACCACCAGGAACCGGCTCCACGCTGAGCTGATTGTGGATCTGGAGAACGGAGAGTACCTCTGTCCTTTGTGCAAATCTCTCTGCAACACTGTGGTCCCTCTCATCCCATTAGAGCCACTTACTTTTAACTAGTAAGGCTTTTCCTTCTTTCTGTTCAGTCTGCAAGACTAGGTTGTTTGAATGAAGGCAAAGAGAATAACCTTTTTTCCCTTTGCAGTGAAAATTCAGAGATAATTGGACAGAATTTAACGTTGCCTCGATGGATCCAGGTCCAAACTGCCAGAATTAAAGGACTGAAGTCGGTCTCTCAGGATAACGGTAAGAAAAGCTACACATTTTAGGAGGAAAAGTTATTGTCACATAGTTGTAGATAAAGAAAAGATTGATTTTGTTCTTGTTTTTCATCTCATTTTTCTTGCAGACTTGAATGTGGATGGCAGTAGTGGCGTTAGTGGTACCGCTGGGCTGTGTGCTGATGGCCAGGCAGACTTTCGATCCATTTTGTCTTACGGAGTACAAGAACCGTGAGCGAAACCATCAGCTCCTTCACTTTGACTCAAGTCTGTTTCCATCACATATCCCAATGATTCATCTGCTTTTGGTTCGTAGGAGGAAGTTCTCAGACAGCATTGCAGAGATGCTGGTTGTGTGCGCCACCACGGTCCACAGAGTGGGCCTGAAGACCGCACCCAATGAGCTTTGCCCCCATGTGCCCCTCATGGCCTGGAACACATGTGCTTTTACCATTCAGGCCATAGGTAAGAGAAGATTTGGCTTTCTTTATGTTTTTATTTATGTGCACATTTATTAATACGTAATTGCTTGTCTTCACAGAAAACATATTGCAGGAAGAGGAAAAGCCACTGTTCGGATCCTTACAGAACCGACAGGTTGGATACAACATACATGAAATTAAAAATAAATAAAATAATGTGTGTAGATTTGGAGAATGATTTTTGTTTATTTTTTCCTGTTTTTTTTTTTTTTTTTTTTAGATTGCAGGTCTGAAGGCGATTGTTCAGTTTGCAGCATCACAGAGACTTAAGAGCTCCCAGGCAGTCATCCAGAGGCACTACGCCGACATGATGGGCGGTATGTCGTCTGATGTTTAGTGTCTGGAGTGGGTAACAAAATCTATTAGAAGATTGGCACCAGTTCTATAATGGATGGTACCAAAGTATTGAAATTATCCATAACTAAATACTGTTATTGTTATTATTAATAAAATAAACTACTTTCCATTAATGGTAACAAAGACTGTGTTGCTGTATTTGCATATTGCCCTTGTAAAAGAGATTAATAATCTCAATGGATTTCTTCCTGGAAAAATAAAGGTTTAAATAAATTTTAAAAGAGCTGCTGGACTAAGACCGTTCTGATTTATAAGTGTTTTTACATTTGTTATACCAGAGTTTATAGTCTGTTTGTCTTTGGTAATATATTGAAACAAAGCTTTAAATGTTTGTAATCGCAGCACACACATTGGGTGAGCTACATTTTTTCATTTTCTGAGAGTATCAGAATTCATAAACTCTCCCTAACCTGCATATCACTTATTCTGCTAATAATTGTGTAGGGTTTTTTATTTTTAAAGCTATAATGTCTCCCTTCAGTTTTGCTACCTGTCCTGAGCCGACAAAACACACCTTCTATCCTGGAAGTGGACTTTTTCCATCTTATGGTAGGTCTTTCTTGATATAAAATGGTCACTTTGTCACCTTTTTTTTGTGCTGAACCTTTAATGCAAACTGAAATTGGCAAATATTGTACACAATAAAAGGAACACCCAAATTCTAACACAAAATTAGGAACTTTTTATGTTTTAGGACCCTAAAATGAACCAAACATAGAATCGATCATATCTGGTTCATGGATAACGTAACCCTCTCATGTCATTTTCTGTTAGGTGGGGCTGGTGTTGTCTGTACCTTCACTGTATCAGGAGGAAGGAGTGGACTTACAGCCGTCTGCTATAAGTTCTGCCTTCAACAACCTGTACATCCTCCACCTGGTCACCATGGCTCACGTGGTGCAGGTTCTCTTGACTTCCACAGGTACAAAACCCCTGACATGGTTTGATCCATTAATGACGTTCACTGAAGCAGTTCTAAAGCTACAACTGGAATCAACACACAATGAGGGTGATCATGTTGAATTTTAAATAATGTTTGTTTTTTTCTTTCAGATTTCCCTTCTGTGGGAGTTGAAGAGGAGACGGAGGAGGGGAGAGCAGCAGCAGAGTTGTACACTACAGTTTTGCAGCACACGGGACGGTACGAGCTGTTTCTTATCAAAAAACCACAACTGCCTTGTTAATGTACTGGAACATGTTGTTCTTTTTGTATTCCCTATTCCCATTATTTAGCACAAAAAGAAACAACCAACATAAAATCTGCCTTCTTCGTATCACATGCATAAAAACCGTTTTTAACTTCTTGCGTGCCGTTTGCTCTTCAGGCTGATTCCTGATTTGTCCGGCAGCTCCGTGGCACAGAGGGTAAAGATGGGAATCGAACCCTTTCTGCGCAGTGCTGCTCTTTTCTTCAATTGTCTCACAGGAATACAACCACCAGAGGACCTGTTTAGTGCATCTGGTATGTCAAACTGCAAATGTAATGTACTTTTCAAGTACAAAATATGAAGCTTTATGTACTCAGGCGATGTTTTCTGTCACAGTTTCCCCTCAAGGACACATGGAGGCACTATGCAGCTACTTGGCTCTACCTTTTAATGTATTCCAGCTCTTTCAGGACTACAGGGACACCATTTCTCCTCTCCTTCAGAGGTAAATCAAACTATTCATGCACCTTGTGCAAAAATAGTCCGTTTTGTAACTGTAAGGGTTTTGTCTTACCTAGGTGGTGTGGAAGTCCATTTATAACCAAAGCCCTGAAAGGCAAAGCTCAGATTGTCAGGTTGGAGCTTCACTCCTGCAGTTTTTTCTGCTCCTGTTTTGGCTTGTAATAAGCCTCCACCAGTAGCCATTAATTTATTGAATTCTTTCTATAGATATCCAAGGAGAAGGAATCGTTTGATTGATCTTCCTGAGGATTACAGCACTCTCCTCAATAAAGCCAGCCATTTTCAGTGAGCGACAAAAGTCTTTTTTTAATTCGTTGAATTCCAGTCTGCTGTAGATGTTCAACCTTTCTGTCTCGTCCGTCTTCAGGTGTTCAAAATCTACCGATGATGAGCGAAAGCATCCGACTCTGTGCCTGGTTTGCGGGGCCATGCTGTGCTCGCAGAGCTCCTGCTGCATCAGCCAGCTGGACGGGGAGGACGTGGGAGCGTGCACGGCCCATGCTGCTACATGTGGGGCTGGAGTGGGCTTGTTCCTCAGGTTGTTCAGCCACTCTGCACATTAAAGATCATTTAAGATGTTTTTAGCTCTGGTCTTAGCAATTGTCCTGTATGTGTTGAAGTAAAGGAAGTTTGCTTTAATATCATCAGGATAAGAGAATGTGAAATTGTCCTGATGGCAAGCAAGACGCGAGGAAGTACGTACCCAGCCCCTTACTTAGATGATTATGGGGAGACCGACCCTCATCTTGGGTAAGAATATAATCTCGTCTTGAATCATGAGCAGAATGTCTAAAACAATTGTCATGGATGTAATGGAAGTAGTTTTTGTGCAAATAAGATTTTTTTTTTGTCTCTGAGATCATTGATTTGTTAGCGCACCTGGCTCGTCTATAAAATTTACAGAAATATTTAGGACAGGTTTTGGTATTTTAGCTAGAGCACTTTGTGGTATATATGGAGAGAGATTTTAAGGGTTAACTTTCAGCTTTTACTTCAGACTTTTCACATTTATTTTATGTTTTCAGGAAAGAATCAAACATAAAACGCATCCTTACTGTCCCACAAGCATCAAACTTTGATGTACTGTGTGTTTTAATGTCTTTTTTTTAAGAACATTATGAACTGTGCCAGCTGTTTGATGTGCAGTGACTTTTATTTGATCAAACAAAACAATCTTTGCTGTCCATAAACCCAACGGTTTTTCTTTTCTTCTTCCTTGGCGCACTTTTGATTTGTCCCGATCACCTCAGACTGGGAACATCAGCTACGGTTTCAGAGCTGCTATAACTATAACTTTCATTTTAAATATTAAGCTCTTGTCAAAGCTGCTCAAATCTCCAGCCATGCCCATTTTGTCAGCTTCCAACACATCAATGTCCAAAAGGTCAGGGACTCTGGACAGAGAACGCAGTGTCTCCTCTTGTTCTCAGATGAACAATGCCTTGATCAGAAGTCTATAGGGGTTAAAAGTTCACTGGCATAAGTGGGAGCCCGATTATTTAAAGCTTCAGTGACCAGAAGGGAGAGTTTGAGTTGAGTCCTGAGTTTTCCAGGAAGCCAGTGTAGAGAGAGGATCACGGGGGTGATATGAGAGTCAAACATGCTCTTGATGAGAACTCTTGTCGCTGAGTTTTGAACTAACCGTATATGAGAAAGGGAGTCTTAGTTTAAACAGGAATAAAGGAGTTACAGTTAATATATTTTAGGCCTCATTGTATTTTAATGCACAAGAGGAATTAAGTATTTCTACGGGTCCAAACTCAAATTCACTCAAAGGAGTTCCTTTTATTGATACTTGTATTACAACATAGAGAATAGGCCTGTCACAATAACATATTTTGCTGGGTGATTAATTGTCTCAAAAATTATTGCGATAAACGATAATATTGTTTGAAATTTGACAATAAGTAATAATTATTGTCAAATTTAAGAAGACGTTGATTTTTTAATTGTAGTACCTTTTTTGACCACCGGATGGCAGTATAAGACTGTTTGAACCGAAGGATGGATAGTGAGGGAGCGAGCAGTGCTTCTCTTTGAAAAATGGGAGGGAGGCTCCTTGACGTGACATGGACTGTCTCTTCTTCCTTTATTCGGTTCTCAAAATGGTGGACGCTCTGTGTGGTTTGAGCTCTTTAGCATAGCATCTTTCACACAAAGCTTTTAATAAAAAAAATCATTAAATAAGTTCTCAGCTTCTATTTGCAGAGAAAAACAACTTTTTACATGAAGGCACAAGTTTCAACCGTGATTTTTAGAGCTTCGACAAGACGGAGGTTTTTTTCCCGAGGTCGACCTGTTAGCTTAGCTCGTAGCTTAGCTTCTCAGCTTAGCTGCTTTTAACGATCCAAAAATACTATTTGATGGTTAAAACAGATTTTAAAGAGAAAAGAGAAAGGGAGGGGTCAGTGAAGAGCAGCAGAGTTGAGTCTTTTGTCATCCAGTGTCTTCAGTAGAAAGAGAGAGACGTGAAGAAATGATAAAGCCGATAAATGAAAACGAGGTTGATAATTTTCATTTATCATGCGGTTAATTGATTTATTGTTTATTGTGACAGGCCTAGTAGAGAACAGTCAAAACTAAACCTAATCCCAGCCATATGGTATCAAGGTCATAAAGATATATGTCATGATGTCCGATTTTTGTTTTTCAGAAGAGGCAATCCTTTGCACCTTTGTCCGGATCGCTACAGGAAGCTGAACCAGCTGTGGCAGCAGCACTGCATCCTGGAAGAAATCGCCCGCAGCCTGGAGGTGGTCAATGTTATGTTTGCCTTCGAGTGGCAGCTGGTGTGATCATCGCACCAGCCGCGGCGGCCAGGAAGTTACGAGCACAGCCATATATATATAAAAAAAAAACCCAGTTCTGTTCTCGGTTCAGGCATACTTCTACAATCAAAGAGGCCGATCCCTTCCAGAGAGGTGGACCAGTCAGAGATGAAAAAATCAGATTGGTGTAAAGGTAACCCAAGCTGCCTTGTTTCAGTTTGATTACCTGTGGTAAGGACGAGTGATGTTTTCAAATAAAGTCAAACGCGCATTTATTTTTAGTTTATGGCTTTGAATTTTCAGCATTATGTATCATGTTTAAAAACTCAAGATACTTTTATTCAGTTGTGTTTTGGAGGACGTTGAAGGGTCTGAGCATGGTCAGAAATCAGATGTTTTACTTCCACCTCTTAGCTGTACACATGTTCTAAGTTATAAATGTGCATCCTGCTGTCAACTCTACTCATGTATAAACAAATACGCAGTGAATAAAACCTATATAAATCAAACGCTATATTTGTCTGCATCCAGAATCAGTATTTTAAAAGAGTTTATTCCTGCTGATTCACAGCCTTTTTACCCACAAAATTAGGAAATATTCAAATTGTAGTTAAAAATCTAGCAACTTTAACTTTTTCCTTTTGCTATGGTAAGGCCATTACCTTGAAATGTATTAAAGGCTTTGCCATAAAACGGTTGAATATGTTTTTGTTGTTTGACAGTCCTATATAACTTCCAGGTTAATAATAATAATAAAGACACAAGCCTTCTGCTGAGCTTTTATTCCAGGTCACTAACCTCTGAAAATGAAATGGAAGACGTGTTACTTGTACAATAAAGAAACGGTCCATCTATTTTTGTATTTTGCCATTTTTGCAATAGAATCAGCTCCAAGTTCAAGTTAGCGCAATTATGCGATGAATTTTTACATCTTAGCCTTAACTGTATTTTATTTTATTTGTTCATTTGTTCAAATTGTGGATAAAAAGTGGCCAGCACACAACTTTTCTTCCAACCAAGTCGATGAAAACTTTTTTCAGCTTTTTGGAGCTCATCCCTTTATTAGATGGAGAAACCCAGGTTATAGTGCTGAGGCACAACTTTTATTAACGAACGATCAAAGAAAATAAAAACAATCCTGGTTTTATATCTTAATATATTCTGAAGCGTCAACACACTGATATTCTGACTCACAAATTAAAACAATAAACCAAGTAAATTTGTCTCAAATGTATCAAACCTCAGATGTAATCAGCCAGAGAAGGAATTCTGTCTCACTTCCTAAACCTCTTAAGATGTAAGGAACCATTACACCACATGAGACCGAGGCAACAAGATATAAAAATGTAAAGTTTACAGCTTTGTACAGAAAAAAATGTAAAGTTGTGACATTTACAACCAAAAGAAGCATTTTTATGACGTCTATTTCATTTGTATCAAGTCAATCATAAAACGAGATGCACAATGCATGATTTTACACTAATATGGCTCAGTTTTCATTTTTGACCAGAGGGATGTAAATAACCAAACATAGGCTGTCTTGTATACTTTGCTCATTGACAAATTATTGAAAATATTTAATTTTATTTACTCTTTTTATTAAAAATGCCCACTCATTTTGCACTAACAAATACCAGTTAAAAAAAATAAATAAAAAATTTAAAATTTTGGTTGAATTGAAGTGATCCAGTTTCCCGAGTCAACAGCTGCAACAAATAGGGTTAAACATGTTTTTTTTTTTTTTTTATTTATCTAGAGCAATAAATATATTTGAATAAGAAAAAACAACTTTTACATAATAAATTTAGTCTCCATTTACTAAACCCCAGCTGAGGTGTAGGGTTGGATTAGATAAAACCTGAATATTTAACTTGTATATTAATTAACTCGTTTGAGTAAAAGGTTATTTTGAGACATAAAACATAATTTCCTAATTTAAAACATTTGTTCAAACACAGTGGTCAAATTATTAATTATTAGTTACTGAAATGTTTCACTGAGGCCCTGATGTAAGCTCAATCATCCAGGTAAATCACAAATATTTTAAACAAGTGATCTGGACAGACTTTTCTTGGTTTAAACGTTTCGTCTTTCATCCGAAAGACTTCGTCAGTCTGAGGCCTGCCAACAAACTCTGTCATATAAATAGCACCTTTTCAAAATGGTTCAATCCAGTCAGCTGTGGTATTTCAGAAACCAGCTTTTCACGTGTAAAAGAGGACCATTAGTCGATCAATCGATCAGCAGTGCATAACAATCAATCGTTAGAGGCCTGATGGCCACATGCTATTCACCGAACCAGCCTGAAGACAACCCGGCCGAAGTCTTTCGGATGAAAGACGAAACATTTCAACCAAGAAAAATCTGTCCACCTTTATTAACTTTTTTTTTCTTTCTGACAAACTTCAGCTGACTTCTGTTTTGTGTTTTGGTGGAACATTGTCTGGTCCGTAATGCGCCTTGGACGTAGATGGGACGTCAATGTTGGGGTCTCCGTTGTTGCTCCCGCCTATCTGGTTGCTCTTGCCGAGGTTCTTGATGATATTCATGTTGGTGCGGGCGGTTTCCATCAGGCTGTTTTCCAGCAGCCAGCCGTCAGAGTCAGAGTTGGGGTCCCCCTGTCGCAGCACGTTCTCCAGGGAGGTCTGGAGGTAACGGACCCCTGTAAGCACTGACAGCTGGAACAAGACGGGGACATCCGTGAGATGACTGACGACAAAAACTGGATATGCTGACATTTTGTTCTCAAGGAGCCCACTTTGATGTTTCCATGCCAACAGAAAATGTTCCTCACCTCAAACATCCAGGTAATGAGGACTGTGAGTCCGATGGACTGCATGATGTGGGTGTAGTAGTCCAGCAGAGCCTGGCAGCACCCTTTCATCCACAGGTTCAACTCCTCTCTCTGGTGCTCGTAGTTGTAGTGGGCAGAGTTGTTAGTGATCTGCTGCTGGATGCAGGGCCGGGGGGAGTTCAAGTTACAGCAGCTGAAGGGAACTCCATCCATCAGGTACTTCCCCTCCACGTTACTCCTCAGTCGACTGAAGAGAAAGAAAAAGGACTCGGTGCTATCAGTCCCAACGGCTTTGGACAACAAACACACATAGTTGCATCTTCCAGTGTACAACGTTTTGTTGTGGCTTTTACCCAGTGAATTTTAGAGCTACTGACCAACATTTGTGTATGGTTGTAGCTAAAACTGACCTCCAGCACAAATTCTGAGAGCTGATTCTGCAAGGTTTTAGTTTAAAATGTTATTATCTATTTGGACTAACCACTGCAAAGATTTTATTAATACTTGCAGGAAGTGGTCATTAGATGTACATCTGCAACTGTTAGGAGCTAACCCAATTCAAGATGGCCACCACAGCCAACTGAGTTTAGAAAACAACGTCTGTAATTCAGTCACTTCATCAGATATTGGGTTAAATTTAGGTGTGATTGTAGCGGAGACTCATTCCCAACACATACTTTAAGTGCACCTCATAGCAGGATATTTTTAGCTTGGAACTTTATTATTAATTGACAATCCAGTTTGTCTGTTTGCAAATTTTTTTATATGAATGAATATATTTTTATGGAACATTCAGGAAGTAATATAGAGGTTTTCATGTAAAACTGGTCAACCTTTGGAGTCAATCCAATTTAAGATGATCGCCACAGCTAATCGACATTAGTCAAAACAAAAATGACCATATTTTAAGGTACTTAATAATAATGTACATATTCACTAATACAAACTGTTTAATCTAAGAAGGCGAATCTTTGCTTTAGACTTCGTATTCCCATTAAAAGTGGTACAATGTGCCTAAAGTCTACAGTTTAACATCTAATCTTATTGTGTGAATGTTTATGAAGCATTCACACTATTCTGATCCATTTTTCGTCTGCACATTTTTTGGTGCCGTTCTTATCCCGCAATTTTTGTGCTATTTCAACAAAACGTTCAGCTCTTTCAGGACAATCCTGCTATGACTTGTTATTGGTGCATCTTTAGCTTTTTGAAATATTTAGCTTTTTCTGCCACTTTTTTTCATTAAACAAATGAATTGAGCTTATTTTACATCCTTCAATTATTTAGATATGTTTACGACCTTTTACTGCTTCTTTTACATTTTGTTCTGGTTCAGCTTCCTTGTTTCAAATTCAAACTTTTCAGCTACAGCTATTTCAGCAGTTTTTTTCAGCTGTTTGTGCTCATTTCAGATTCTTTTTGCTAACTACAACATTTTTGTGCTTCTTCTGACTTCTTTTTGCTAATTTCAGCTTGTTATGCTCTTTTCAGCTTATTTCTGCAAGTTTTAGCTATTTCTGCTATTTCAGCTACTATTTAGCTGTGTTTATGCTAATTTATGCTTTTTCAGCTAATTCCGCATTTATTGCACTCATTTCAACTTTTTAAAGCCTAATTCAGCAAAAAAGCTCTCTCCACTTGCTTCTGCTAATTTAAGCTTCTTTCTGCCTTTTTAGCTACTTTTCAACAGTTTTTGCTCATTTCAGCATTTTTCCCCAGATAATTTCCAATATTTTGTGCTAATTTCTGTTTCTTTAAGCCTAATTGGGTAAACATGTTTCTTTCTTCTTTCAGCTGCTAAGCTTGTTCTACTTGTTCAGTGACCTTTTTAGCATTTTTAAACTAATTTCAGCTGTTTTCAGATAAATTTTAATTTTCTTGTTAATTTCTGCCACTTTCAGCCTAATTAACTTCTTTATGCTAATTTCAGCTTGTTAGACTCCTTTCAGTTTTTTTTCTGGTAGTTTCACCTCTTTCAGCTACCTTTTAGCTGTCTTTGTGCTAAATTTAGCTTTTTCAGCTAATTCCACATTTTTTAGCTCATTTCACCTACATTTCAGCATTTTTTGTAGCTAATTTCAGCTGTTTTTCAGCAAGTTCTTCAGCAATAAGCATTCAGACTGTATTTTCGTAGGAAATACAATTTCTCTAGTTTTACTTGGCATTGTCCTGATGGTACATGGCTTTAGAGTGATTCATCTTTTGTGCACACTTTGGGTGTTTGTGGCATCCTTCACTCACTCTATCACTTCTTTTTTGGACATATCCAGGTAGCGGTTGCTGATCCACTGAATCTGAAACCAGTCTCTGTAGCCGTGGTTTCCACAGCACTGGAACTCTATCTGCAGCATGTCCACCGTGCGCTTCAGGAAGCAGCGCCCTGGTGTGTCCGTGTCCTTATAAAACCTCATGGCCTGGGTCAGCCCCAGGTTCAGAGACTCCTGGAGCTCCCAGTGCGTGCTGTAACACATCAGAGCCCCCACCAGCATGCAGAAGGTGAAGAAGAAGGTGCACACAGTGTAGGGCAGCATGACCATCTTCCAGCGCAGGAACTTTGTGGTGTCCACGCAGTCATAGCAGATCTTCCCACCAAGGAAGTTGATGGCACAGGCGATGAGACCCACAGCTATGAGCATGTTGGGAACATACTGGATATCCCTCTCAGCCATCAGCTCCCCTCGCTTGTTGATCTCCACCTTGAGGAAGACCCCCAGGCTGAACAGGATGGCCCCCGTGACCACCGAGATCCAGTTGAGGATCCACAGCACCTGGGCCAGCTTGTCCCTCCTGGTTTTGGTGAACTTCACTTTTAAAATGGCCATAATCTGTCCTCTCTTCAGTTATTCCTCTAAATCCAGAGTGGGATTAAAGGTGGGAGACAGGTTGAGCTTTGAAAAGGAACAGTTTATCCTGCAGGGGGTGTGGGGGGCCGAGGGGAGGGGGTTTGGTTGTACGATTCCCTGAAAGTCCTTTTGTAAGCAGCTTAGCCTCATAGCGATGACTGATGTACTTTGGATGCCACATTATGGTTGTACTGTTGCAAAACTACAAAAAAAATACACATATTTCTCTAGTTAATTTATTTATAAGAAAAGCATTGCTAAAACAAAATGTGCTGACATTTGGCAAATCAGAAAGATCAATACGCTGCCTTTTAAATCCAGAGGAATCAAAGTCTCCCAAATGAACACTTATAAATCGAAGAATATTCCTGTACTCACCTTTGTGTTCTCAGCGTCCACCTGTAACACCTGGCATCCCTCTCACCTTTAACTCTGTTTATTTTTGCTCGTAGTGACACAGACAGCACAGAAGCAGCTACAGATTGAGATGAGTAACCAAGACCTGACCCTCCTGCTAATCCCCTTTAATCATTAATCAGCCCTGGGCCCCACTGCGGATTTGGACCCACCTTCTGTCTCCTATGCAAATCTGACTGTCTGTGAAAGTAATGCTGGATGATTGTTGTGTAGTTTTCTTTACAAAGAACATCACCAAGATTGCATATTTTACACCGGTTGGCTCTTCGGACAAAAAGAATGAAGCATAACTTCATGGTTGAACTGTCGGTGTGCTGAACTGGTCTTGTATTTTCATTTCAAATCATTTGAAACCAACAATACAACAAAAGTGTTGTAAAAAGACACAATGCAACACAATGATTGATGTGTCCTTATGGCAGCTGCATTCAATTCAAAGTGAGCATACCTAATTCCAAAGAAAAAAAAGGTTTATATATCTAGGCATTCTGTTTGGAAAACAATTTTGCAATCAAACCAACCATCTTGGAAGAAAAACCTTGAGGCGTTTACAGAAAACCCAGTTAAAAGCTCTTTAAAATCTCCAAGAAACATTGGCTGCATAAAAAGATACGGTTTAAACAATCAGGGGCATAGCTCAAGACTTTTGCACGTTTTAACACAAATACAACAAATAAGTCAATGACATAGATGTTATCTTTCTCTGAGGACCCATGCACATTACATGACAATAATGGTTCCTCGTCCTGTCGTCAACCTCATGATCTGTTGGAGACCTGAGCAACAAGCTAAAGGGTCTGAGGCTTCGGCTGCCAATCAGAGTCATCAGCTGAGAAGCAAACAGCTAATGTAGCAGAAGGAGGAAAAATGGACTTTTGATTTTGCAAACGCCCTTCTTCATAAAGTACCCAGTTATTTTAATTCCACTCCGGTGAATTCATGTCAACCTTTAGCTGCTGGGACATCAGAAATAGCTGAAACAAACTGGTTTTCTTGTGTAAGTGCTGACACTTTACTTGTGATTCTTATATATTTAATATCTTTGTTTTGAGAACATTGGTGGATGAGCCTGATACAAAAACATTTCCTCAGGTTAACTTGTAAAATGTGTGTGTTTTTATTATTTTTCTCAAGCTTACTAACCTAAAATTTTGATCAATTAATCTTAAATTTGTTTAAATGTGTTCTATCTCATTGATTTTAAATGTGTGTTTTTTATTTATTTATTTATTCCAGGGAGGTTGTGTGGCCGAGGCAAGTAAAGAGAATAATAGAGCTGATGAGAAACATTGCAAGCAGAAGACTAGCACTTTTTATTATATATGTTTTAGCATCCTTATTTACAGTTTATTGGTCACTTTATACTGTAGATCAGTGATGCACCACTTAAAGTGAATTACTGTAAATGCAGGAAAAGCTGCATGTTCTTATAGGATTTAATGGAAACTGTAGAAATGCTACATTATCTAGCATAAATTACAGTAATCATTAAAAAAATGTTTGGAAGTAAAAGTATATATAATATATTTAACTATAACGTTAAAAAAATAGCATTTGCTGAAATTTAACAACAGATCTGAGTCCACATAAGACTTATTTTGGGTCTAGATCTGGACCATGGTCCACCATTTGGAGACCTCTGCTGTTCATAGATGCTTTTAAGTAATTTCAGTGCTTGGCTTTTGTATTTTTGCTGCAGAAGCAACCAGAAACACAGGATTGTTCTTCCTTCACCTCCGCTTCATCACCGTCTTTGTTAAAACCTCCTCCTATGAGGACACTGCCACTCTGCAGAGGATCTCTTCTCTGCTGTCTGATCAGGAACTCCAAAAGGAGGAAGAAGATTCCTCGCCACACTGCCATGAGTTGATGCTGACACCAGATGGTGCCACTGGCCTGACTGGACCAAGAGGCTGATGGGTTTTGCAGAGGGTCAGACCTGCCTCGCACACATCAACCACAACAGACTGTTCATAACAAAATTAATGTATTTGTTTTACAAGGCGGAGTAGAAGAAGAGGGTAAAGCTGATGCACTCTGCAAATGTCACGCCCCAAAAAATCACAGCAATCAGATGAGTTTCTGGTAACGTCACCCGTTTGTCCCACAGCGCATGGTGATTATCATGGGATGGCATCAGTGAGACACATTCTGTCTGTTTCGTGCGCAGAAAGGAAGTGAACATCAACAAGAAGAACCACCTGTGACTCTCTGTAACCACAGATTTGTTTCAGAGGAGTCACTGATTAGTTGACCAAGGATGAATGAGCTAATGGCTCTATTTTCTTCATGTACCCCTATCTGTCTGCACAATGCTACATCCTCCTATGCTTCTTTGTGTTGTAATAATATGCACATTTTAAAAATCTTTTTTCCTTTTTTTTTTTTTGGATGTTTTTGGTCTGTGAGAGGAAACTGGAGTTCCCGGAGAAAACCCATGCATGTACGCAGAGAACATGCAAACTCCACCCAGAAAGGGATGTGATCTGATCTGATATGATGAAGTCTGGTATAGGAAGCAGTGTCAGATTGGTTCCCTGAGCTTTGCCGCAGCACTCAGTCATCCATGAAATCCTTATTTCTACCCTTCCACATTCTATATCTGTATGCATAAGGGGGTGTTCCTCCTCTAGATGCACCACCCTCCATCTGCCATGTTGTGATCACCAGAGGGCCTTGGAGATCTGTGACCCCTCCTTGTCAACATGACAAAGGTCAAAGATATAAACAGTGGAGAAATGTTGCATAAAATTAAAAGAACAGGGTCAGATAAGCTGTTCATCTATTTTTATGGGATGTTTTTGGTGAGTTGTCATTCCTGCATGTGACGACCTCAGCACTGCCTTATTTATGATGATTCTGTCGTTTTACTTGACAGATAATACGATATCTTCTTGTATACAAGGTCACTCATACAGCTACAGTCAGTTCAACGTGATGGATTCAACCACAAAGCAAAGTGATGACAAACAGTTTACGGATTGATGTTCTCGTCACACCTTCTGCAACACAGACAAAAGCTAAAGTGATCAACAGGGGTCACTGTGGCTCCAGTTAAGCTTCTCCACATGACTGGGATGAGCTCATTTTTGGTCCCTGAGGATTTTTCTTCATCACAACTCAGCAGGTGGCCTCTTTACTCTCCTTCACCACCCCTTTCCTTCTGTCCTCCAGCATCAACATCATCACTTTTAAGCTCACCGCTTAGGATGATGTCATTTTTCAAAAATAGTTTGCAGCACAATTCATTTAGCTCAGGGTTTTTTTGTTTATTTCTAATCATTTTATGGCCAATTGGGAACCGTTTTATTACTAATTACAGGAGCAGGCATGAACGAGGTTCTGCAAAACGGACGAGCACACTCAAGAGGTGACGCTTTGTTCGGAAAACCACAAAATCAAAACCACTGACTTCATGATCAATTTGCAATATTTGCACAAAATGCAGCCGAGCAACGTGGTGCGATGCTGCAAACGTTCAAGATTCAAGGGGAGATGGATTGCCTCTATTAGGAGCATTTAATCAGTGGTTGGACCAGCGCTTCCAGTCCATCTGGGGAAAGATTAATGGCTACAGGATATTTCATCAGGTCCTTCACATCACTGCCCAGGATATGAGGCTGTAATCGTGTCTGATTTTGCTGTTGTTTTGTATTGAAGGCAGAGGAAAACAGAAGCCTTCAGGTTGGATTAGAAAGCTGCGAGGTGCCCTGAGAAACAGAAGAAAGGCGTCCAGGAAAGACAAACGAGCATCTTTAATTTGACTGGGATACAAATTCTGCACAAACTACATTTTGTTTATTTGTTTCACATCAACTCTCTAATTTTCTCATGCCATACCCAAAACCCACTGAGCATCATCCGTATCAGAGGCACTCTCTGAAAACTTAAAGATTTTCTTTTTTAAATTCAACTCCAACTAAAAAAGTGAGAAACAGTGTCTTATTTACTGTTTGTTGTCAGTCTTAAAAGGATGCTTTTTTTTTCTCTCAAAGCATATCCTGATTCTGCTCTTTGGGTTCTTCACTGGATTCCCTCTTCTTAGAAGAAAGGATGTTTGCTTTGCTGCTGAATTATCTGATAAAAAATGGATGACCTCTTCTGCTCCATGTTTGCCCAGAGCTCAGGGAATGCATTAGGGCTAGCATCCTCCTCCAGCCCTCTCCTGATCGGGAGGTGAATAACTTAACACACATTTCAGGCCGGCACACTTCAGCTCTGGGTCTCCCCTGGGTGCCCTGTTCACACATGCTGCATTATTTAAAAGTGGGCTTCTGACTTCTGCTCATGTAACCTTCTCTTCATGTGAGAGGAGGCCTTTTTGAAATGGATATGTGTTTGACTTTACATTTGGAGCAGCACTTCCTGTACCAGACTTGAGGTTCACTTCTTTCTGATGCTACAACAACTTTAGGCCTTTTTCTAGATGCAGGTTGGGTTAAAAAAAGCAAGAAAATTTATGTCACAAGTGCTGTGAATTTAAAGAAAAAGGTCTAAAATACAAAGTTGTGGGTTACATCAAATGCGTAAATAATTAAAGACCAAGCATTCCTTAAAGGAATGAAAACCACCTACTGCTTTTCATGTCAGCTTTAGACTAAAATCATCTTATGTTGAGAAATGATGGAGTCGTAGAAGCTTTAGTCAAACCTAAAGATATTATGACACCACTCAGTGTTATAAACATGTTTCAGCTGCTACCATGTAAAGTTTTAACTCAGTATTTGTTAAATTGACTGTGTTGTAGTCATTTTTGTGTTGGATAATGTTGATTGACTGTGACAGACATCTTGAATGACTCTGAAAATCAATTGCAAATATACATCTAATGACTACTTTCTGCAAGTTTCATTCAAATTTGCCATTGATTCATATGTTTTGCTAACAACACACACCCACAAGCCAAAAGTTTATCCTTTGACCATTTTTTTTTCTGTGGAGCATTAAAATTGTCCATCATCAAAAACGCTCAGATAACCTTCATCATAATAATGGTTTCTAAATAAAACTATCTTGGTGCTCTGGCGTGCATGAATCTCCTACACACAAACGTAACACAAGCTAATCTGATAGCTGATAACGTCATGGAAATCAGAGCACTGTGGTGCAGCAAAATGACAAATTCAGTAAATCATGAACATAGAAGATGATACAAAATACTGCTGTTTGTATGATGGATACAACCTTCTGATGTCTGGAAACCTCTCGCTTAAACTTGTCTTTATGTTGCATTAAATAATACTGCAAAAAACATCAGGACTCCTCAGGTCAACAACTCAGTGGGAACTCTGCAAAGATAATGCCATATTAAAATACCCCCTAAAATTGTTTCCAATATTTTGAACTAGATTTATTCCTGAAACAAAAGCACATTTTAAATCTACTTTCCTTAGCACCAAGAAGCTTTAAATCCAGGCTATCCAAAAGCATGAAGCATTTGTGCTAGTTCAGCATGGAAGCACTTTGTTTGTCCACTAGGGGGAGCTGTGAGCAGAATAGAGACTGTGGTCCATGGGTGAGTTCATCAGATGGGTCCACTGATGGATGTCACAGAACTGCCTGTCATTATTGTCACCATTAAACTGGATTATATCAATGTGGTCAAAGGATTAAGACTCTAAATGTCTCTTCTGCAGAATCGTGGGAAAGATTCTTTCTGTCGTTACCGTTTATTTTAGCTGAGGGCAGCACAATCTACTTTACATTTAGCTTTTTCTCCTTTAAATGAATATCCACTGGATCTAACATTAACTGAAAATGAAAAAATAAATGCATATCGCCTTGCATGCCAAAGTTTTGATGTCGCAACATCTGTTAGAGCTCAAAGCGTGTGTTTGGGATGACTCTCAGCTACTACCACACCCAGTCTGACTGCCATTTTTGTGTATACTGTGGTGAACCGGCTGTGCTGGCCATCTCCAATTAGATTGACTCTAAAAATTAATTAGTTGCACATGCGCATGCCATTCTGAGAGTTGCCTCACGAGGTATTTTGCTAACAGACAATGTATGCACACGTCTGGCAGTTGGGGCTGCAAATTTGATTAGTTAAATAATCATATGATCACAAGTGCGCACTGTCACAATTTTCTTGTTGCCTTATGAGGAATGAAACCCCTTCACATCTGTGGGTGTTACGTGCCGCCGCGTCACTCTGGCCCGTTAAATAAACCTGTGGTGATGCGGATGAGCACCACTGGCCGGCTGCGTCTCCTCGGACTGGATGTGGATAAGATGGAGAGCCCTGAAGGCCTCTGCCCGCTCCGTCCTCTGCAGCTCAGCGCGTCCTCGGATGCTGCGCCTCCGCTCGTCTCTGCCTCTGCTGCGCAGCCGCAGTTTCTCCCGGACGCAGGGAGACGAGCAGGCGGACACAAAAATGGCCCTTGACAATCTGATTTTCGCCCAGTGCGTGCTGTATTTCTTAGCCTTCGTGTTCGGCTTCATCGCCGTGGTGCCGCTGTCGGAGAACACGGAGGACTTCGGGGGGAGATGCCTGCTGTTCACGCGCGGGATGTGGCAGAACGAGAACATCACCGTGTCCAAGCAGCGCTTCATCGTGGAGGAGTGGGGTCCCGAGTCCTGCTGCAGCTTCACCACTTTTGTCGGGATTGCGTCGCTCATCCTGTCCGCATTGCAGGCATGGAGGCTGCTCTTCTTCTTGTGCAAAGGACACGACGAGTGAGTGACAGCCTACATGTTCCTCTTCTGCAGAGCTGCAGGAGAAAATCAATAAAACAGCAACATGGCGCAGGAAGCATCTGGGTCTGCTGCAACATATCCACATCTGTCAGATTTATGCTGTTAGACGTGTTGAGGCCTATAAACGCGTGTTCAAAATGAGCTTTTAAACCTTCACAGTCTGCTTATTGCAACATATGACACCTTCATTTTGAAATGGAAGACATCATTTAAAGCTAAATCAAGTTTAGAATAATTTTCAGTTTTATAGGCCTGCATTAATCACTGATCACAGTTTTGACTTCTTATTGAGTTCGTATTTATTTGTTTGTTTTCGTTGCCCCATGCAGCTCATTCTTTAACTCCTTCCTCAACCTGATGATCAGCTCCCTGGTGATGTTCACCATCTTCCTGTCGAGCACCATCGTAAGCGTGGGTTTCAACCTGTGGTGTGACGCCATCACCGAGAGCGGCACAATGCCTAACAGGTAGGTCCAGGAGAACGGTAACGATTTTTGAGACAATACCATGCTGTATAAATCCTAAATGTTGCTGTCCCTGTGTAGCTGTGAAGAACTCCAGGATACGGATCTAGAACTCAACCTGGACAACTCTGCTTTCTATGACCAGTTTGCAATAGCTCAGGTAATGGTTTTTGTGCCATTATTATCCAGACAGTTTAAAAAAAAGTCCTCAGTGTCACTTAATGATTATGTCTCTGTTTCAGTTTGGTCTGTGGGCTGCGTGGCTCAGTTGGCTTGGGATCACAGTGTTGGCCTTCCTGAAGGTCTACCACAACTACAGACAAGAGGACATGCTGGACTCCCTGATCCACGAAAAGGAACTGCTGCTAGGGCGCTCGTCACGCCGCGGCTCTGACCCTGGACTGATCTAGAACCTGTCTTCACACAGGCCCACACAGACACACAGTCCTCCTTCCTGCAACGAGAAACACTAATGCGTGCCCATGGAGACAATCAAAATCAGTTTGCTTTTGCTTCCATCCCCGCCACCCCCCCACCCCCCGCCCCGTGGATTGCATCAGTTGGATGATTTTTACTGTTCTTTAGATATAACTGAAGAGCTGCTGATAGTGGGTAGTGTTTAAGGAAACCTAGTGTGTGCATCTCACTTCACAATACCCAACACAAATCAAACTTTTAAAAAAATGTATCGTTGAGTTTTTCTTAAATTTCTAGTATTTAGCCACACGGTGTTCAAAGGAGTCTGGTCATTTTTTTAAAATAATATTTTGTCAAATAGTTATTATTTTTAGTATCTTGTCAGAGGTGGTCAGTCATGAAGCAGATTATTTATATAAAAAAAGGCGAAAGTATTTGTTCAGGTTTGGCAGGTGGGGAACCCTCAGAGCCTTCTATGCCTTCAGAGAAGGCCTAAGAATTCAGCGCATATGAAATGCTAGATTTACATTATTATGTAATATTAATTTTCTAACAGTTTTCAATGTAGTTATTTGTTCTAATTTCTCTTATTTTCTGTAAACTACTGTTCAGTCAACCAGATGTTTTAATTCATTCCAATTAATTATTTAAAATTTGTCTCCAGGCAGAAACGTGATTGAAAGCGCTCTTATTGGTTAGGACTTCATTGTCAAGAGAGAAGGCTAAGCTCAGTTAAAGCCTCGGAATCAGTAATTGACAGGAAAATTACCCAATCACGTTGTTGGTGTAGAGTGGGTGGAACCTAAACAAGGAGCCCCGAGCCTTCAGGAAGGACTTGTTCTTTATTTAATTTTATTGTGATCATGTGAAGATTGGTGATGCACTCAATTTCAATTTGTACATTAAAAAAAATCCACACAGAAACTGTAATTTGTTTAAAAAAAAAAAAGAAAGTTAAAAATCCCATTTAGGTTTTAACTAATATATTTTAGCATTACTGTTTTATTTTGGTTTCATTCCATAATGACATTTTACAGAAACCCTAAGTTCTGTGGGTTACTGATAAATCCAGTCAGTATTACTGAAATTGCATTGTGCTTGAATAAAAGAGACTGGGTGAGCCACATTGCATATCTTGGGACAGAAGTGGGTGGACTTTTTATTTTATTTTTTTTAATTTGGGGCATTTATATACAGGCTGTTGTTAATGACTATAAAAAAATGACACCCCTAAGCTAGATGTTTTACTTGATATATAAAAAGAGAGGAAGCACTTCCTGTTCAGGGAGTTTCCACTTTGTAAAACTGAAAGTAAAGTGAAGGAATCCGTAATGGTTAAGCTTTTGATTGACATCATGACCAGTAAAGTAACTATTGATAACTATTTGACAGATCATTGCCTAAAAATGACCCATCCCTTTGAATGATTTGGACTTTTTTAGTTATATTTTCTTGTTTGCATGAAAATAATGCATGCCAAATGAACGAGTGGGCTTTTAGATGTGAAGAGGTGTTATTTTGTCTCCTACACAAATAAATGTGTTCCTGCAGGGTAGGCTTATGACTGGACGTCTTGGTGAAGCGAAAATGATTTGCATGCTAGAGCAAAGCGGAACAAGGTGTGCTTTTGCAGCACACAACAGCCGCAGAAGGCGCTTTATAAAAGTGACAAATTGCAACTCAAATCATTAATGTATTCAACATCAAGTCCAAAAAAGCTTTTAGCATTTACTGCGAGATGAAACAGATTGCATTACATGCTAAGTAGTGGCTCAGGCTTCCTTCCTTACACTTTATATGCTACAAATATATTCTACTGCTGTGACACAAATCTATATGCATGCATCGCTTTGTTGCATTTTACTGATGGAAGGAGCGCAGGCTTGACTTTGATAGGCAATGACAGTTTTATTCAAAACAAGTGAAATCATAAAACAACAAGAAATAAGAAAAAAAAACTTCCGTAAAGGCACTTCTTCCAAAGTGACCATAAATGTGTGGACAGCGGTGAAAAGCAGCAAAGTGTGCATATACAGGACGTGAGTTTATAACAAATCCTTTTATTGCTAATGACAGTTTTGTTTGACAGTGCAGAGTTGTGTTTCTTTCCTCCGTTCAGGCCTTTATTAGCCTTATATTGCTTTGAAATTCAAATGTGAGATGTCTACAAACACTTTTTGAGTTCCCTGAAACCTGCTGCTGCCGCTCTGATGGAAACCGTGTCATGTGTGTTATTGCTCATAATGAGAGGTATGTTAGATGTACGTCGCTGTGCCCTCTGGGCTCTATCCGTGTGGTAGTTTGGCTGTTTTCATTTTATTTGCTTCATCTGATAAAGGGACTCATACAGACAATAAACGCAATATTTAGTCCTGTTATATTTCCCTTTTTTGGCCTCAAAAACACATTTTCTTCTTCAGTAGAAATTGTACAAGTAACAAAAAGTTTAAAAAAGTTAACTTAAATTTGGAATATGAACAAAGAACAACAAATAATATATAAGATAAAGGGCTTTTATGTGGTTTAAGCAGATATGAGGACTGCTAAATGCATTCATTCGGTCTTTGAAGATAGATAAAACTGTGTTGAAGACGTTCTCCTTTAAAAATAACCAAACTGCCCCTTTAAGTCGTTCAGCCTGGTACTGTGAAATGATGTAGCCCTGTGTTCACTTTCTCACTGGTTAAACTCTTCGCTCAGACGTGCACGGTGCCAGTCACATCTTTCCAAACATCTTTACATTCATTTATGTGCATTTACAAAGGCTAAATACTGATAGTGATAGTCCTTAGTATATTGAGCCCATATATACACATTCATATTTCTGTAATGACTGCAATGCATTACTTCATGTACTGTAACAAAATAAATATTTGTGTTCCTTGGAAACAGCCACTCACAGACAAAAGACCGTGACATGAACAGAAAAATGTCAGGTGAGCACAATTTGCGAGCACTGAACCTGCAAAAGTGCAAAAAGTCATCAAAATGGTGGCATTTTTCCAAACTATTGTACATATATACATGGAGGCTACATAATCAGGGATGACAGATTTCCCTTTTTAACGTGGGAGTATAGTGCAACACCACAGATGTTATGTAGAGCCTTGGATGGCTGAGGTGTTTGTAGGCCCGGGCACCTTCTCAGATAAAAAAACGAGGAATAAAAAGAGAAAGGAGGCTCCACGTCTCCATGTCTCACTGCATGGTCAGCCATATCCAGCAGCCCCACAGAAGCTGCTTCATGTGCAGCAAGTAGACGGCCAAAGCGGCCTCCAGCTCCTCGCACACTCGCTGCGGGCGCCGGCGATCCGTGCAGTACATCGCTACGCACAGGAATGACATCAGCAGGAAGAGGCAGGTGAACAGGGCCAGGTGGGGGCGGGACGGCGTCGCCTCATAGGCTGGAAGAACAGAGCACACTTTAATGGTTTTGGTTTGTAAATGATCAGTATTTAAATTGGCATAGATGTAAGCGCCACTTTCACTTTGATCCAACAAAGACAGAGACTCTGTGTCATCATTCGCTTTATATTTACAACTTGTCTCACAAATGTTAACCTAAACGTGTCAAACACTGTTTCAAAGGAGGTGAAAGGGATTCTTAGCTTAACTCCACAGTGCACAACTAAATTAGAAACACTTTCTTTGCTGTCAGAGTGCAGTGTTTTTGGTGCTCCCTTGTGCACATCAAGGTGATCATTTCAAACAGACTTACCGTCTAAACAGTCACAGTAAGAAATATCTGTGAAGCCAACAGAGAAGAGGCCATGAGTTCACAGGCGGTGAACTGGGATGTCCTCTCTGACTCCACAGAGACTCGTTTGCATGTTGTTACAGTAAATCACTTTTTTGTGCTGGGACTCAATTTGCTTTACTTAAATACGTGTATTTACTATAATGTGAAAACCATATACATCAAGGGTTCAGTTAAAGGAAATCTTTAGATTTTTTTTTTCCCCCCTTTGTTCATCCATACAGGAACTCTGCCTATTTTCTTACCGTGCACCGTCGTCTCTGGCTCTCTGAACCGAACCCGCCGCTCGCCTTTCCGCCTGTGGTTGGGCTCTGTGTGACCATAGCCGGGACTTGGCCTCTTCAGAATAGAGGTGGGGACTTTGACACTGGTTGCCTGCAGTAAATTTAACCCAAATTTGAGTACATGAACTGAAGGCTGCAGGGAACATTTCAAGCCGAGAAAGCGCCGCTCATTTTGCAAACAAGCTCCCTCGCATCTAAAATTAAAGGCCTAGCATTCCTTGAAGAAACGCATTTCACCTGCCTTCTTTCACGCCAGAGTTTCACACTCAGATCATTTTATGTTTTAGTTGCTCAGAGGATGTGTTGAGGATGACTCTCAGCTACTACCACACCAAATTTGATCTTAATATCTGCAAAACTGACTGACTTAAAGCCTTTTTTTGTATGCCTGCAGGTGCTGGACCCTTTCTTACCTTGTGCTTCAGTGCGTCCTCCTGTTGGTGCGTTTCCTTTTCGTGGCGCACCACCGAGTGTTTCTCCCGGTGGGAATGAGGATAACCGTTGACGGTGTCTCTAAGGGACTCCGCAGCCGTGAAGCGTTTGGACAGCGCAGACACACACTGGCCCAGGGAGTCTAGTAAAACAACCATGATCACACAGTACATGAGCAGCTAGCTGCTTCAGAGTCTGAAGTCAGGTCAGGTGATGAGCGCTAAATAAACACACGACGAGGAACATGCAAATGGGCCGAAGAAGAGCAAACTGGGCATTAACCCTTACACACTACTTGTCTTGTATTGTCTTAAAAGAAGAGCTTAAAGTTTCATCTGCCATTGAATAACATTAATCTTTAATGCGTTGAGAAGAAAAGTGCATCATTCAGTGTTATATTTTAAGGCCTTAAAGGTTCAAATACATAAAACTAAATGAGAACATGAGAATAACCTCAAATCTATAACGTAGCTTCTGTACATAGTTGCTGCATGCTCAGCTTTAAAGACAGACTCGGTGAACTCTTTGACGGTTTTTGTTTCTGTTATTTCAGTCACGGACACACTATAAAAGATTTCTGACAGCTCAGACATCCTTACAGCCTGATCATCTGTAACCTTGTTGGTTTTATCTGTTGGGTGCATTCAAGCTGTTT